TATATAAAATATAATTATAAAGTATAAAATATATAATTATAATATTTATAATTTTAATAAAACTAAGTTCTTAATAAAAATACTATAATATATAAAAGTTATTATAACCTCTAATTATAAAAAAAGGCCTTATATAAAGTAGCTTAGTAATTAAGAATAGGTTTTTATTATTTAAGGTATATATATAAATAGCTAGGTAATATCTCTATATATTATTATAAAAAGTAAATATACTTTTTCTTTTAGTACTAAAATAGCTAATTCCTAGCTAAAAAGTATATCTACTTAAGTAAATATAAATAAATACTAAATAAGATTAGCCTAAGTTAGTTAAATTATTTTAACTAGTATATAAAGTCTTATATAAAAAGTACTTATTAACTTTTAATCTTTAATAGTTATAATAGCTATAAATTAACTAAATTTAATAATTTCTATAAAAATTAAAAAATAATTACTTTATATATACCTTTTTATTTATTATATAAGCTTTAGCCTCTTAATATAGGTTATTTTAGCTTATTAAAGCTCTTATATAGTAGAAAAATAAAAAAAATAATATAAATATAAATTTTATATATTATAAAAAATAACTTCTTTTTTACTTTTAAAGTAGTATTTTTATAAAAGTATAAGTAGTATACTATACTTATTAATAGACTATTCTAGTATTACTAAAAGATTAATTAGTTTAAGCACTAAGTGCCTAAAATATACTATATATAGCCTTATAAAAGGTAACTAGGCTAACCCCTTATAATTACCCCCCTTCTAATATAACGCGTCCTAAGTTACTTACACTAGCGCTAGTAACTATACGCTAGAGCATAAGGTCATATTAACCCTAAAGGCCCTAGGCGCCTAGCACCTAGCGACAGCTAGGGGACCCCTAGCTAGCGCTAGGCTTACCTATTACATATTAGTCCCTCTAAGCCTAACGTAAGCTGCCCCTTATTTATACCTAGCTAACTAACCTATTAATTAATAACCTCTAGCCCCTTAAGGCCTACACTAAAGAGAGCGCGTAACAGTTAGGATTTAAACCTAGCCCCTGTCTAGCTAGAAGACCTACTTAGTGCCTAAATAATTATAAAGGTATAGGTAGTATACTACACCTATTAATAGACTATTTTAGTATTACTAAAAGATTAATTAGTTTAGGCACTAAGTGCTTAAAATACACTATATATAGCCTTATAAAGGGTAACTAGGCTAACCCCTTATAATTTCTTACTTTAATAAAAAGAAGTATATAAGCTAGCTTTAAATAGGCTAGCCTTATACTTTTTAACCTTAAAGTAGTTATTTTCTACTTAGATTTTAAGTTAAATATACTAGTACTTACTAGCTTATATCTAACTAGCTTAGGCTTATAGGACTTAAAGATACTAACTATAGTACTAAAAGGTATATAAAGTACTAGTTTACTAAAAAAAAAGATCTAAAGATATTAAAGAAGCTTACTAACCTTAATATATAAGGTAATTAGTATTTAAGCTAAAAGTATTAGTAAGTTAGTATATAAGCTTACTTTTATTAAGGTTAAGAACCTTAGACTTTATATAAGGATAAATATACTAAGTAAGTACTAAAAGGCTATAGAAACCTAACTATATCTTAAAAGGTTACTTAATATAACTAAAGTAGAGGTATTATAAAGAGAAAAAGAAGGTGTTAAAGCTAGAGGTAAGAAAATATACTAAAAAAAGGCTTATAAAGAGGGTAGTAAACTATATATATAATAATATAGTAATTATAAAAAGACTAGATATAATATATAAACCTATAAGGTAGTTTAGAATAGTAATAAAAAAGAAAGTAAAATATAGTTTTAATTAATTTTATATATTATTACTTAATAAACTTATAGAAAAAGTAAAAAGGTTAGTAAAAGTAGTTTACTTATTATATTATTTTACTTACTATATAGGTATATTAGAAAAAAAAAGGCTTATAATAAGCTTATTAATAATAAAGGCTATTATATTAGTAATATAAAATAATTTTAAAAAAATATAAAAAGATATATAAAAAAGAAAACCTTAGTAAGCTTTATAAGGTTATAATAAAAAGAAGGTAAAAAGTAAAAAATTACTAATTAATAGTAGGTTAGTATATAAAGTAAGGTGTTTTTTATAGTTAGATAAAAGACTTCTTATATAGTAATAAAGTTAATTTACTTATTTAAATAATATAAATTTATACTACTCTTACTATATTAAGGGGATATAACTACTAAGTAATATAAATTAACTTATAATAGACGTGTAGTGTAATCTTACTTTAAAGGTATTTACAAATAGGATTCTTAGTAACTAATTAGGGCTACTATAAATAATTAATAGAAAAATTACCTCCTCTTATATTACCTTACTAATCTATAGTAGCTTATAGTAGTAGTTACTATAAAGTTAACTACTAATTAGTGCTAGTTTTACTAGGTTAGTAATATAGTTAACTATATATATTAATAGGTAGTTAATAGATAATAGGGGTAACTAGTGGTTCTAAATTATATATAAAGAAGGGAACTATTATAGGATTACGTAGTAAATCTACTGCGTAATATCCTCATAGATCTAGTGGATCTATAGTAAATTAGCTGTAGTTATTCCGACTATTTCGGTGTAATCCATGCCGCTAATATCCAGGCAATAATTAACATCGCAACAGTATTACTAATTAGCTAGTAATTAACTAATCTATAGGCATCCCGCCCCTTAACCTAGAGATATTATTATAATAATAAGTAAGTAAGGCTATTTACCACTAACTATAGTAAGTATAGTAAGCTAAGCTATAGTACTAAAAAGTACTATAGTAATACTTTATATATATATATATATTACTATAAGAGGAAGTATACTAAGGCTGTCTACTAAAGTAAGCTAGTAGCCTATATAAATACTATATATATAGTCTATAATATAGATTTATTAAAAGATAAGTATTTAATCTTACTAACAAGTAGATAAAGGCCTTATAAAGTCTACTAACTAGCTACTAAAAGCTTAGTAATAAGGGTTATTAACACCTAACTATTTAGGTTTAAATCTTATTTAATTAAATCCTACTAATAAGTAGATAAGAGCCTTATATAGCTTACTAAAAGGCTACTTATTATATAGTAATAAGGTTTATTAACACCTAACTATTTAGGTTTTAATTATACTATTTAGGTTTAAATCTTATCTATCTAGACATATAGCCTAGGGACTAGACCTTCTAGGAAAGGGGGCAATTATAACAATATCCCTAGGCTAAGGGGCAGGATGCCTATAGATTAGTTAATTGCTAGCTAATTAGCAAGACGTTGGCCTGGCTAGTAACTATATTACCCTTTCGTCTGGCTAGCTAGCTAAATTAGTTAAGCTAAATTCTTTATCTGTAAGTACTTCTATCTACTAATTAATTAATTAATTTAACCTCTATCTTCTTCCCTAATCTAGGTCCTTAGCTTTTAACCTTATATTTTACTACTAGATAAAAAAAGAAAATATATAAGATATTATAAAATAATTAATAAATAAATAGACTATAAATAAATAATATTTAGTATAGGTGTTATAGTAATTAACTATATTACTAGCTCTAAAGAGGTCTATTAAATATAGTAAAAGTATATATAAATTAACTATTAAATATATAGTTACCTTCTAGTAAATTATTAGGGAATAGGTAGTAAAATAGCCTTACTTTATAAGTAATTCTACTAATTATGTAGCTAGAAGTAGCCTAGGATTTCCTAACTAAGAAATAAAAGAATTTCCTTATTCTTATAGAATTTTAACTAAAGTAATATAATATATAATATAATATAATTAATTAAGTATTATAATTCCTACTATTTAATAAATAATAATAACTAGTAGTATATAACTAGGTAGTATTTAATAGTAAGTATTAGTATATTATAAGACTTAAGCTTATAGACTATTAACTAGTAGGTCTTTATTACTAGTAGACTATAAAAGTAAAAGTAGACTAATAAAACCTTAGTAACTATCTACTAAGAACTATAAGTACTATTATAAATTCTATTATAATATACTTCTTTCTATATTATACTACTTACTATATATATACATTATATTATAGATTATAGTTATTAATATATCAATAATAGACTCTTACTTAAAGAATCTTATTGATTAAAGCTATTCTCTATTTAGATATTTTAGACCTATTCTAATAGCTTTAAATGTACTCTATATAGATAACTTAACTTTTTTAGAGCAAAATTTCAATATCGCATACAGAGGAAGTCGTTATCAAGACAAAGAGCATGTAAACCAGCGCTTGTGTGTTGCCTGCCCTGCACTTGTTGCTTGATATGTGTATACGTTAGGTTTATTTACCTATCAAGACACAAATAGTCAAGTACTACAACAAGCAAAGACGCGGCATACAGTCAGGGCTCTCTGCTCAAGTATGGCCGAGTCTTTGGCGTCGCGCGATTTTAAACCTTCCAAGGACTTCTCTGCGGACGCCGATCAAGATGATTTAAGCCGGGATTTGTCACCCGTGTTCCCGCTACTCAATAATGACGAGACTGCCAAAGCTCTATCCTCCGACGCCGCGACGCAAAACCAACCTGGAGAAGACGATGCCGACGACGAGCCCGCAGTCGCGAAACCCTTCGTCCGGACTTCGAGTCCTGATTCTGCTGGCCGTGTAGCCGATACATACGACGAGATGGGCCTCGATCGCTTGGATCGCAAGATGCACAAGTTCAGCCTGTACGAGACGGCCACACGCTATTATATTGTCGGTGGTGATGTGACAGAGCAGCGATACCGGATTCTCAAGATCGAACGTACAGCAGACGACTCGGAGTTGAGCATTACTGATGACAAGATCATCTACAGCCAAAAGGAGATGAACCAACTGTTGGACACAATTGACGATGGGAACAAGGGCACTGGAGGCATCAAGCTGCGTTGTACGGCCTGGGGGTTGCTGGGTTTTATCAAATTTACGGGGCCTTACTACATGCTCTTGATCACGAAAAAGAGTACGGTTGCCATGATTGGGGGGCATTACATTTATCAAGTTGATGGCACAGAGTTGGTGCCGCTCACACCAAATCGATTCAAGGCCGACGTCAGAAATACTGAGGAATCCCGCTTCCTCGGCATTCTCAACAATCTAGACCTTACTAGGTCCTTCTATTACAGCTACTCATACGACATTACACGTACTCTCCAGCACAATCTCACAAGGGAGCGCGAGGCGCTTGCCCGTGGACTTCCGGGGGCCATGGATGACTTCAATGGCATGTTTGTGTGGAACAGTTATCTTCTGCGACCGGCGAAGAAGGCCCTCAAAGACCCCTTTGACTGGTGCCATCCCATCATTCACGGCTATATTGACCAGGCTGGTACGTCTTCTCTAATTCAAGCGCCGAAGTCGATGTTAGGTAGTTGACGATTTGCGCTGTAGCTCTGTCGATATACGGCCGCACTGCATACATCACCATTATTGCCCGCCGATCCCGCTTCTTTGCTGGAGCTAGATTTCTCAAACGTGGAGCCAACGACCTAGTAAGTTGACGTGACAAACACAGATCTTCCAACGAATAATCGACCACTGACTTGTGGGGTGTTCAAAGGGTTATGTCGCCAATGATGTCGAGACAGAACAGATAGTTTCAGAGGCTTTAACTACGTCGTTTCATGCTCCAGGACCCAGGCTCTTCTCCAGCCCGCAGTACACCTCGTATGTCCAGCATAGAGGCAGTATTCCTCTATACTGGACACAGGACAACACGGGTGTGACGCCGAAGCCACCGATCGAGCTGAACCTAGTCGACCCATTTTATAGCGCAGCTGCCCTTCATTTTGACAACCTCTTCGAACGTTACGGTGCCCCCATCTACGTACTGAACTTAGTAAAGGCCAGAGAGAGAACACCTCGAGAGTCTAAGTTGTTGCTGGAATACACCAATGCCATCAACTATCTTAACCAGTTCTTACCCGAGGGTCGTAAGATCATCCACAAGGCTTGGGACATGAGTCGAGCGGCAAAGAGTCGGGACCAGGACGTTATAGGCACCCTAGAACGTATTGCCGAGGATGTGGTCACCACCACAGGTTTCTTCCATGACGGCGATGGGAAGGTGTACCCGACGAGTGTCCAGAATGGCGTTGCCCGGACCAACTGCATTGATTGTCTAGATCGCACCAATGCGGCGCAATTCGTCATTGGCAAGAGGGCCCTAGGGCACCAGCTTCACGCGCTTGGCATTCTTGAGGACACTTCCATCAACTATGATACGGATGCTGTTAATCTCTTCACCCACATGTATCATGACCATGGCGACACTATAGCTGTACAGTACGGAGGATCCCAGCTTGTCAACACCATGGAGACATATCGCAAAATCAACCAGTGGACAAGCCATTCCCGCGACATGATAGAGAGCTTCAAAAGATACTACAACAACTCGTTCCTCGACGGCCAGCGCCAGGAGGCGTACAACCTATTCCTCGGCAACTACATATTCGCCCAGGGGCAACCGATGCTGTGGGACCTTGCAACTGACTACTATCTTCATCACGCTGACCCGCGTGCGTGGTCCGAGAAGACGAAACGAGACTACATCAACTGGTACACTGCGGAAAACTTGCAAGAAAGGAGGTTTCCGACGTACAGCCCGCCTCCCGGCGAGGCAAGAAAGATGCCAGTGTCGTTCTTTGATGATTATTGGGTTGAGTACTACCGGCCGTCCACCCTCTCGTCGTTCCTCAAGATGTTTCCTTACAAGATGAACTCGACCATCAAGTACATACCCTTCAAGTCCACACAAGATGGTCGCTATGATTTGAGTCCTTTCAGGGTCCGTAACGAGACAGATATGGACGCCTATGAGAAGAAAAAGCCTAAGAAAGAGGTGACAATCGTCGACCCGCAAGATCTGAAGTCTCCTCGGGATATGGAGGCAGCATCCGTCATATCAGACCGCACGACGGGTGGCAAAGGTATCTCCATTCACCGCTGGCTCCAGCCTATGCAGGATAGAGTGACAGGGCATCATGGAATCATGAAGGAAACCCAGGCAGAACCGCAAGGGTCCCCCAAGACCAAGCCTACAGCACAGGAAAAGACAAAAGCTGCCCAGTGGACGTTCACCAAGGCTGTTAATGAGTCTCTCAATCCATCCGTCAGCCAGCAAGAAGCTGTGGATTATGAGCGCTACATCAGCCATCCTCAGAACCTACCCTTGGTGGTCTCGGCTGAGGTCCAGGCTGAAAACCAGTCCGAATATCAGCATTATGTTCAGAGTAGCTGGCAGAGCGATGCTATCACCCCCGTTGGCGCCGAGGAGGACGTTGCTGTTTACGCTGAGCTACTCAAAGTCGGGAGCAACCCTCTTACCGTCACCGAAGAAGATTCTCAGAAGAAGCGCTACAAGGCATATAGGAAGTGGCTGCGCGGCAAGTCCTTCTTCAAGCAGCAGCCAATCGATTGAGATGGCATACATTGTGTTCTTCGCCCTCAGCTTCTGTTGCAATCTTGATATCACCCAACAGCCCCGCAAGCCTGGGTTCAACAGCCAATAGTGGTGAGTAATATTCGTGGGGAACAAGGCTGGCAGCTGCCAAGATGGCACTCAGAATGGGGGCGAGCTTGGCCACGTCTGCTAAGGCTTTCTCGTTCGCCGCATTCCCTGGTGTTCTGATGTATTCGTCTTGTACGTTCAGCCAGCAAATGCTGATGATTCTCAGCACTGCACCTAAGTGTGATGTCTGAGTGATCCTTGGCCAGCAATTAAGCATGACAATGGATAGTGCCTGGGCAGCCGCCTGGATACAGGTCGGGCAGGAAACGAGGAAGGGGTCAGTCATGATGGCGGAGAACATGGACAGAAGTTCCTGTGTGAAGGGTTAGCGCATGGAGGGCGGCACGTGTGAGTCCCGGACTTGCCTTCAGATGGGGTACGGCGTACGGACCAAGTTGGCTGATGATTGAAATGGACTTCTTAGCCAGCAGCTCTACAACTCCAGCATATTCAGATGCGTGCCAGTAACCGGCAAGTACGCCCTCCCTGAGCACTTTGATGAGGAATTTCATCTTTGCGGGTCTGCTCTTGCCATCGGGAAACCAGGTCTTGGCTAGCTCTATGATGGCATTGTATGCTGGCCCAAGCAATTGAAGAGATTCATCTTCCGGCGTTACACCTGGCAGGGAGAGAAGCGAGGGGAACACAGACTGCTCAAAGACCTCGCCGAGACCCGTGTTTCCGATAAGGTGGGGCGGGCATCTTGAGAGAAAGTCGTGTAGTATAACAAGGCCCTTCTTGTTGAACTTCGTCTCTGTATCATCTATAAGGGCCAGCAGGACTGGGGTAAAAAGCGGCCAGCTCTTACTGATAAGAGATTCCTATAGAAAGCAGCGTGTCAGCTACGCATCCTAGTCAGGTAATAAGTAGTGCAAGAAGAATCAACAAACGCTGGCATGTTTCACGGCCCATGCAAATACCGTGATGGCATGGACCTGGGTGCTTTTCCAAGGCCTTGATTCAGTAGTTTCTGTGACAGAGTCGTGGGTGACCTGGCTCTTGTCGTCGTTGATGAAATGGGCATTTCTACCAGTTGAGGTAATGCGGTTTGAAGCTGTCCGGGAGAACACAGGCCGAATGAAGTGTTCTAACACAGCTGACGCGATGAATGTATGTCTTGTGTCGTTATTCAAAGAGTTGCTCAGAATGTCTTCAGAGCTTGACGCAGCACTGGGGGTTGTCCATGTGTCCTGGCTGTCGGTGTAGGCGGCAACATATACCAGGTATTTTTCATCCAGTGCTGCAGCAAAGTCGATAACAAGGCATTTCAAAACATCCAAAGCCTTTTCTGCCACGGCAGGACTGTCCACAGAGCGTAAAGTAGAGAAGGACTGGCCTAACAGTTCTACAGCATGGCTTGCAAGCTGCTGAATGGACCCTTTATCTTGCGAGCCTCTGTCGGTGCACTTGATCGTCTTGAGGCATAGCAAAAGTACCTCAAGAACATGGCACTGCGGCTATCGTACAGTCGTCAGTTTGCACACTGCATACACATGAAAGGACTCACCAAAGATTCACACTCAGGTAGGTCGTGAGCAAGGTTTGCAAGGGTACACTGGTCCGGGAGAACTGGCTCTGGCTGTCAGCTGGCAACAGCAAGTGGCGGTAGCTTTGTAGAACTGGTGGGCATCGAGACACACTTTTGTCTGAATCCAACGCATTTCTGGTGGAGGCTGCTTCCTGCCATGCTTCAACTGTTTCACGCAACATTTTCTCTGATGAGAAAGTTGTCGTAGGCAGAAAGAAGACAAGTGAATGACTGACAAACTATTACTGAGGCGGTCGCAGACGATGCGGTGAGGCAGCAGCTCCCGCAAGAATCTCACTTGAGTTATGAGGCAGAATTGATGGTGGAAAAGTCAGTAGCACTCGCGAATTTCGTGTGTGAAGTTGGGGAGGTTCGTACACTAGCAATGGAGCTTGGATTCCCAATTCCCCAAATTCTATGGCACCATGAGCCGAGACAGTGCCATTATGACACCAACGCACGGTGTTGTCCTTATCGAGCTTCACAGAGCTTATGTATTACGTGTACCTTTTTATTTCAATTCTTTGTTTACCCATGCAACCTATCCGAATTTCGGATATGAGGGGAAACGTCCAGCCGAAAAATATGAGTAAACTTCGGCTTGGACCTTTCGTCACAACTAGGTATGCATTTCCTTTTCTTCTGTGGAAAGACCGTTTACTTCCGTCCCAACCTGTAAACGTGACATGATGCACTATCAGGCTGTCCAAGCATAGCCCAAGCCTAGACATGAGTGTACGTAAACCTCAGATACAAGGATGAAGGCGAATGTCCTTGTTGGTATCCAGATCGTTCAGGTCTATAGAGACCGTGGCCTGTTGCTGGTGGCTGTTATCATTTCATACACCTTGGATCCCCAACTCGCCTGCTCTCTGCCGTACTTCATCGATAGCCCCAGTCGGGTCCGTCTCGTCTGGGTGACGAAGCTGCCAGGCGACACACACGTCTAAAGCTCGCCCCATCCACTTGCCCGGGCGAATTCCGAGCTCCTTGGCTAGCATACGGCCATCGACCAGGCGCTTCAAAGACGGCGCCTCCATGACGTCCAGATGCGCCAAATGGTCCAAGAAAGTCTGCCAGCTCGAGAGAAAATCAATCCTTTCTATAGTAGAGTGAGTCTCGAGTTCCGATGTGCGAAACAGGCCATGAGATCTTGGACTTCTTACCAGCATCTGTGCTACACGACAGCGTTTCCTTGGCTTCGACAAGCAGGGCATAAAGAACCTGGACACGCCAGTGGGTTCCTTGACCATCCCACCTGCGAATTGCCATGCCAAGGGTGTCCCGTTCGGTGGCAGTCGAATCCCTGGCACAAACACTCTGCTTCAAAGCAACAATGTTGGATCGATGGCGATATGCTGCAGTGATGACATCGCATAGCTTGTTTGGAGCCTTGATACCCTCTCGGGCCACCAAGGTTGTCAACGGCAGCGTCACCCTGGACTTCGGCAGGTTTATTTCATTCTCCACGTGTGAATACGGAATGACTGCGGCCAGGTTCCAAGCGTAGTATGCGGCCTCGTCAGACTTGACGAGGACATCGTAAATGGACCCTGGGACACTATTGCACGCAAGACTACAAAGAAGATCGTAGACCATCCGCCACTTGGAGAGGTCCGGCCTTGGCTGCTGAATGTTGTTTGGGTCCATAAATATGGCCTCGTATAGGCCCAAAGTGCGGATGAGGTCCAAGGAACTGTGTGGACGCTTGCCTGTTCAAGTCCCGTTACGTTAGTCCACGAGTAATACGCGGGCAGGGCCGCATAGGCACATTCAGACATACCCTTCAACATCTTCTCCATTTCAACCCCGACTCTCTCGCGACTGATCTTAAGTTTCAAGGCGTCAAGAACGCGAGCGTCGGCCATGACAGCAGTCGCGGCGGGGTCTATGGAAAAGTCGAGTCTGCTTGCAAAACGAACCAGCCTTAGCACTCTTAGAGGATCGTCGGTGAAGGTCTGGAATGGATCCATAGGAGTCCGAATCAGGCGAGACTTCATGTCTGCCAAACCACCTGTCAAGTCCTCCACCAGACCGGTATGTAGATTGTAGAAAAGTGCGTTGATGGTAGCATCTCGGCGCAGAGCGTCTTCTTCGGCGGTGCCAAATTCCACCATGGGGTTGCGACTGTCCTGAGTGTATGTCTCCTTCCGCAAGTTAACAAAGTCGACGTCAAGACCGAACATGCGTGTAGTGGCCGTCTCGAGATGTTTGGACTTGTCAGGGTTGGCAGAAATCCTATGGAGGCTGCCCATATCATCTGGGCCAATCTTATGCGTCTTGGCGTGCTCATCCTGGGCACAGTAGTTACGGAGCTCTAGGCTGAAGGCATAACCGGTCATGGCATTGATGGCTGTGTCGATGTCGTGGCTCTCAATACCAAGCAGCTTGTCACGAACCCATCCTCCCGCCCATCGCAGGACGAGGGGCTCGGGTGAACGACCGGACGCATCGATGAAGGCGGCAACATCGACCAGAAGATCCTTGAGCTGTTCCTCTTTGGCACTCAGACTAAGCTTCGGCGGGACAGTCGGGGCGACGGCTTTGGTGGTTGTGCCGTTGCTGGTGGTGGCGACCATCTTTGACGGGGAAGGGAGAGATGGACGGCCCACAAAAGTATCAAAGTTTCTCTTCATGAGGTACGGGCAAGGGGATGACGGCAGCACCTCGCGGCGTTTCCGGGTTGGGACAAGTCGAAGCTGGGACCAGACACGTAGCATGACACAGCACGCTCGGCAGTCGAGAGAGTGTCAGGTCGAGCTGCAGACTCTCTCAATGGTGAAGAGCCTCTGGAGAAGGGGCGAACGAGTGTGCGCTGCGCAAGGCCACAAGTTGTGATCCGTCAGTTTCGAGAAGCCGTTTTCGTGCCAGCGACCAGGACCGCTTCTCGAATCAGCCAATGGGTTTGGTGGTGATGGGTAGCAGCGATAGTGGAGACGGGGGCGCGGGCGCGAGCGCGAGCGCTGGCGGAGGCTCTGATGCAGATGCAGACTACTCCGTAGAGACATGCCATATAGGACATTTCTGCACGGGCTCGGAACGTCAGAGGGAGCCTATGAACGGAAAGTCAGTTCCCTGGAACAAATCGCAAGCCTGCCCACGTAGTTGACGTCTGTAACGAGGGGTTTTTCCAGGGCAGTGTGGGTTTTACTAACGGTTCGCGGTTAAGATAAAGTCTTGATACGAAGCGCTGATGCGCGGCTAACTGGTAGCGTGTAAAAAGGTGAGACATACGGAGCAATGGGTGGGGTATACCGTATAGGGCCTGCCGCCTAGGGTACAGCATTACCTACCTAGTTCAAGGGCGAAGGGGTAAAAGTGAGACGAGACGGGGCCTGGAGCAGGTCGTGTTCTGAGAGGAGCCACCTACCTTAAAACCGCGAAGGTTACCTGAATGCTACCATGGCCATTTAAGGACCCTGCAGGCGTCTTAAGCTTAAGCCCTCTTTGTAGGGTTACCTTACGTAGGGCGTTGATTTGGCTACCTTAGGGCCACGCATACGCCGGAGAAGACAAATGCTCTTTCTGATACCTACCTAGGTAGGTGGGACCACTTCAAACGATAGCAAATGACAGATACCTACCTAATACGAAGGTGACAAGAAAACTAGCATACCTATTAACAAGTGGGTTGATTCCACACCAACTAGACTACCCAAGACGTAATTGTCATAAGGAAAAAAGTACTCAGTGGCAGAAAAAAAAGTCTTGCATCAAATTTGATTGATTTGTATGTTAGTTGATTTGATGTTGTGCTGTTTGCTTGCGATAGTGTAAGTAGTATTCTTGCGTGGATTAACGCGTGCCAGTTTTTTTAGTGGTTTTTTTTTGTCACACCCGGGCATAGCACTTAGCTGCTAGGTATACAAGTATATACCTTGCTGCACAGTGCACGGGTCTACCGCGTGCTGACAGCTTGTAGCTTCCCCGTGCCTTAGCTAAAGGGAGGCCTACCCAGGTGGGTTCCTACTAGGTACTGAGGTTTTGACGTCGCATGTCATCATGTCATCCATTCTATAGGCTTAAATTAGAGTCGCTGGGAAGCCCACGTCGAAACACAGTCCTCGTTTCTCACGTTCGCGTCTATATTTGAGATTATTCTGTTTGATCGGCAGCCTCCACCGCACAGCACAGCCAGGCCTGACTTCTTTATTTCCCGTTCGTCGCGAATCGGTAGTCGGCTACGGTGAAGGTGTCCGATTATGATGTGCTGCATCGCTGCTCTTGGCCCTCTGGTCTTGCAGGAACAACTCAACTGACGCTGGCCGGATACACTTGCGATTGGCTCCGCAGTTATGGACATCGACTACTCGGTTTCACTCATGGCCAGTGCGCAGCCCATGCATGCAGTCTGTTCCAAACGACGCCTGTCTCATTGAGGCCTGTCGTGACTGTTTGCGCCTTGCTTCCAGACCTTCCAATTACTTTGCCTCGAGGGAATAATGGTAGTTCAACATGGCCCAAAGAACCTCCCTGCCTGCTGGTGTGTGCCTCGGAGCGAGACCCATACCTCGCTACTATTCTCTAATGCCTAGTGGCGGCGCAATTACTCAGGTGGTTCATACTGCAACTGCCAAGCCCTTCCCCCGGGAGCGCATGCATGCATTTCAATGCTTGTCACTGATGCGTCACGGGGGCCCCGACCCAGGGCCCTGTCTCCCCTGCCTCCACCATGGGGGCCTTGCATATGACGGTCAATCATGTTGATCGTGGTTACCAGCGTATATGTGCACGCTCCAACGGCGTCCGGTATCTCCACAAGCCGTTCGGATCTTTTTGTTTCACAGACCGCTGTCTACTGTGAGCAACTATTGCAGCTCTTATTGTGGGCTCGAGGCGATTATTGACAACGCTATCGGTGGTGGCCTTAACTTAAAAACACGCAAACAGGCAAGGCTCAGGGGCCCTGAGGCAGGGTAGACAAACGGGCAGGGGGTTGCTCTCGCCGTCTCCATTGGCCGCAGCCCCTGCTCCAATTTTCTGTCCTTGTCGCCTCACTCGGGTTGCGAGGGACTGGTCGTCGTCTTCCTTGTGCCGACCCAGACGGGTCGAACCGCAGTGCAAGAAGCACTCACTACTGCAGAGCACAGCCGACTTACCGCTGCTACCCGGCGCTTGTTCTGTCGTTGGTATAATTTGCCATTCCCATTGCCGTCAAACCTATTCTATGCTGTCTCTGCTCGACGCGCATGACGACAGACCTTAATGTGACTACGCCATCCGTGCGTGCTTTCTAGCATTGCCAGCTGCAGCGATCTGCTCCGTCTACAGCCGTTCGTCCTTCGCTCTCGCGTCATAGTAAGACTACAGTGCTCTTGGAACGTTACCTTCTCTTCTTCCGGGGTTACTCGCCTTGTGACAACAGATCATATGCGCACGTGTATTTGCCGTTGAATGCAGCACGAGATTCGATTGGGCCGTCACCTTTTCCTTGGTGGTTTGTTTCTGCATCACTTGCAGCGACCTATTGTACCCGGTGCTCCAGATCCGTTTTGGGTGCTCCCGTCGTGGGTCCAAACATAGTTATTCATCCTCGCATCCAAACATGGACGTGGCATCGCTCGTTTCTGTGGACCTTTGTCCTGCGTAGCCCCTTCACCTAACCTTGATCTTATTTAGCTCGCCGGGCAACGAGGCTGTCGTTGTAACCATGCTGGTGGGTAGCCGATAAGAACAGACACGAACCTGGATCGTCTTCCCCTGTTCAGGTTACATGCGCGTGTAAGTGTATGTGAACCGCGCAAACCAGCAGCATCCTGCAAGAAATGGTGCCAAGAACTGGCAGTTCCATCATCTACCTAGCCTTGCCCGGTGGATCGTTCTTGGACTTCGACGATACGGCTTGCGTGTTCGGCGTCAATCTTCGCTACTCGTTTTAAGGAAACTCGGAAGGGAGAAGTTCAAAGGCCACATAAGATACGGGCCTGAGCGGCAGAGGCGTGTAAGTGCTTGTTCTTTGCCCCTTTGGGATCCCTGCTGCATCATGGGTGGGTTACTGAGTAGACCAATGTCGTCCTGATTTCGGGCCCTGAGCTCGGGCCTTCTGGCCGACATTCGGCCACACCAACTCCGAAACTATGATGCCTGTCCCTGTTCATCATCGCCTCATGTTGCACACGCCTCCCGGCTTGAGGTTCACTTGAGGCTCTGTTCCCTGACCTCGCCACAGACCAACTCGGGAGATCAACCCCCTGGCCAACCATATTGCACTCTTCGTCGTAGTTGTCGTCGACATGTCTGTGCCAGAGAGAGAAGGAGAGAGGGAGAAGAGAGAAGAGGTAGCCTGTCTGGATTCGAGCCACCCCCAATTAATGTCGCATCAAGGCCACCTCCAGAAAAACATGTTTGGCTTGGCGGTTTTGGATGCTGGGTGGATCTTTCTCCAGCCTCGTCAGAGTACCAGAGGACAGTAGGCAATGGATTGAAGCAAGTTGCGAAAACGTGGGAGTCGGAGTAGGGTAAGAGACGGAGGCGTGTTACGGTCGTCCCGACATCAGATATTTCGACATCGCTCATACTCTTGGACCGCCATCTTCCTATAAAGGCAGGTTCGACCTCCCGTCCTAATCTTCCTTCTTTCCTCATCATCATCCAGCATTCAGCATCCAGCAGTCTTCAAGTCATCCGACCATTTCTTTCTCCTTCTCCTTCTAACGTTTTATTGTATAAATTATCCCTGCCGGACAGGATTTATCTTCTCTCATATTAAAATGTCTTCCTCCATCAAGAGCGTTTTCGCCATTGGCCTCCTGGCCACCGCCGACATCGTTGCTGGCCACGCTGCCATCATTTCCGCCACTGGTAATGCCGGTGGAAAGGGCATGGCCCTCGGCATCGATACCAGCACTCCCCGCGATGGAACACGCCGAAACCCCTTCCAGGCGGACAGCACCCGCTTCAAGGGCGAGGCAGCCGACACATTCGGCGAGACCATCGGCGCTGGCACTAACGATCTCGAGGCCGGCACCAAGGCCTTGATGGCCGAGACCGGCGACATGCTCCCTCAAATTACCGCTGGCGGCTCTGTCGACATGACTCTGCACCAGGTCAACGCTGATGGTGGTGGTAAGTGAACAGACTCATCCGCGCCCAGGCGCTCGGCCCAGCACGGGACTAACATGGGAAATTGCAGGCCCCTACGACTGCATGATCAACGCCGACGGCACTGGTGCCGACTGGACCAACATCAACGTCGTCACCACCCCTCCGGGCGAGAACTCTCGCAACCGTGACGGTGCCAAGACCGACTTCCCTCTCAAGGCCGCTATTCCTGCCGGCCAGACGTGCACTGGTACCGTTGCCGGCCAGTCCAACGTCTGCCTGGTTCGCTGCCAGAATGCCGCCCGTGCCGGACCATTCGGCGGTGTCGTTCCCGTTCAGTTGGCCAACAGCACCACACCTGCCGCTGCTCGCCGCAATCTGATGCTTGCCATCAAGCGCTCCGACGATCTCCTTAAGAAGATGATCAAGCGTGCCCAGACACCCTCCGCCGCCCCCGAGGACGACCCCGATTACCTGGCTGAGCTCCGCGCTGACGGCGAGGAGATCTAGACAGGTAAACAGGTTGGGATTTGGGGCTGTCACCGAGGATCGAAAGAGGGATCCACGGAGACGGAAAGGATGGGTGACGAGAAAAAGGCTGCTGATGCTAATGCCCGTGTATCTGGAGAGGGCTCTGACTGTGTCTAGTCGCTGATAGTACATAATTCCAATCTTTGACTGCTTACTGGCAAATTGTTGTTTTGTCCACACCTTGCAAGTGACTTTGCCACATTCGGATTCCGTTGCTCAGATGGCTGATCATGTCGTATGCGCTGCATTTGATGGTCTTTTCTCATTCATGGAATATTGATTAATATTCATGCTGGAAGGGAGGGCCCCAGAGCCAATTGCCCAACCTTGACTCATGACTTTCTCTCGCCTGAAGAGATGGGCGAGGCAGGGATGGCAACGAGTGCTGCAAGGTCGTCGGGGTATGGTTACTGTCACACGGTTTGCATGACTGCAGGACTGTTTCGTTTGCAAGTTCAAAATGCCTTGCAAACTATCCGCCTTGGGTATCATATTCAACCTAAACTGCGGGTGTCAGATGCTGGGGAACAGGGCATACAGAGGTGGTGAGCAGCACAGGACATATTGCGTTGGGATGAGATAAAACAAGACGATAATATGGGTTGTGGCGTGATGGCATGGGACTGGAAGGGGGGGACGGGACGGAAGGTAAAAGGCAAAAAGAAAAGGGGTTGAGGTTTGAGAAGTCAGTTGCATCAGGAGCAAACGACATAGCCAAGTACCTAGGCAATCAACAGACCAACACCAAAGCTGTCTGTGCATTGGTGGCGGCCGGACTTAACAAGACCAACACCAAAAACATAAACCGGTCAAGACCGGCGTCAATAACCATAACCTTCTTTTAAGGATGAACACATGTCGCCGTTCAGACCTCATTACCATTTCCCACTGTCTTGAATGGCAGCAGAACTGTTCATCCTAAGTTGGCCCTTTGGGTAAGAACACAGTATAACGAAGTCAAGTTTAGATGGCTTGGGTGCCTTAGGTACCACGTGCAACCTTTTGACTGAGACGAGGTGGGCACTGTGGGTGCGCACGTGGACACAGTTATGTGTGCGGAGGGTTGCTTGTATTACAAACAATGACGTAGGGAATGAGGATTGATAAATGGATCTCGTCTGTATGTGGATGTGATTACGGATATGGAGGCTAGGAAAAGGCGGGTGTGTGTGAGTGTGTGTGGACAAAATGGACCATGATGTGAATAAATGAACCAGAAGCAAGAGGCACTCTAGACCACTGGAGCAAGTCTCACCATAGCTTGGGGGATTGTCGTTGCCTCCATCTGTCCATTCGCTGATCATACTATGTGTGTGACGTCAATGGCGTTCACAGCATATTAGAAGAGGCAGGTGTTGCGCTTTACAGTAATATCAACATCGAGCATCTGTCCAATTCTTTCTTTAGGTTCACAACCACCTATCCAAGCTGCCTTTCCCTAACGTAGCAAGTACCAAGAGAAACCACTAACGAACTGTCGCATACCCAATTATATCGACTTACATGATCGAACCTTAATCATCCTAGCGAGTCCTCATCACACCACCCCAGAAACATATACCTATTCATAGGCAATGTGAGGGGAAGTGTGATGAGCTACGCAATCCCCCCACCAAAGACAGCGATTGGTTAGGATACACTCCAAGTCGTGGAACCTTGGCTTCCTTCTGCCCGCCTGCTTGCTGCTCTTCCTACCCAGCATCTGAGACCATCCTTGGCCGTTAGTATGGCTGCGCTTTTTCATTGCCGAAGCAGAACATTTCCAAACCACACCCACCTCGCGAATCCAAACTCAAATGTGACCTGAACCGAAACCCATCAGTAACACAGCAGAGGAGCCAATCACCTCAAGTAGCTACTGTCACTCACTACCCAAGGCACGTAGAGAATGTGCGCCGGCGGCCCCCCCGCCTCATTGGCTTAGAGCGTAGAAGCAGCTGTGATTGACGGCTTCGTTCATCAAATCAACACGATTGGGACGGGACAGCAACACAGTGTTATTCAAACTCGTGCTTTACTCGCCTGAGAAAGGAGATGGCAAGCGGCAGGTGACTGTCCGGCTTATCCATCGTTCTAGACCAGGTAAAAAAGTAGATGGTCTCTCCTTGTCGCGGTGTGATGTGGTGTGTGCATCCACGGCCTCCTGCCGTATCTTGCCTACCTTGGTACTTCGGTCTTAGTGCCTCCTCCCTCACTTTGGCTTTGCGTCCGGCGACACCAGTGACACGTACCAAACGCTACCGGAACTGGGTATAGTGATTGACTGATCGTTCCGGACCTTCATAAACTCCATCTCCCCTCTCCTCTCCGCTAATCGTCCTGTCATTTACATTATCTCCTCCAACCTCAGAACCTGTCACCATCCGTGATACAGCTCAACTCACGATACTTTTAACCGAGGTCCTTGCCAACCATTATCCCATCGGCCAAGAAGTTACGCTTGCCTTGAACCAACACAAAAGGCTCCCACCTGCCTACACCAAGACTCCACCATGTCCGGTTTGTTCCACCCCTTCATCACCCTCCGCTACACAAGCCGTCTGCTTACATCCTGAGCCCAGACGACCAGACCAGAACCGAGAACATGTCTATTGAGGTTGGCACCTCGCCATCTGTCCTTGACGGAGAGCCTGCTGTCGCGCTTTCCTCGTCGCCTGCAGATCGACGGGCCAGCACCGACGAATGGGGTGAGTCTTGACCGCCTGCTTCTCTATCGCTGGGATCCGCGCCGGTGCATGCTAATCTCACGCAACCCTTATTCAGACGCCTCAAAAGTGCCACCGAGCCGCTTCCAGAAGCGCAAGGGTTCCATCTACGCCACTCCCGGTTCTCGTGATGGTCATGTTGACCGCAATTACGCCTCTAGCTTCCACGAGAAGCACACCGAAAAGGGCTATACCAAGACGCCTTCAAAGTAATACAACAGCTTTTGAAAGGACCCGAGGGAACAGATGTCTGGCCCACATGGTAAAAGTAGGGTTCAACATCCGTCGAGCGAGCGCCTGGCAGATTGTACGTGGGGGAAGGGGTGTCACACCGTATCGGCGAGGCTGATAATGAGAACAACGAGGAATTAACTGAATTGCAAGGTTTGGAGCCGGGAATGGTTCTGAAGTCCTGTCTGTATGATGGTACCTAAAACTAGCCAATGCGCCATCGCGCCGAGAAGAAACTTATACGCCTTATTCGTCAAGGTCATCGATGTCGATAGCGTCTGGATTTGTTGCTGCAGCTGGTAGTGTCTCAGTTGTGCTAGTCGTTTTGGCGGCATCGCTGGCAGCCACGAATCCTATGGGGGCCTTTGCCTGTCGCTCGAGTGCTGCCATGGCATCAGCCACCTCCGGGTCGCCCGAATCTTCCGGCCGTCGCTGGCTACGGGCGAGGGCCTGCGACGCGATGAAGTTGACGTCGGTGTTGTACTGCGCCTGCACGCTTCGCTTGATCCGCAGCATTTCCTTGAAAGTGTCCTCGTTGCCGTGCTGCACCTCGAACGACTCCCACTTTGCCCAAAATTCTGGGCTGGTGCGTGGGTCGCAGAACTGTGATGCGTGACCGTAAATTGCCCGTGCCCGGTCGATCTCGCCAAGACGCTTCTCCATGTCGGCAAACTTTAGGCACATGTCTCGTGCCTCGTTGTCGGGCAAAGTGGAGATGGCCTTTTCGTAGATGGGCCTCGTTGATGGCAGCCCAAAATTGGATGCCGACTTGGTGATGTAGAAGTTGAACATATCTGCCCGGTCCTCGTCCGCCACCGCTCTTGTCGCACGTTCGTAGATTCGCATCGCGTGTCTTGCTAGGCCACGCTCCTCCTCCAGGTTGCCGTACATGAGATATATGACTTTGGCGAATTTGGGTGGACAGTCCTCAATGGCCTGCTCAAAAAGGTCGCGCAAGCGCTCGATGCCGATCTTGCGATCAACAGCCTTTGTCAGGTAGAGGTTCCATAGCTCAAAGGCGACAGGATAGCTGAAGAGATCGAGACCACGTTCGTAGATTTTGAACGACTCCTCGTAATACTGGTGCTCTTCCAACAGATTAGCGTAGTTGACCACCGTTTGCGGCGTCGCGATCCGCAGCTCGAAAATGCGTTCGTAAACCTTCCGTGTGTCCTCCAGGGAGCTGACACTCTCGACAAGGTCCACATAAAAGCTCCAGAGCTTCCAACTCTTGTGTACGCGCTGCTGCGGTGATAACGTCTCGTCGAAATAGTCAACTGCTGATCTCTTGGGTGCCTGGACCGCCTTGGCCATGATCCGAACAGCATCGTCGAAGTTTTCGTTCCTCAGCTCCATCTCGGCCCATTCAATCCACATGTCGGCCAGTTCCGCGACCGATTTGAACGGCACCTTAACAGCTTTTTCCATGATGATGCGGGCATTTCGTAGGTCGCCCCCGCGCTCGTAGAATTTGGCGTAATTGGCCCAGAGTTGGTGGAATGCCCCAATGGCTTTCTTTGGCTGTATTGTCGCGAGAGCAGCCGTGTATGTCTGAACTACTTCCAGCTTGTTGTCCCCCCATAGGGCTACCCTCTTTTCCCATTCCGATACGTTATTTGGGTTTTGGCGCAGGACGACATCATTGAGAAGGAAAGGTCTTCTGTCCATGAGCTGCTCGAAGCGCATCATTCGTATGTCGAGTTCAAAATCAGCCTCCTCATCGGTAATACCCTTGTCAGCGCGATCCGAAGCAACCTCCATGAGAGCTCCAATAATAGACTCCTCGAACTCGGTGTATGAGTCGAAAACGAGTGTGAAGTCTCTGACCGTCATCACCGTTGTGATTGCTTCTTCAAACACGTCTCTTGCGCGCTCGAAGCTGCCTCTCCGTATCCAATATGTGGCCAGTCCGCACCATAGCTTGCCTCTTTGATCGGCAAATCGGACAATACCGCTCCTAACTATCTTGTCGACGTCAATGCCAGTTTCGTGGCCAGTTTCAATCTCGGCTGCATGTTCGACCATCAAGTCAACCATCTCACTCCACAGCTCGTAATGCCCCTTTCCATGCTTGCTCGTAAACCGCGGATTGTCGAGGATGTCCATATACTTTTTGATGGCCTCCGTGAAGAAACCCACCTGCGTGAGAAGTTCTATAAAATCCTCGGCGTCCTCGGGATGGACTTGCATGTAACGGCGCCAAACCTTGACGGCGCTAATTCCTGCAACGGAATTGACGAAGGGTTTATAGAGGGCCCAGATTCGGTTGTGCTGGGTGAGTGGTAGTGCACGAAGGGCTCGATCGAAAGTTCGTCGTGTGGTCGTAACAAACGGTTGCTGGAGCAGGAACTTGAGGTAAAGTTCCCAGATCCGAGGCATCTTGTTCAGGAGAATCAGCGCGCGCTCAAACAAGGCGTTGACCTTTCGATATTCGGCCGAGAAAGTAGCAGCGTTCAGCTTTGAAATGTGGTTAACGCGAAAAGTAAGATACTGTTAGACTGTCAGCCATTGCCCAAGTTAGTATACCATCATCTTTACATACCATCTTCCAAAGCTTATACGATCGTGGAAGCTGAAGACAGGCACGCTCAAGAACAAACGCGCGCTCGTGTACGGTCCCATGCTGGGACTTGAAATGTATGTAGGCGAGCCATGGCTTGATGCTTCCGGGGTTGCGGAGGATGTCTTGCTCGTACACAGAGTCTTCGTCGCCCTAGAACACTTTGTCAGCTTCGTTATCAATGCCAACAGAAAAATAAATTAGAAGCCGCCACGCAGGAGAAACAGGAAAGTTACTTACAACCAGGTGCAGATCTGGACGCCTCTGAGAGCCGTGGAGAAGCACAGAGGCAGGCATCTTTGATTCAGACTAATGGCCCAAAAGCCATGAGAAAGACAATCGTGACAGCTCAAGTGCTGGACACCTTAAGCATTGATGCGCTAGTTGAGACAATAGATTGCTGAAAAGACGAGCGACGCGGTTCAAAGATAAGTCATGGCGCGTCCTGGAGACAATCGTTTCCTTCACGATGCCAGCGCCTAATGCTGTGTTGTCCTTCGCGCTAGGCCTCAGGGACGTTTTTCTTTCACGACCCACTTTAGCTGGGAAAGCCTTTAAGCAGGGTACGTTCTTATCGGGACTCTCGGGCATTGGACATACAGAGCTACGGGCTTGGTACTTGCAACTGGGTACGCTGGGCACGCCCCGCTTCTGAGCCGAGATAGGTACTCACATACTACCTGGTATGCTATAGCATCAGCTGAAGTGCCTTTACTCGGGTACCTACCCGAAGGGCACTACACTACCTACCTAGAGGTAGGCATTTAGCGACGGGAGCCTTGTCCAGTATGCTTGAAGCACTGACGCAACGAGGAACCAACGCCGCCCATTTGCCTAACGTCTCCAGATCCTCGCCGACTCCATTGAACGGCCGCGCTGCGTCCACCTCCTGTCAACCAGTGCCGTACAAATCGTCGCTAAGCACACGCACCTTTTCTTTGATATCGCCCCGTCGACTACAAGTACAATCTACCTTGATAATCCCTATCAGCCATCATGTCGGGCGCTCCTGTAAGCCGGACTCCTCTTCAATTAGCCAGACTCAACGAGATCGTTGGCTGAGGCGTCACACATCTATCTAGGACCGAGAGGCCGTGTTTCCTACGCGCCAGTCGCTGGGAATTATGAAGGCAAAGCTTAAGGGAGCTGAGACGGGTCACAGTCTGCTAAAGAGAAAGAGCGAGGCTCTGACTAAGTACGTCTCGAGAGGCCCAGTACCGTTCGTATAAGAAGAGATTCGCTAACACGTTATGCGCTGCAGACGATTCCGAGGTTTGAAGCCAAGAATTTGCCGCGATAACTTATACTAACGGATGGTATTACACCTCGACAGAGATTACGAGACGGATCGACGAGGCCAAGAGAAAGATGGGACGTGTAATGCAAATCGCCTCATTCTCCTTGGCCGAAGTTACGTATGCCGTGGGTGGTGATATCGGCTACCAGGTCCAGGAGTCCGCGCGGTCAGCTCGTTTCCGCGTGCGTACCAAGCAGGAAAATGTTTCGGGTGTTCTGCTTCCCGCCTTTGAGAGTTACGTGACCGAAGGGAACAACGACTTCGGCCTGACGGGACTGGGCAAGGGTGGCCAGCAGGTCCAGCGCTGCCGCGAAACATATGCCCGTGCCGTTGAGGCACTGGTTGAACTTGCGAGTCTCCAGGTATGCAATCATCAAGATTACCTCTGTGGAAAATCGAGTACCCTAATACTATCAAGACTGCCTTTGTAATCTTGGACGAAGTTATCAAGGTAGTCAACCGACGTGGTAAGTTACGCAGTAGATACGTGTCCTGAGGTTTCGTACTGACATTCTGCAGTGAATGCGATGTAAGCAATCCTTGCATGTTTACGGACTAATATTTCACTGACCGTTCCCAAGCGAGCATGTCATCATTCCGAGAACAGAGAACACTATCAAGTGTACGTTATTTTGAGAGGGCAACTCGCATGCGATTATGGACTATCTAACTCGGCGATAGATATCAACTCAGAACTTGACGAGGTGGACCGAGAAGAGTTTTACAGATTGAAAAAGGTATTGATGATCACTTAACATTGGTAGCCCGATTTCTGACGGTCGATCGCAGGTAGCGAACAAGAAACAGAGGGATACGGCGGCCGCAGACGCAGAGATTACGGCCAAAAAGGCTGCCAATGCGACAGGGGAGAGGGGTGACTCGTCTGGGCCAAACGACCTTCTTGCGGCAGAGGAGGACAATGATGTTATTTTCTGAGCACCCCATAAGATGCGGTCCAGTACAGAAAAGAGGCCGCGATGCATGTTTTGATAATTAGGGTAGCTGGTCTGGGTGCGCCTTTGTCTTGGAAGTATCCATACCTCCTTCTTAACCTACACGCCGACGTAACAGAGAAGACCTCCCCCAATCTGAACGCGGACGGCCTATTGCCGCTGGTATGTGACCTTGATAGTATACGTGTCTCCAAGAACCATGCCGGCAGTGTTCTCCTTTGCCGTGATGGCTCCTTGTTCGCCGTCGTACTCGACGAACGCAATGCCCCGGCGACCTGGTACCAGTCTGACCTCACGGAAACCTTCAAAGCGACCAAATATGCTTGTAACAGCATCAATGTCGTAATCCTCTGGCAAGTTCTGCACAAAGAGAATTTTGTTCGGGGGGAGGTACTCGTCGGGGATGACAGCTGTAGTAGAGGGGTTCGTGGACTTGAGGCCGGCACCGCGAGCGGCCTTGGTAGGACGGTTGTCGGATGCGGTAGCACCGCCTGGACCGGGCCTCTTGAGACGCTTCTGCTCTTCGGCGGCCTCGTAGGCCTTTTTCTTGTCTGGTAAAGAAGCGCAAGAGTCAGTAGAAGTGGTATTGTTTAACCGCAGAGGGAGATGAACGCGCGCAGGACAATAGAAGGGCAGCAGTAGGGTAGCCTGTACCTTTTTCGGCTAGACGACGGCGTTTGTGAAGCTCAAACTCTTCATCATTGCCACTCGCCTTGACGGTCGCATCACTTCTAGTGCGGGCGAGGGAGAGCTGCATAGGCTTCTCAAACAGTTCGAAACCCTGTACCTCCTCGATGGCTTTGCGCGCGGCCTCGGGGTCATCAAAGACAACAAAAGCCTGTCCCTTGGCCTTCAAATTCGTCTTGGCGACGATGTCGATAACGTTGCCGTACTCAGAGAATATCTGAAGCAGCGCATCTTTCAGCTGGTCGACTTTTGCACGTTCCTCGAGGTTTCGTACGTATACTCTGTAGCACAAGAGATCAGCCAATAGCCCTACGTGTCGGAGTGCAATGACACGTACGTGGCGATGGGAAGACCAGAAGCCATGTCTACGGTTGTGTAGGAAAAAGTGCAACCGTTGGCAGATTGTGATAGGGAATAGACAGTCGCAGTTGAAGTTGTCCTGCGCAAGGCACTGGATCGCTAGCGGTGGATACCGCTCACCTAAACTTTAAACTGGCAGTACCTAAGTTTCGGTACCTACGGAGGACGATGGAACCAAATATCACCTCCTGGGCACTAGCCATTTGTCACTCTAGGTAGTGCTCAAATCACGTATTCAAACTCATTATAGTATGTAACATTGCCCACAAAAAATTACATACGACCATACCCACTGGAAAACTCGGGATCCCGTCCGCTCTCCCATAGATAAGCCAATGAGGGCCGGATTAGTAGTTGGGTCGGTGACGACCAGCGAATACCTGGTGTTGTATGTAGATTTGTCCGATTTTTTCTCCATTTTGTATTGTGGGGATATTTGCGGTCCGTTACTTTTTGTTTTGTTTTTAGACTGCTGGCCACCATCTTGCATGTTCCAGCGCGCAGAAGCGCTGGTGAAGAAATCGCATAGGATGCCTCGACATGCTTTATGCCGGCTAAACAAAAAATCCCACTTCATTGCTACATCTAATCTCGAAGACCAATGATCCTGCACTGACATCCTCTTCATGCATGAAAGGACCAGCAACCCTTGTCCCAATATTGTGCAAGGTGATTCAGAATGCATTCGGGACTACATTATCCAAGCGAACTTAGTTGGAAACGTCAGCGGCAAAACACACAACACACTACTGTACCGGCATACATCGTAACTGCATTGACAATGTAATAGCTTGACGGTCGGAATACCCAGCTATCCCATATCTATATCGACACATCAAACCCATACTACGTAGGGTTACCTATCTGAGAGTGTTTATGCATCTGCCTCTGCCGTTGGCGCCTGTTCCTCGCCGCTCCGAGGTTCTTCTAAAGCCAGGTCGCTCTTCAAATCTGGCAGGAATCGGTCAATCCGTTTCCAAGTCTCATTCCACAGGTTTTCTTTAGACGCATCTTTGGTGGGAGAAACCAGGAAGCCGCTGCTCGCCATAAAAAGAACCACGTTCTTCAAGTTTTCCCGAACTGCCTCTTCCTATTGATTTGTTAGCCTTACCCCGCCCTGTAAACCTCGATATGTTGACTTACGAGACTATCGCCCTGACCACTGTTCATCAGCCGATCCATGATGTCGATAATCTTGACCCAGAGATCCAACATTCCATCCCATTTCGAGAGCAGAACCAAGTATTGGAGGAAGACCTTACAGAGCAGCGACGCTGCTTGTACCCGCATTTCACTCATACCGTCTCTGTCCGATGAAAAGACTTCTGGCTTCAAGAGTTTGTGGATCAGTGGGAACAAGACCTCACCAAAGATGGCTGTCCATTCCTTGTGATCGCTGCAAGTGAGATCCGGGGAAAGCAGCGACCGCTGTAGTGAGGTAAAGGCTTGGAGGCGTACGTCCCGACATGGGTTCGTACACTGTGTGGTGAGTGCTTGGAAGACGGGTAGCCAGTAAGCAGACCACGCTTGAAGATATCATTAGTCTCATAGTCCAAGTCATCCAGAGTCGAGAAGAGGGCGGGCTTACCTTCGTCGCTCTCTAGGTGAGATTGCTTCATCAAAAAGGGAATGCGCATTGTCATGTTATAGATACTACTGACCGCCTTGGATCCGCGTGCAATAGCTTCATTAACGCTGCTGGCTGGTCAGTCCAGATCAATATTCAAGGGGCGGCACACGTCATTGCTCACTTTGTTTTCTCACGAGTTCCTTCGTGAGCTCTGCGTTGCTGTGACTCAAGCTTGCGTTCCGCTAGTACAGCCCGTCCAGCTGCAGAGGCGAAGTCACCGAGGAGAGAAATCGCAGCTTCATAGTTATCTGCAATGATCGCTGGGGGTGCGCCTCCACAGCCCAGCTCGAGAATGTCAAACACGCGCGGTGCAGATTCCTGCCGCCCTGCCAATGCGCGCATTATCGCCCAGAAGTCAGGAGAGGTCATGATCTCATTGCGTAAAGGGCTGGGCTCATCAATGCATTGCCTTAACCCCTGAAGGACCAGGGCGGAAGTCTTGGTCAAAATCTCTTTCGCAAAGCTTGAGATTGTATGCAATAGAACCGGGACGTTGATGTAGTCATGAGCCTATGTGGTACCATGAATGAGATGGATGACTCCCAAGTAGTGTAGAGAGGAAGAAAGATACATACGTAGCTAACTTGCAGTAGTTTAAGGAGGTAGAATGTAGCTCTCGAGACAATGATGTAGTGGTAATTTCCAGCATCTCGTAGCACAGCTTGTAGGGCTTCAATGACTCGTTTGCCGACAAGTTGAACAGTGTCTTGGTCTCGGAGAGCGAGCACTGTACTAAACTCAAGGATGTAGGCCATGGCAGGGTCGTACACAACGCTCGTCTGCGCTGGCTTCTGGCCGTTCATGGGCGCCGCTGGCGCATTCTCGGACTTCACGACTATAACCGTGGTGCTATGGTCTTCTGGCAGCGCGTCGAGCAGAGCACTAACAAGCGGTTCCAATTCTTGAGGCGAAAGCTTGCTAGATTGGACACATCAACGAATGAATTTCTCTGAGATGCAGGACGACTTACGAAATGTTGGCGAAGACGTTGCCCATGTGGCAAGAGTTCACACAATCAACAGTGCAGAGAGTACTCTCTAACTCCTCATCTGAGGGCTCTGGAGGATCATCTGCCGCGTAACTGGAGATGTAACTGGTGAACGCAGAGAAGAAGCCTGTTTCAGCCGTCTTGGCTGCTCGATCAATAACTTGAGACGGGGTTTGCAGAGGAATCGTAGCGATGTCCAAGACTGGAGAGTCTGCAGAGAAGAAAGGAGGAACCAGAGAGTTCACAAAAAGGTTGAGCCAGATACGGGTGATCTAGAAGATGTTAGTCCTATCAGCATAAACATGTGAGCAGGAAGGGATTCGCATACGTGTTTCCAGCCATTTCGAATCAGCTTTTCACTACCGGTGACAACTCGGAAGAGAACCAAGGTCGCCAGCTGTGCCCTGAAGTCCCTCCCGAGCTTGACCGCCAACTCGCTCACCATAACACTACTCTCGCCAGCCTGAACCTCCGTGTTCAGGCTCGTGTTGGAGGGCATTTCGGTAGCCAACGTTGTCATATGACTGAGAGAGTAAATGATCTGGTCCAGGGCTTCGGTGTTTTGGTAACTAGCCGCGATTCGAGCGCATTCATCAAACCCAGTGACGATCCTGGCGAACACCGCATCATCGGTGGCGGACATAAAAACGTAGGACAATGTGGACACGATTGGCCGCCAGGTCGAAGCAAACATGTCGGCATCGTAAATGTTTGTCTCGCAAAGAACCAGAGGCTGCACAGATTCCGACTTAACAAGGAGCTCTCGCCAAGCATAGTCAAAAGCGTGCTTGTTGTCGTGCTCGTCAGGCAAGATGATTTCGTTGGTCCTAATGTTGTCAAAAATTTCTTGTAGATACTCAGGCGCAAAGTCCTTGCCATCGTTTACGCCTCTCAAGTTGCGTGCGAAATCTTCCACTGTCATGCGCTTTTGACCCTTGAGATTAGGGTTGTGCTGGTCAGTATTCAGCATGATAATGGCGTACGTCAAGACAAAAACAGCGTCAGCGTTGGCAACCTCTGTTGGCTTTGCCTTGGAACAGTATTTGTCGGCGAAACAAGTGACGATTCTCTCGATCAGGGCCGACTCGCCCGGCAACCTGAATGTCTCCAACAGCCCCCTAAGTGCCTCGTCCACGCGCTTCTCGGAGAAGTCGAATTGGCTCATGTATGCTTCCAGTACGTCTTCACTCCCTTTCTTCGAAAGGTACTCACCGAGAACCTTCTTGGACACTCGGGAAGTACCTTTTAAAAACCTGGCAACGGCAGCTGGGTCTTTAACGTCCGCAATGATGCCTTGGGCCTCGAGATACGCGAGACCGCCTTTGGGGTTCTCGTTGAACTTGCTGGTCCCCTTGATGATGATCTTCTTCTTGCGTCTCTGCTCCCGCAATGCCGTAGCGTCTGGATAACCATCGATGACATGTGGCTCACCTAGTCGTTCAGCTATAAACTGGACATATCTAAGTAGTGCATCCAGGCATAGAGGGGGAACACTCGTCGTGCTCCAGGTTGCAGAATCTGGCAGTGCATTACGAGAAAGAAGACCGATCATGTCTTCGCACAGATCCGCTCGGTCAGCATCACAATCGTAGTTGATAAAGAGCTCGACCATGAAAGTCGGCATTCTCGACAGCACACCAATGCTTTCGACCATTGCCTGCCTCGCGTCAGGCTTCCTTGCGCCGCCCTCCAAACCGAGCTTCTGCCGATCCTTGACGGGTACTGGCGTTGAGCGCCCACTATTCGTTTGCGATGGCGGGGGCTTGACAAGCTTTGGAGATTGGGGAATGCCGGCGTACAACGATGGATCAATACCGGGTTCGCGAGGTATTTCCACCGACGGATGAAGACATGCGACGAGATAGGAGAGAAACAGCTCCTGCTGTAGCTTGAGAACACCGCGGCATGTGGCCAGTAACGTTCCAGCAACAATGAGTGACTCCTGCAGAATGGCCATGTTGTCGGATCTAACGAGCTGGAAAAGATAGCAACAAAGCCGGTCTTCAGCGATGCCGGCCAAAGCTGGATGTCGCGCAATGGAGGGCCCGGAGACCTCCAGGGCTACGTGAATGATACGCAAGGCCATAACTCTCATCGTGTCCGTGTGCTGGCGGTCGTTGGGGTCCAAGAAGTTAACCAAAACCCGGAAAAGCTCTCGGACAGAGGGCAGAGAATAAGGTCGGAGGTCCAGAGAATCGGAGCTTTCTGCACCATCGGCGTCAACCTCGCCTTCGGTCTCGATGCCTGTTCCAATGTCGGCCTTGCTGTCCCCCGATTCAGAGCTTATTTGAGAACGGGGGTCTGGATCCAAAGCCGTCGAGCTTGACGTGGACAGGCGCACATCCTGCTCAGAACTGGTTACCTGCAAGCCTGGCGCATTGCTGGTAGCAGGGTCCATCTTGACACTATCCATATCGGCGCTCGTTTGCTTGTCAAGAGCATCAGACTCGACCCCGGCTTCAACCTCGAGATGTTTGACGTCTTCAAAGATGATCTGGCACATGCGAACCATCGACGCTTCGGCAGTTCGGCGCAAAACGGGTGAAAATCGAGGCTGTGAACAGATTGCCAACCCCCTGCCCATCATATCGCAGACGCTCTCATCACTTAGAATGTCGCCTCCCGGGCCCGACATCATGTCCTCCATCAAGTGTAGAATCATCAGAAGAACGACTTCCACTTGACCAGCGTCGCTCCCGTCGAACTGACACCGGGTTACTGCTGCAGACAGTGACTGCATCGCAAGAGCGAATCTTGGAGAGGTCGGGCTGATGAAGCCGTAGGCCAGAAACTTGCGGAGGGCTCCCAACGTAAGGATCGTTATAGGGGCCGCAGTGCCTTTGGTCTGGATAATCTGCAAGAATGGATTCAAGAGAGACAAGGCATCGAATGAGTGGATATCTGAAGTGCACCATGGTCAACAGGACGGTTCCAGTAGAGAATTGGTATGTAGAGTTAGGCGAGAGGGAATCTGGATCCTACCTCTAACGCTGGCCAGTTCATGGCGAAGCTTTCCGAAGCCAGCCATTAAAGGATTGTCCTGTATACTGCGGCCCTTCTTCCCGCGCAGGCCCCATCTATTGGCAGATGTAATGTCCTGTGCGCCATCTATCCCGAGTCCAGCCCCCGATGTCTTCAAAGCGGCGCCCCTTGGCGAAGGGCTTGGGGACCCAAGGTTAATAGGGTTTGGGTTCCCGCCCAGGATGGCCGATACGGAGGAATGAGGAGATCGCGCATGTTTCTGGATCGCTGAGGTGATCGATATGCATTCGGACATGACCAGGGAGACTGGATCTACAGCGACTGAAACGGGGCGGCTTCGATATTGCATCCTAGGCGCGATCGCCGGTGTGCTGCCCACGCGGCGCAGGTCTACACTGGAACGGGCGCCGACGGCAGAAGCCGTTTCTGTATGCAACAAGTCATCGTCATCTCGACTCATGTTATGGTGGTGGACTTGCGGTATCTGGATGTGCGCGAAGTGCAAGTCTTGCGCGAGGGTTCTTGCTCTGCCAGGTGGTCGGAAGGGAAAGGAATGGAAATGTTGACGAGGGGCAAGTTACGGTCAATTTCTTTTGCTAGTTTCTTTATGCGATGCAGTCGGAAGGGAAGTCGAGGACAAGTATCAGAAAAGCCGTTCGATGTTGTGCCTCGGGGCTCGCGGTCGGCGGATTTGGGGTCGTTGAGATTTAGGTGTCTTGTCCAAGCTGTAGCCAAAAAAAGGACCCCCATGTGGAACTGACCAGGTTGCAACGCAGATGGAGGAGCTTCAGCACGAACTGTAGCATTTGTGGCCATTAGGTGCTTTCCGCCCCTGGCTTAGTTAGGTACCTAAGGTACCTTACCTAGGTAAGTCGAGTACTGCTGCAGAGCACCTCTGAGTCGAGAGTTACGTTGGGCTTGCAATGGCCCGATAAGACTCTCACCGATAAGACTTGTGTCTACACTTTAGACCCACGTGACGTATTTCTCCACCAAAGGCAAAGGTACTTTTCTCCTAGTAGCCCATTAAGAAAAATTCCGCTTCGGAAATCACCAAGTATTAATTTCAGGTACCCAAGTCATGACCGTGAGCCGCCCCATGCCTAATACGGTGCCCGTAACTTAGCCTCTTTGGAGCGCCCCAAAGATACCGGCTAGACCAACGCCTTTCTGCAACATCCCTATCCTGATGGTTCAAGAGTAACATTTTACACAGCAATACATGTTATGGAAAATCGTAACTATCCTCAGCCTCTGAGGCACATGGATTCCTGGCCAGCATCATGGAAGGGTTGTCCCCTAACGATGCCTTCCCCCAGCAATGTCAAGCTCCAGCTCAGCTCTCTGCCTTCTTTACGAAAGCAGCGTCGTTCTTCTCCTTTCTTTCCTTCTTTGCTGGCTTTTCGTCATTGTTTGCCGCCTGCTTCTTGTCTCCAATCTCCTTTACCCCCTTGGCCTCATTCTTTTCTTCTGTCACCATATTTTGCATGTCCGACTTGTCTTTCTCCCATTGACTGCTTGCATCTCCGAACTGCTCTTTAACCTTCTTGGCCTTCTCAGCCTTCTCTTGTTCTTCTTTTTCTCTTGCGAGCCTCTCCTGCTCCATCTCCTATGCCACGTTAGCTCCACGGTTTACATTTGCATGTTGAGAAATCAACGTACCTCCATATGCTTGATGTCGTCAACACTTGGTTCGTAAAGGTGCCAGATCGTGTAGTGCGGTAAACCAACCACAGAATACTGCATCCGTTTCGCCATCTATGCCGCGAAAGTTAGCATTGCTGCCTCCGAACATACTGATAGAGGCCTCTTACCTTTCCAAATCCTTCCGTCTCGGCATGCTTCTCAAAACTGAAGGCTGGGAAATGGACTCCGGAACGGAAAACCTTGGCCTTAGCCAAGATACTGACACCACCCACTCCATCAATTTCCATCTCCATATCTGGGTCACCGTATGGGTCTCGCAGATATGCCAGATGAGGTCGCCATGTCGCGTATTCAGCGTAGCCTTCGACAATTACGGCGTCTTCGTCGAGGGTATCCGCAAGAGCCAACGCTGTTTCTGACTCTTGCCACGAGTTAAGGTCGTAGGGCTGCTCTCCGCCAAGCCAATCAGGCAAAGGACGCCATACATCTATAGCTGATTAGCTCAAGACTTGGAAACTCATGGGGAGCATCAAGACTTACTTGGCACAATGACGTCCTTGTTGTGACGCATGAGATCTTCGAGAATGGTGAAAGGGGCCGTCTCAACATCGACATCACGCCAGTATACCCAGGAGTGGTAGGGCCGCAATGCAGCACTCAGAAGCCAGTTCCGGGCTTGCGCCATCAATTTTCTTCTGCTTGCCTGAGCAGCAAACCCATGGCGGCTCTCGACGTCTTGGTTCACCTTTTGTCCAAAGTCTTTCTCAATGATGGAGATTTCTCCGTATGGCTGCTTCGCATCTTCATCAGCTTGGACTTCTTCAAGCATGTTGGAGAGGACCTGGAGAGTGCGGTCCTTGGAGTCAGACACGAGAAAGGCAAGGTCGATGAGGTGGTGAGGATAGGTCAAGTTTCGCAGGTGGGAAAAGAACATTGGCAAATGCGGCTCGGCGTCTCTCAAAGGCACGCAAAGGAGAATGCGCTCTTCACGTTCCCAACCCCGGGCAGTCCCTTGTACGTTGCTAAGGTCGTAGTATCGTACTGTCTCGAGCTGTAGCTCTTTGCTGGCGGACAGCAAGCCGAGAGAGAAGATGGAAGTCAAGGAGGCCCCAGGCCATATGAAAACCAGGAAGAGGATGGCGACAGCGACAAAGATGACGAGGCGGGTCAAGAGGCGTTGGCGGCGACGGTTTGCAGGTGTCGATGAGCGTGGTTGGTATCTACCAGGCAAGGCCGGAAGGGTTAGCCGAGGCGCGGCGTGGAAAGACGAAGGTGGACATATAGCAGGGCGTGATGATGTGTGTTCTGTTACCTGTGAGGGGAGATCTCAAAGGTGTTTCCCCTTGGATATCCATTTGAGTAGCCACTAGCATGATGCCGGGGCACCACCTTTGAGGTGGCCGAGGAAGCATATGATGGCAACATCCGAGCTTGAGCTAGAGGGTGTAGAGTTGGTAGTGAAACACCTCGCCCAGCTCTTCGGAGTTGTGAGGGTTAAGCAGAGGAGAGCATCTAGAGGCAAGAGAAGCGAGGATTGCGATCGGGCGACAGGGAGACACAGGATGTGTCGGTTGGGGAAGCGAGTGTTGTTGGAGTGTCGTCGAAGCCGTGGTCGAGATGACGTGTGGTTGGCGGCTGTGGTCGACAAAAGAAGAAGCGCTGTCGCGTCTTGAGATGGATGTGGTTGAATTACAGGGGAAAGGAGATGCGACGGAATACGAAATCTGGTCGCGGGAGCTCACCAGCTAACGGCTACGTATTATTTGATTTTCAGACTGCCCGCCTCTCTGTTATCCAATGGTCCTAAGGGCACCTTGGCTGGGACTCCCTTGAATTAGCACCACATGTCCTGTGCAAGGGGTACGAATACAGCCCTCGCTACTCCCTTTAGCGCTTCAGATCACCCAAAGGTGCACCAGGGTGTAAGTACCTTCCTTGTCTCAAGGAACATGGGACAAGCAATGTCTTGACTTTGACTGAAAGTGTTGTGATTGGACAAATCCAAGCCAGGCTGTATCATTAGCTCCTATTAGAGACAGCAGCCAATGTAGTGGGCTTCGATAAGATAACTCGGTGCCCTGCCTCAATACTGGTTGTACCTCCCACCTATATACAATCATGCCTTGGCTTTACCTCTTGTCGTAAGGAAACAAATATGCACGCAAAGAATAACCGTGGAACTATTCTCGCACTTGCACTACTTGCTGCACTATCCTATTTTGTGCCATGAGTTACGGCCAGTTATCAGTACGCCAGGTCAATCTCTATCTTGTCATCAGACAAGACACCCGGACGAGTCATCATACCCGCTACAGCTGTCACTATGTGACAGGAAGGCCGCGAATTAGACAGTGGCTAAATGAGAATCAAACCTCATGAGCTTAGTCAAACTGAGGAGTAGCTGACACAGCCTGTTGCCCGATTGATGAGGCATTGCTTACATGCAATGCCTACACAGTAAGCCGTCTGCGAGTTGAACCGCAGCTTGAAGCAGCCCGATAGCCAGCAAGGTGGACAGCGGCACAGTTTGATTTTCAAAGATGGCAACTTTGCCGAATGATACTTATAAATAATGGTATCGAAGAAACATACGATTGCAATATGCCATTCTCACGCGTAAACATACTAACACCTTGCCTCTCCTCATAATGGCATGACGGTTATGAAAACTGGGAAGCCGCACATGCCCATATTGTGGCCTCTCTTTATTAATCACGAAATGAGAACCAATATGAATGGACCGATGTCTTCATAAACAGGCAATTAGTCGAAGGTTCCAAGTTGTCTTAGACATCACTCTCGATGAACTGAACGGTCGGTCTCAAACAAACATCAGGCACGCAATTTGGGATCGCAAGCGAAAAACATGTCATACGGGTCGGGCGTCACCATGAGTGCCGATAGAACAGTATCAGGACCCTGCTGAAAAGGTGTGTTAGCAACGGTGCAAACATGACGCACGTCGTGCCCAAGCTAGATGATGCCATCGGGTCAGACAAGCCGGTTTTACTCATTCAGCCAAGTCGGCCTTGACAGCCCAGAACCTCAGAACGAAGAACCAGGAAGCGAGACACTGAAATCAAATGATAGTCCCCTAAAGGACCGACTCCACCACCTTCCTCGCTACTCCAAAGAGTAGCTCTGGTGTGGGAGGATGACTCGACTGGCGTGAGATAGTTGAATGGATAAGCTATAGTCATCATGGTGAAGGGACAAGCATACAGCTTGGGCATTGAACGAAATGAGAGCGAGAGGGGGAGCTTACCTGACAACAGCAAGTCTGAGGGCGGGAATGAAATGGGAGCCTTGGGCCACAGCTCGCGATCCCATCATCGATACCTACGTTGCGTCTCCTGCCTGGCACACTTTTCAGTCAGCTAAATGGCTCTCCTCAATAGCATGCAACGAATTGGTAGAGATAGTCGTCATATCAGACAAGGTTTTTGGTATATGGGTATCATCACAGTGTTCAGTAGCAGAACTGAATGAAAGGTTTGTTCATCATAGTCGACAGCCATCGAGGGAGTGGCACTGGCGGAAACGTGGGAAGGGAAATCTGATTAACTTACCCGGGAAGAAACCAAGATAGCAAAAAGGGAGCTCGGCCATGGCCGAGCAACAAGACCTGTCCATTGCTTGCACGAGACCCTGAAATTTTTGAGAGTCAGCGCTTGCCCTCAATTGCCAATGCAAACATTTGTTTGAAGCCCAAGATAGGTGGGGGTCAGATGGTGATGCATGTTTGTTCTTGCGCTCAGGAGTTCGCGGGAACGGTGTGTATGATATACATCATAGAGTTGGGAGGCGGGTTGAGGGATACTGTGAACTTACAGAGCAAGAGGTCATCGAGCCTGACCTTGCAGCCGCAGCCTTTTTGCTGCTGGCCACAGTCGTGAAGCCAGAGAAGTAATTGTGGTTGGGGTTGATGTAGACAGAACGTTCGACCCTGCAGAAATTTTCAGGCTTGAAGTATTTGCAGACTATATGGCATAATATCATATACCCACTTAAGCTCGCTAATGTATCTAGGTAGGTCAGCACCAAACGGTCATTGCGTCTAACCGAGCTTAGCTGAGGCCCATCAGTTTGGCACCTCAGGAAAGTACCTTATGTGAAAATTCACTTCAACCCAATTTCAAGACCCCATGGCCAAGCGACGGTCATAGACAAAATAAGAGGGGCCGTTTTTGAATTTCAGCTCGCCGAACAGGACTCAATCAGTATACTCTAAAAAACATTGGGCGAGTTCTGCGAACTTGGTCTGAGGTTTTTGCATCCGCCAACACATCTTCCTCTTGCGTCACCAGCCGACCACGCAATCTTTTTAAAGGGCCGTCTTGAATATGGCCGATCGGCGAAGAATCAACGGGCCACCCGGCGCAACTTTACCGCCAGTCTACGACACCGTCAGCTCAAACTCAACTCCCCGGGCAAGACCAGCAAACGGCATACGGGGCTTGTGTTGGTTCACCCCCACCTTCTCATCGGCGCTTCATGAAGCTGACAGTAGCAAGTTCTCAAGACTGGGGTTACCCCGACGGCGTCAGGCTCAGCCTATATGGAGATCGAGCCTCCTCACAGCCATGTGAAATCAAAATCCAAGACCAATGGCATGAAACTTATCTGCACTGTCCACGGACCTCGCTCACTTCCTCGATCTGCACCATTCTCACCCTATCTGGTGCTCTCAACTCATGTCAAATACGCCCCTTTCGCCACGCGCCAACGCCGCAGCTACCTCCGCGATTCGAGTGAAAGGGACATCGGCGTTCATCTTGATACGGCTCTTCGTGGAGTCATCATCGCCGACCGATGGCCCAAGAGTGGCGTTGACGTCATTGTTACCATCGTTGAAGGCGATCAGGAGCGAGAGATTTCTCACCTTCTCGGCAATGAGGAGTGGGACATGATGAACGTTCTCAGTGGGTGCATTACGGTTGCTGCGGCTGCTCTTGCGGATGCTGGCATCGATTGCGTCGACATGGTCACTGGCGGTGTTGCGGCCCTTGTTGCGTCAGACAAGGACGATATGGCCTCGCCATCCATTGTTTTGGACCCAGTCTCCGTGGAACACGAAAAGATACTGGCTGCTTGCTGTGTCGCCTATTTACCAAGTCGTGCCGAGATCACCAATCTCTGGGTGAAAGGCCATCTTTCACTGTCGGACCCTTTACTGCATACGAAACTCGTGGGTCGTGCTATTCAAGCATCTAAGGGCAACTATCGTGCGGTTCTTGAAAGACTTCAATACAACCAACCTCCCAACAGCTAGATTATGAATGGTTAAGCGAGCTGGCCGGGCGGCATAAATACTAGGCTAGGGTTCATTGCCAGTTGCGTTGTGCTTCAATGAGCAAGGGGCTTCCTACATCGTTCGCCCAAACTATGGCCCGCAGACATGAAACCTACCATGTAGTGCTTGGAGCGACGGCAACAATGAGGTCCCTCGAGCAATTGGGGAAGACAAAGCTCCCGGTTTTGCGAACAAGGCTATGATAAACGGAAGGGTTTGGCTACTTTGAGAGTCACCCTTCCATGCAGACGAGGCTCTGGTGTACCACGTTATATTCATCGCCGATGACATCTGAGGGCGGTAGAATTATATTTATGCCAATTCGGGATCTTCGATGTGGAAAGACTGGGATTGGTTTTCTTAATGAAGGGCCTGTGTCATGAAGCTGAGCCTCGATAGGCCGAAGCATTCATTGCGTGCAGAAGCGTTGATACTTGTCCAAGATTGTAGCTGAGGGCAACAACCTACCTCCCAGGCACTTTTACGAAGAAGTAGAGAAGCAAATCCTATGGGTTAATTGATACTCATTTCCAGTTGCATGTAAAATATAGCTGTTCTGGTATGTGTGCATTTAAGGAGGGTCACAGCACCAAGCCTGCTCTGACTTGATGGTAGTTCACAATGATGCACAGTACTAGGTCAAAAGTCTGGTCACAGGATAACCCAACGAAGAAGTCGACAGGGGGACCCATTAATAGCTCGAGCTCGCTTCACAGTGCGTCACCAAAGACCCTGTGTCCTAACCACCTACTGTAGCTTTTGATTGGCCATCCTTATTGCTGTGACCAGACTTTTGACCTAATTAGTACTATAGATCGATATCCCTCTGCCGGGCTCTAAAGCTCCATACCCCAGTAACCGTCATTATTCCACATGAGGACTACTACCTAGGTAGGTAGGTACCGTAGGCGACACCGCACTTGTCAGTGCTTCTGTATCCACTTTACCCCAAGCATACCTACAGTTAAATGGGCCCACCTGTCGGAACACCGTCTCCAGCTGCTAGCTGTACGTACATAGCGTGGTGGAGCACACGCCGCTGCGCAGGAGCGACTCAGCGAGCTACCCGTTGCACGCGACAACATCCTATCCATCTCATCCGAGCCTCCGTCCATCTCCTCTTCGTCAACCCCCTTCCCCCTCCCACCTTCCATCTACCCACTTTCGATACCGTACCTATTCGACCGCTCGAGACAGATCTACCGACTCTTAAATTCGCCCGTCAATAAAGCGCCACCGACAACTGGTTTCCCAACCTCCTCTCTAACCGCCATCACCTATTAATCCTTTGACCAACATCTCCTTCTGCTCTCTGCCCGCATCATGTGCCGTCGCCTTCGACCCCACCGCTCATGATCCGTGTTGCGACACATCCAGCCGCTCTGGGCGACAAGGCTGCGGTCGTTTCCTCAGCCGACACCCGATCTTAATACCAGTGTACTTTCTAGCAGATCATGGACACTCCTCATCAACCAGTTTCGCTGGACAACCCCGGGGTCTGGCAAAACCTTTCGCTGTGGACTGCTTACCGAATACAATACGCCGTCAACGTTACCAAGCTCGCTCCGTCCCTCGAAGATCTGGTATGGGCTGGTCCGAGAATGGTGCAGAAGCTCGCTGCCTACCTACCCTTTTCTGATTCACTTGACGCTCTCGGTCAGAGAGTCATCCCCGAAGCAACAGGTTCTGGAATACTACGCACTACCGACCTTGCCACCACTGCCGCCTTCAGTATGGACATACCGCCTCCCATGGTCCGCTCTCACGGGCCTGGACCTGCTGTTCTGCTCAATTCGGATGTCGGTGGGGTCTCCCCTAAGTTCACCATGGAGGGCGCAAAAGGGCTTGGCAGTGTCTTCAGCTATGCCACGAGCAAATGGGCGCTTTGCTGTATTGCCATGGCCATCGTACTCAACCGCACCCACATCTTTGCTGCTACACGCCGACGCTTGCGGCTCACCTTACCCGTTCGGCTGCTGCTCCGCGGTCTTCCAGTACTCCTGTTTCTGGTACAAGCCCGCGGACTTCTGCGCTCAATCCAGTGCCAGACCTCCCCCGACTTCTCACAGATGCGATGGGGAAACACAAACAAGAGCTCTGATCTTATGTTCTCCCAAGCTGGGGGCTTCCTCCACACCATGAGTTCTACAATCTTGCTAGGTGCTTCAGACGAAGAGTCTTGCATGGCCGTGGGCATGGTGCCGGCAGATGTTGACGATGCGGCACAGGAACTGCGGGGTTCATTATCTCTCCTATGGCCGCTCTTTGGCACTTTTTGCCTTAGCCAATTCTTGGAGACCGTCTCCTGTGCCGTCCAGGGGCGACCCGTGGCAGCAGAGACGGGCATGACACTCTTCGAACACTCTCTTGCGTTTGCAGAAGCCGATGCCGCTATCAGCAATCAGCTGGGCTGGGGCTTATTTACTCAGTCGCAAACAGCAGAGGCTACGTCTAGTGCTGGTGGTACTATTGCCATCAGTCGTTCCATGATTCTAAAGAGAGTCAATACTTCGCCTGAGGTACTGTTAATCGCTTTCCTCTCGGCTATGAGCCATATCACCAGCCATATGCTGGGGATTTTTAATCTGCAGGCCAAATTTCGTCTGGTCAGCACTGGGTTCTGGGGTCTTTGCTTCATGGCGAGCATCCTCTGGAGTGCATTGACGTTCTCTTTGGACGATCCAGCAAAGCAAGGACTGCTCAGATTTCCCACGGTCTGTATCATCGGCTTCATTCCTCACGTACTTGTTCTTGGTGGCATTCTTGTCTGTTTGTTCATATACCTATTGGCTCTTGGGTTAGCCGCTCTTACTCCTACGGATAGACAAACAGGACAGAGGTTGAGTCTTCAAGAACGACTGGTCCACGCCCACGCAAACATGCAAGCCAACCTCTCCTTGTCCGACATCCGCATTGGCATGGAAATGGACTTTTACACAGCCTTGCTACGAACTGGGTTTGGCGCTATTACAATGGCAAGCGAAGCTGTTTACCTGAATGAAGACAGGGACGTCACCATGCGGGCCTATACATGGCTCGAGGAGGAGAGATATCGGGAGCTCGAGGATCTGCGGACTCAGTGGATTGGAGCTGGTGCGACGGACTCCCACTACGACACCATAGGTACCATCGGCCTGGTGCCAGTGAAAGATGATAACATGCTGGCTGCGAATGGTTACGCTCGCGAGCGAGCAGCACAGAAGGTGCCCAAGTCTCGTTCAGGAGAGCGACGGCTAAGGGACGGTGTCGGCGCCGCGGAACGAAGCGGCAGGTGGTTGATGGCACTGGATTTCATCATGAATATCAACAGGCTGATATTCCGAACGTGGGCTACAGCCATGCTGAAGATTCTGTCCAAAATCGGTCTCCGTCATCCAAAGTTTCTGCTCTGGGTCGTTCGTCGACCAAAGGCTGCCAATGATACAAGGAGCTCGAACCACGGTATCAGTACAAGTCGTGTACATGCACCTGCAGACTCGACAGAGTCTCTGAACATCCCCAGAATTGACGGCGTTGATGTCGAGTCTGAGTTCAGACAACAGGCATGGAGGGGAAGCCAGAACCGGGCCCCTATTGACGAGGCTGATCTTGACTCGAAGCTATACGGGTGGTGGCTCAGAGGAGGTTGGTGGGGCTCGAAAGACAACAGCGGCGAATACCAACCATACGCATCTAGCAACGCAGATGACGATGACGATGTCACAAGCGTTGTGTCATTCAGCACCAATAATGACAGTGAATGGGAGTCGGAGGAGGATGGGCAACGAACGCCTACGCAGTCCAGGTCATGGGCTTCCCGGGAAGCTACACCAATCCCTGAAGATTCACTTCAGTTGTCAGATCTTGCACGCCTGCTACATCCGAGCAACCCGGAGGAGAGAGAGGAGGCGCACGCTCTAGCTGCCCATCTGAACAGCGACAGAATCATGACCCGATCACAGTATCGTAGGGTACAGCAGCTACAGAAGACGAGGATCTTACAACCAGGCGGACGAGCCAGTCGTATCATGATGCGGCCGGTAAAGATGACGCCAGACGAGGAGGCACAACGTTTGGAACAGTTGTTACTGGCTCGCCGCGCCAACTCTACACGTTCCATGGATGATGGTGCATCGACGTGGGCTGAGGGCGCTGCCGGTCTTGGTCCGGATGGTCCACAATGTGTTGTCTGTCAGAGTTCTCCTCGCACCATCATCGTGTGGCCGTGCCGCTGCCTGAGCTTGTGCGACGACTGTCGCGTGTCACTTGCCATGAATAACTTCGATAAGTGTGTCTGCTGTCGCAGGGAGGTTATCAGCTTCAGCAGAATTTACGTTCCTTGAGTGTCAGCGGACTGGAACACTAGGACTGTCGGGTATGTATGTATATTGGAGATGCATCTCAATGAAACAAGATTGTGTTAGAGAGCACGGTAGCCATGTAGGCAGGTGTCTGTGGCTATTCGGAAGACTAGATTCGTTCATCGAAACGGGGTATCTTAATGGTACTATTTCATACAGAAGCTCTGGGCTTAGCATCAGGCGGTATCCTTCATTCATGATCATTCTTGTCCGCGTTCAATTACATCCCAGCCCATTCGACACAAAACGTGCGCACCTGGCTCGAGGATCCACCCAGGTCAGGGACCTCGCCGCCAAACAAGAATCCCTTTTTAACCGAGGTGCCGAGGCGACCACTGCCGACGACATCAAGCATAGGTATCTTCTCGTCCCAGTCGTAGTTTGTGGCGAGAAAGTGGGCGTGATATCGGAGTGGATCACCAGGATACACGCTGTAGTCAGCGCCGAAACGGAGGCCAGGCGTCATAAAGTAGCCCTTCGACTGTAGGTGCCGATGCAACGGAACAGCAGCAGGCCAACCCACAGGGTCCGACCCATCCTCCGTGAGGATCTGCAGGCCATCGCTAGTTGTCGGTGTGACTGTCAAGGCTGATTTGGCGCCCGAACTATCACGGGGTTTAGCAGAACTGTCCAGGATGGGTGTTTCTGGAAGGAACAGGTCCAATTGGTCAGCTGGGTTGGGGGCAGCGGAAGTTTTTTTGGCGCCGTTGACCCTCCTCGCTTGTTCCATGGCTGCCTTTTTGGCCTGGTCCTCAGCCAGTAGCTTCTGGGCCGTGTGCCGGCGATCCTTAAGAAGTGTGATATAGGCCTGGCGGGTGATGCCCTCCGGGGAGTGCAAGGACGACAAGTGGTACGAAGCCTCATCGACGAGACGGCCTACCTTCTTCTCGACGAGCACGCTGGCCTCTTCAGGTAGTAGCTCAAGCGGTAAACTTAAAAACACGTTCTGGGTTGGATTCTGAGGTGTAGTTCCCACTAGCACTGAGCAGATGTTGTGGTTGCGCCGAATGATAGCCACGTCTTGGGCGTCGAAGACCAGATAACGGTCTGCGATCTTGGAGATGCGCACAGGAGGGGGTACAGAATCCTCCGACGCTGCCATGATTGCCATTTGCGACACGTCCTGTCCGGTGGGATTTTGCCCCCGTTATTCGCCTACTCGTCGAGATATTAGCAACTGCTGAAATCAATATTTAGATGTCGCATAGCAAATGGAGTGGAAGCCACAAAAATCATATTGCATTAATGAAAGGTATCGTCACAGAGTGTCAGTGGATTGACAGATTGATTGAGATTAAGTGTTTAATCATTTGAGCTTTTCGAGGAGGAGATAGGAAAGAGGCTGTTCAGCGACTTACCCTGATGCTTGGTTGTTGGGGTCAAAAGGGAAGAAATCAGAAATTTTTGGAGAGTTTGGAGTTTTGGAGTGTGTTGGTGGAGCAAGGCGGTCAGGCAGTATCTTCCGTGTGATTCAGTCTGTGGCGCAGTGGCTGTGCAATTGTTGTTCTTGGTACGTAGCATTCACTGCTGCCCTATCTCCTCCATCTTGCATCGGCGTTATATTCCTTGGCAACCTGATTATAAAAAAGGTGTAGCTCGCCTAGAAATATGGCCTCGCATTTCCGATGCCGTCGGCGATCAAGCCCCGTTGGTATAAAGCCCCCCCCCCCCCCCCCACAAACCCACGTTTGTGATTGCGTAAAGCACAAAGTATTAGTTGCTTAGCTAGTCCTGTCATAGTCATGATTGTTCTTGCATCATCGTAGGGCATCACGTTCGGAGTTTATTTATGTCTTGCGAGCACACACTCTTCTGCGATGCATAATTTCGATTCCGTGGATACATTCGGGTTGTCCACAAGTGGTTGCAACTCAAAAGTCCAATTTTTCTTGCTTGTTCCCCTCATCCTTTGCCCCCTTGGCTTCTTCGCCAAGCATAGGAGGCAACACGTAGGGCTTGAATATTAGCCCGCTGAAACTGCTTAGCCTGAATGACAGGTTCTCCCGAAAAGACTGCCCTTCCAAGCCGCCTCCTCTCTCGTGATACAGGGGAAGTTCATGGACCTTCAGCATGCCCTGCACCGCATCCTCTGACTTAGTGCTTGGCTGCACGTGTACTTTTCGCGGCAGAGGCAGCATTTCGAACACTCCATCACACAGGAGCTCCATCCATCTCGTAAAGCCAGTCGACCGCGGGAACAATGACGTCGAAAGTGATATCATGGCCGTTAATCTTCCATTGTGATGGCGCAACAGAGCTCTCAACTTGTGCAAGAACTGGAGCGCGTGCTCCGGCGGGCAAACCGAGGATCCATAAAGCGCGGGCGATAGAAGATTCGGCACTATGACCCTATGAATAGTCCCAGGCGGTGATCCCTTCAGCCTTGCTGCGATGTTGGCAATGAAAGCATCTAACGGCGACAAGCTAGCAGATCCTTGGGGTTGAAGCCAGCTCATCGCGACCGTCAACGGTGTCGCATGAAGTTCGCCCTTGACATCACTAGACTGCAGGCGCTTCCCGAGGTCAAACATGTGGCAAAAAGCTTCACGATAATTTGATGTGTCATTTGTCGAGTCTGGGTGGGGTCATGAGAGGTTAGCGTTTTTGGCCATAGTGGGAAGTATGAAGAACCGGAGCGACAACATACCAGGGCCGGGATCATTCCCTAAGCTCTCGTATCGCCACGCAATTTTCATTTTGCCGCCTTTTTCGGATTCCGGTTTGCTTCTACTCGAGCCGCTGGGTTTGGCAAGGCCTGGCAGCTCGCCTATCCATGCTTCACTCGGTCCAAGCACGTGCACTTGGTGTCCCTGTAAGAGGCCTTCCGCGGCATAATATTTGAGAACAACACCTGCAAAATCTGTTGTTCCAGATTCCTCAACAAGCATACTAGATCCGAGTGGTAGACCTGCATGTCCCGCCAGAAGTTGATCAAGAGATGCTGTCCCAGTTGATATCGTAGGGCGGCCATCAAGGGGTGACGGACGGACTCCTACCGGAGGCAACACTTCTTGCCTGGGGGCGATTGTTTCCCCTCCCGAGCCTTTGGTGGATGGACCGAGAACGACGTTCTTCTTTCTGAACGACATAGCGTGGGTGTTGTGTCTGCGTATTGTGGATTGAGTCACAACCACTGTCCCTGATCCAGCAAATTTGGACTCAGTGTTGTCCAAGTCAAGCGCCTGCGAGTGTGTTAGAAAGGCTTCACGTGCAACGCATCCGGTGAGTAACTCACGCTTGCTTATCGCCTCGCATATGAGAACAAAACCAATCGATAATTGCAGAGACTATACAAGAATAATAGTATAATAAATCGACTGGTGAATAGAACAAAATAGGCATGTACTGGACGCCTTGCTCAGCGTTATCTCAGTCCTTGCCTAGATTCGTCCTTTATCAACGTTGCTGAAGAGGGCAGGTGGGGGTGGGGAAATATCACTTACAAAAATTTGAGCCAGGCTTTACGGTACGTACCGTGCCTAAGGTTCTTCAATTGCTTGCTATACCGGATAACTGCATTTCTAGACTTTTTTTATTATTTTCCTTTCTATCAGGGCTTGATGCAAGTCCGCTGTTGCCGACCACGATCTTGAAGCTTATGCATTGGCGACTACGGCCTATTATCGCAAGCACTGAACCTCACGCCACAGAAAACCCAGACTTCCTGCCTCGAAGCCATTTTCCCAACACCCACTCATAAGCATGTCAGGCAGCGGCGATGTGACTCTCTTTGAAGAGTCTTTTACTGTCACCAACTACGATCAGTCCAAGTACGATCGAGTCGCCCGGATCTCCGCTACTTCTACGGACAACCAGACCCTTATGACCCTCGACATCAACATTGAGCTATTCCCCACCTCTGTATCCGACAGCCTGCATGTGGTGTTGGCGACGTCCCTGGCCCACGACGGGAGCAAGGATGATGAGAAGGGATGGAGGGACGTCACCAAAGGCAACCAAGACCGAGAGCCTACGTTGGCCGATATGTTTGACTACGTATGCTACGGAAAAATCTACAAGTTTGAGGACGCCGACGACGGTCAGACCATGTTAGTCTCCTCGCTGAGTATTCATTGTCCATAGCACTGGAAACTGACAATACCCTCGCTATAGCAAGGCTTACGTCTCCTTTGGCGGTCTCCTGATGTCTCTCGAAGGCCCATACAAGAAGCTTACTCCCCTGAGAGTCGATTATGTCTACTTGTTGATCAAGAAATGATGAACAAGGTGCTGAAACTGATCACAGTAGATGGCCTCCAGCTCCCTTCCGTTCGATTTCGTCGCGCACGAAACGCGAGGCGGCACGAAGTCCATCGAGCCTAAGTCTGTCCGAGGAGATTTCGAGAGCTGAGAGCTGAGAGTTGGTCTGGGTCAAGGACGTTCAGGAAGATAACAAAAACAGAAAAGGGCGGGTTGGACTGATAATAAGATCCCCCTTTTTCCGAACTCTCGCTGGCTTATTCGTCAATGGCCCCTAGAGACGGGTCTTGGTTGTGCGGCCCAGGGAACGGGATTCTTCGATGAATTCTTCGCACGATTCGGTCGTAATCGGGTTCGTTATATCTGGTTAAGATGCCGTGGCGGATAAAAAAGTCGAGAACGACCAACGCACAGTTGGGTTTCCACTGGCCCTGTGCTAGCCCCTCCAGAACTTGCTCAACGGTGCAGAGGCTGAACTCGGCGACCTCGCCGTCCTTTGGTAGTGGCACAATGTCTTCGGGTAGTTCGAGATCATAAATCCACTGAACTTCGGGATAGATGAGCCCCTCTTCGCCCGCCTCTGCCTCTGTAACATAAATGTACGTAACGCCGCCGACATACTTGGCTCGGTGGCGAACAACCTGCTCTGGCAAGCTAGCTTCCTCATCTGCTTCGCGGATTACGCACTCAAACGGATCTTCGCCCGTCATCAGCCCACCAGCGACTGTGTTGTCCAGCATCCCGGGAAATGTCGACTTGGTCGGAGAGCGGCGTGGCACCCAAATCTTGATTCCGTGGCTTACATTCGGACAGTGTACGAAGGCCGTCATGTGAACGCCATATCTCATGACGCCAAACAACCCAGAGGCAGCCCTTTCAATGTTAAAGAGAAGCTCACCATGGCGGCCATAAACAGGCCACAGCTCGTCACGCCAACCTCGAAGGATTGGAAAGGTGTCTCTAGCCCTCCAATAGTCTGCTAGATCCGCTGCCAGCTTGCTACGACTTTCCAATGTCGATCCCTGAAAGGCGCGGATGATGCGCTTCTCTGAATCAACTTGGACTTTACCCTTGATACTGTCGGGTACCTCAAGTAGCTTCTCCACAACTCGGGGCAGGACGTATCCGAGCGGCACCTCGCCCTCGGCATCATCCCAGACAAGAGTGTAAACGGACTCTGGCGTCTCGGCAGGCAGAGTCTTGCACTGTGCGTACGGGTATCTGTATTGATTGATGGTCAGCTGCGGGGTTCAGCCTTCAAGAGTTGTGCTAGCAGAGTAGATGGCTCTCACGAGTCTACCTGGTCGATGAGATCGATATTAGTAAAAGTCTTCATCATGAAAGTGTTATTTCTGCTCGCAGTTCGCGTGACTGAATGGAGTGTGCGGTGGGGGTATAGCGTTCGTAACTTGATATTTGGGGTGTTGGTGAAGACAAGGGCTTTGGCTGTGACCCGAGAAAATGCTTGTGAGACAAGTACCTTTTGCCTGCTTGTTTCAATGAACATTGAGGTTTTGAGGGCGGATCGCTACCTGCTGCCAGGCTGGTTGGTCAAAATGATGCCTACAGGCCAACGCTGGAAATCTTTGATTTAGGCCCTGATCTTCTCGCCGCCAGTCGCCTATTGCCAATTGCCAGGGGTGCAAAGCCACTGACTCTGCCACCAACCTAACGGTTGATGTACTGCCGCGATGTACCCCTAATCTGACCGCCTACCATATTCAGCAACTATCTGTTAATCTATAGTGTTTTACTTCCCTAGCAATAGATCCTGGCGACTGGCAGAGGTTTCTAGGATGCTAGAATATATGGCAAAAAGCTGGCAATACGCATGGTTTATACCTGATCCGGTCTGTCTCAGCCACTGATCCAGAAAGGAGCATCGCATAATTCTAACTCTGAGAAGCAAACGGATCCGGCAGCAAGATTACAGCCAAAAAGAGGGTTGGCGGCCTGGAAAAGCGTTCGGAAGGGTTTCCGGCACTTTTATGCACTGCTGACATCAGCCTGGCAATTGGCAACAGGCGACTGGCAGCGAGAAGATCAGGGCCTTATTCAGGCTAGGTAGTTTACAGCCGGCACGCTCTCGAAAGGTACGTACATGCGATGTACATGAACTGAAAGTCTCCAGCGGATCTGATAAAAGGATATGATTGGTCAATGTAATCGACTCTTCTCCCGACGTCTCGGGGTTTCCTGCTGCTGCTGCTAGCCCCACTCTCCAACATAACGACGATTGCCTTGGTTACTTCGTACCTACCTACCTACCTACCTTATTTCCCCCCCTTGAGACCATTGACGGGTCTGCATTGACTGTCAGAAACTGGTATATTAAAAGCGAAGTTTCGTCCGTCTTTGAATAACTCTAAATCGTATCCCTTGTACAATCACTGTACAACTCTACTGTCCTTTCGGATTCCGTCACTGTAACAGTTTGTTGACGGGTTATACCATCATCTCGCCAAGATCTGCAGCAACCAGCAAGAACACGGTTGAAGCAGCATACCCGCACAACCATACTACGCCAGATTGGACACCCCAATTGCAAATACGCTTTTAATCCAGCTCGCCCAACCGACAATGTCCGGCCCTCTTTTCGGCATCGTTCCGGCTGGTCAGCCTCTGTTGACGGACCCAACATCGGCACCCTCAGGAACTTCCTTTCTCTACTCCGTGTCCGCCGCCCGACCATTCTCCCACATTACTGTCCTACTGCTCCCCGGCATCGTCCTACCTCCGAATACTGCCGCTGCCATCTACTTCGCCACGGCTTCCGACGTCTCCGCCGCCACAGCCACGGGTCAAACCCCAAACTTCAAATTCCTCGGCGGTATAGGAACGGGTAAAGAGAGCGCCACCTTCAAGATCAATGCCGGGGGTAGCACCAACAGTAGCGACAGAGATCCAAATACCGACAGTGTTATGGTAGGCGTCTCCATTGAGCCGGCCGAGTCGGTGTTCTCGCGAATCCAGGAGCTTTCGGCAACCCGGTCATCCCAATCGGGCGCCGCTTCCCAGCCGTCCACGCAGCTCTTGGCGCAAAACATCATCAAGAACGCTTTTAACTTCCTCGCGAGCTTCAGTGGCACAGCTGGGCCTGGTGGCGTTGAGGTTGTGCCATTAAAAGCGTTCGAGGAGTGGTGGAAGAAGTTCGAGAGCCGTGTCAGATCCGATCCCAGCTTTCTCGAAAGAGCGCAGGACTGATACGGCGAAGCCACGTCATAATCCGTACATAGTCATTCTAATTGATACCCCCAATGAAAATATTGCTGTTGTTGAGAACCATAGACCAGACATGCTCTGTTCTTTTAACTATGAAGTTCTGTCCAAGCCATGTGGAAAGGGCCAACGATCCGGTGTCATACAACTCCCAGATGCAAGGAATCGAATACAGGTTCTGCAAAAGCTCAGTGCTATGCAATGCCATCCCAAATAATATCATCTAAGCGGCCCGTGATAGTCATGTGACGGGAACGCCATTCTGCCTCAAATCCTAACTCCTAGCGGGGTGAAATGCCTGGAAATCACCGTGGACCCGAAACGCCCTCAAAGAAGAAAATAACAGAACTTCAGGGGCAAGAAAAGAAACGTAAAATACCGGTAAAACACTCTCATCCAATCGCTTCCCGTAATGATTGTTCTTACACTGCAAATCGTGGGCAGTTCTGCCCCCTAGTCCTCACCTAGTGGTTTCGTAAGTGGGCTTTTCAGCCTGGTTGGACTACCAGCACGACTGCGACGGCCCGCATTAACCGCACTTGGTACAAGTCTCTCTCGGCTCTCTGTTCTTACCGCCAAACCCCCACGATCCATGGAAAAAGGCGGACGCACATCATCGAACCGCTCAATGTTGAGTTTTGGAGTGGCAAGTCCCGAGGACCGGCCAGCCCGAGAGCCCTCGCTGCTGTCAGAGTGCTCGTTCTCGTCTGAGTCGACGGAGCCTAGCTCGAATTGGTCCACATCGCCCTCCTCAAGGACCCGTTCGTAAGTCGCCGACGACCGTCCAAAAAGTTTATTGGTGAAGGAGAAGCCCCGTCCGAACTTCCGGGGGCTGCCCGGACGTCTTGTTCCCCGCACGGCAGAAGCAACCCTACCAAACCAGCGAGACCGGCGATCACGCTTGCGCAAGAGGAAGGCAAAAACTACCAGAATCAGGATGAAGGCCAGAATGCCGGAACCCGACTTGGTCTTGGCTTTGTCCAACAGCTCAGTATCCCAGTCGTCATCGTCATCGTTTTCAATCGTGACGGGTGAGAACCTAGAGCCCGCCGGCTCAAAGTCCGTAGCCCCAGCAACATTGCTTCCAAATCCGACTGGCAGAGCTGTGCCTCTGGGCGGGACCTGGCCTGCCGCGTAAAGCACAATCTTGCCCAATGTCCAGCTGACTTCAATGCCGTCGATCTCGTTAACAGGTTGGAATGGGTCAACAAACCCCTTTTCCTTCGCATCCTCCAGGGTTTCTTTGGTAACGTTCAGGCTAGGGTTCGGGGTGTGTTCGAGGCCAGGCCTAGGAATACCGATGCCTTCGTACAACACATTAATGAGCCAGGATGCCTTGAAGCAAGCTTCTTGAGCGTTTTTAGCTTTTTCAGCAGCGGACTTTTTCCTGGCAAGGATGTTGGTTTCGATCTGCGACCAGTCCTGGGTGCAAAAGTCCACAACATTCTTCTGGTACGTTGCTAGGTCGTATGCCGTCTTGTGGTCCTTTCCGAAAACTCCATGCGTAGTGTGCCAGAACTCGGACACGCCAACAAAGTGGTTTACATCAAAGTCGATGCTTGGCACGTGCTGGCCGTTTAGCAAGCAGGGCTGGTCTTCACACGGCGTGTCCTTTCCAAGTAGTGGCTCGGTCCGTTTAAGACATTCGTCAAACTGGCCGGTACCGAGGAGCGACAGCTCCTTCCCTGCCAACTCGCTGGCGACCGGTTCGCCTTTGAGGGTCGTTCGTAGTCCAGCAGGCAGACATGGGTCCGGAAGCTCAAGACCATCAGGCTTGCCGTACTGCTCCTCAAGCTTATTGACATATCGTTCGCGGGCCTGGTTTGCACCGTAGCCAAGCCAAGTGGCAGTGAAAACACGATGCTCGACGGTCGAGCCGTCAAGGGTCCGCAGGCGAACAAGCTTGAGATCGTTGGCGTGTTTCTCGGCTTCTGTAGTATTTGGGGCAAATGCGATTTGCGCCGAGGCGCCCCCCATATCCAAGAAGCCGTAGGTGTGGTGGCCCTTGCCATGCGCGTGCTTGTCGGGGTAATCGAACCCACCCAAGAGGTAGTTGGTGGCGAGCCAACCATACAACCCTTCCGTTTCACCAGATATGACTTGAATGTTGGTATTGCAATCAGGTAGCGAGAACCGAGTGTTTTGCTGCAGATACGAGCACATGTTCCTTAGCAGGGCTTTTTGTTGGTGCTCGGGAAGAAGACGCATGCCGGCGGTGGCCATGAGGTAAACGGGTGTGTCTGCAACCTTGCTGGCGGGCACTTCCTTGAGAGCTCTGTCGATGAGCGACTGCAAGTGTTCGCGACCGATCTCCTCAGGTTTCTCGGCGAAGGACGACACGCCAGGGCGCGTCTTCTTGCTCGTTTGCAACTTGATCTTTGGCAGACTATGTAGCTCATCAATGGAGGCATTATTGATGGCTTTGGCGTGATCCTTCCATTTGTAAACGTATAGACGCGTTCCTGAGGAACCCGCGTCGAAGATGATACCATATCGCCCTGTACGAATAAGCACTCGGTCAGCGTACTGTGATTCAAGATGTAGGCTCGGAGCGTGCTGGTCATGATGTCAGATTGCGTACATTTTTTCCCCATGAGGAGCAGCTGGTGGCGTTAGGCTGCGCCGTGGCCAACGTTGCTAGAATATGGTTGTTGATCGTGGGATGCGAGAGGGACGGGAAAATAGAAGGGATCGCGGCGTAGGGCGATGATGCGTTTTTTTGATGGAGTAGTGGAGCGGTTTGACGAACCGTGTAGCGATTTTGTTCGCAGCTCGTGGTTTTCTTTCAAGCGTCTTGTCCAAGTGTATCGTTCGAGACCAAGGTTGTTCGCAGTGGTATACAAGCCAGTGGTAGTTGGGCGGCGTGGCGAAGAATGCGGAAATGCTATCGCGAGAAGGGAAAAAAGGCCAGCAGTCGGAACTACAAAACAAGGGTGATGGGTATAGATTTGTTCGTAATGGATTTCCCAGGGTTCGTCGAGTGGAAAGTTAGCGAGCGTCGGTCATCCTAGGGATGCTCAGGAGAGATTCGGGAACGAAGGCTGGCAAAGGTTGGCAATTGATTGCTCGATTGATTGATTGCCCGCGTCAGGGGGGAGAGCTAAAAATGGAAGGGAGAGAGAAGTCTGGAGATTCGGTGGGTTGGGTGGGTAGGTAGTCAGTCAGTCGCTGCCATAAGCTGAGTGGACAGACGAACGGGAAATGGCTTGAGAACAAAAAACAAAAAACAAAAGAGATGGAAATAGTCTGGACTCGTATTGGACCTCTGCGGGCAGGGGATTACTGAGTGGCAGGGTGTGACGCTGCACTCGGCGTGTCAACCACTGTGCGCTGCCGTACGAGTTATGTTAGATTAACCTTGCAAGCTCGAGACGTAACCTGCTTCTTCGCACTGGTCTTCTTTTTTCAGTCTGACCTTACGGGAACAGCGATTGACAGAGGGGTGACGGTCAGAGGTGCGGCGCTGGGCTGCACTGCGCGGCGGCAGAGACTCATCTTCAAACAGGGAGTACGTAACCATCTGATGTTTGACCATGATTGTCTCTTCTTGGAAATCGGAAGTACACAGTACGGCTCAACTAGTGACTCTCCTTAGAGGTAGACTGCGAGTGTTTTCGTAATGGAAGGTACGACAAGTACCATATCTTACGAAGTACTAAGTAAGCTGCCGCCTGTGTATCAAGGCAAGTACTCGAAGATGCGGCGTATGTTTGCGAAAGCAAAGGCAAGGCGAACTGAGGCCCTGCTTGTTTGTGTCCCCTTCATCTTTCCATTTCTTCGTCTCTGCCTCGCCAAACCACTCCCCCCTCCCCCTTCCGTCACATACTAGATAGAGTCTGGTGAGACTGTTATGTTCGGCCTCGACCCTCCCTTGAGTTCATTTTTGTTCCTCGTTTCATACCTTGCGTCCAGGAAAAAGAAAAGAAATAAGGGCCTCGAGGGACCATACCAAAACACCCGTTTCTCCCTCCATGAGTAGGTAGGTGCCTTGCACTGTGCAGATCCAGTAAATCAGGTAGTGTAAACGTTGTTCCCGCCTATCACTGGCCTGTGCACTCTACGAATTCTACAGATGCTCCGAAAGCTCGGTGGATGTCAATGGTCGCGACCAGGTGGTGTGGGTGTGTGGGTTCCCTCCTCTACCCACTCGATCACGGAACTTGGTTGGACCCCTGACTTGGCGTGTCACATTAGCCAGCCATCATGGAAGGCTACGGAACCGCCTCAGGTACCTAGGTAGGTAGGTGGCACACCGCGCACCGGTTATCTCTCCCTGCCAATATCATCTGCGAGAATAGAGGCATCTTTCTCTGTCACGAAAGTCGTGGCGCCCACTCTCTCTATCATAGCGGATACACAGTACAAAAGTAGAGGGCCTGCAATGTTCTCTGGAATCTTCGACACGGGTGCCATGCAGTGTAGGCTGTTGCCACGCAATCAGTGCCCTCCGTTTACGGTCAGGGAATGTTCCGCTTATGTCGCCAAGTTTCTTGTCAACCAACCATGCAGAGTCGCGACGGACAGTTTCACTAGTGTGGACTGTTCTGTCATAGGTCACAGGTGCACCTACCAAGGCGAGACCAGGCCACATCTTGGCTGATTGCGGCTAAAGTATACGTACTCATCCCGTCACTCCTTGTTTAGGTAGGTACCTAATGACAATCTCGGAGTGCCTGCCTTTGTGTCTTCCTCCTTGGCCCACCAGAACTGTTCAAAGATAAGATACGACAACATGACTGGCTTTACGCGTGTAAACTCCCTCACCTAACCTAAAGACCAAGGACGCTGTCAAGCCAAGCTGCCACTAGACCTAGGTACTATCAGCGACCAATATTCTGCAAGGGGAGATCCAAAACAATGGGAACAGATGGATATATGGATGGAAAGTAAACAAAAAACGGTTCACCAATGTGCTTTCATTCCTTAGCCCCTTGGTTACTCTATCTGCCACAAGATGCTAATGCCTCTCTGACTGTGAGATGTCTAACTGGAACAAATCAATGTCAATGCCTACCTGTCTGTACCCTGGTGTTAAGTCAATTGCCCAACACTTCCATCTCCAGATTTCTCCGCATCGTCCACCCTCTTTTTCCTCCCATCTTTCAACTCCTGTCTTCGTCCCAACGCATGTTTCCCGCTCGCAATTGACAACCGAATCCTCCGAGCGCCGATGTTGAGTCTAACGTCATACGCAAATTACATTACCTATCCCCTCTAAGCCTGCAGCGAATCGCATCCGCATTCCGCCGCGCAGCGTCTGTGGTCCCTAACGTCAATGCTGACCGTGACCAGCTTGCTCTGATGGGACGAGAACCTTATGCCTCTCACTGCGCGCCTAGTTCACTCGTATCTAACACCCTGGGCCCCGGCTCATTAAACACGTTGCCATGAACTATAACCCCCGGTTGCCAATGGCAAGCACGAATGGCGACATCATCAACCTTGCCCGTTCTTTCTGGTCAACAGACCATGGGCTTTCGTAGTCACCTTTCGGGCGACCGCATCGTTCTGGAGGTCTTTGAATTGCTGTTGGCATTACGCATCAGCACTTCCCAGCTCGCTGATTGCTCTTGCTCATCTTGAAGACGATTTCCCCTGCGTTAACGCCGGCTGCCAAACAGGGTTTCATCGGGTCGTAACATGTGCTGCCCAGGTCCTTACAGGGGATTATTCCCAGCTACACTCTTTGATCCATTCTTGCACAATATTTTGTCCTTGTATCCATACTATGTGTTTCCTCAGCCGTCGATTCTCCCCTAAAAGCATGCTTGAATCATGTGCCTTTCATGCCTTGTTTCCGTTCCTCCCTTTATTGTTCCACCTCGAGCACAAGACCCTTGAAAGGAGGGACGGTTGGTAATCGATATCAGCTATCATGGCTTCTATCATGGACTCGGCATGTGACCAAATGTTGTAGGCACCAGAGCCGGGCGTTGACCAGCTATCATAGGGCGTCAGCGACGAAACATTGGAAATTGTGAGGCCAGTCAGCAAGCACCTTGAGAATATGACCGAGCCATGTTGCGCTCCATCGGACCACGACTGCCGCGGCTGTCATGTTTACCATGTCTAATGTGACTGGTTCTAATACCAGATGAAAGACCTACGCCTAGGCCATAACCATGCGGAACTGGTGGGTGTCGTGGGTTTGTATCGTTGTCGTGTACACCAAAGTGACCATGAGTCGAAGTGGCTAGCCCGGAAGCTGTAAGTAGCCCGAGCCTAGTATGGCTCTTTGTGCCATGCCCCTGAGGGGTCCCGCGCGGAGTCTGTATAACACTGCCTGCATCGGCCATCAGCCTACCAATTGGTAGCATGGAGCCGTTGGCGGGCTGGCCTTGCACCGATCCGGACTTCGACCAGGCGTTATCCTCACGAAGCGCCCCTGGACCTTTACCGGTTTGCGCTTGCCGGCTTCCTCTATCCTGCCCAATGGAATGAAGATGATCATTGTTTACTGGTTCTCTTTGCGGTTCGTATATGTTCAACCTCGTGGTAGGACCCGAGAGATCAGAGCCTGGTGCGTATGTACCGCACCGGAGGCTTGATTCAATCGCGTCTACCGCAGCGGCTTCCATCTGCCCAAGGTCGGCTTTCCTCTTTACTCGGTCATAGAGTTCTTGAATCTGTGTGAGCTTGCGGCTCTTTTCTTGGTAGGCATATACAAGCTCTTCGTGTTTGCGTCGCTCGTTGTCGCAGTTATCTGAAAGGGCTGCTGAGATATTAGCCAGCATGCTCAATGCCAGAGGTAGAAATTCGGCTTGCTGGTGGACTTGCCTTGCACTTTTTCTTGAAGACACATAATTTCTGTGCTGGCGTCATCCGCGTTTTTTTGGAACCTCATGTCCAGTGACTTTAGCTTTTCTGTCAGGGTTTTTTCAAGATATCGCTGGTAAACGCTTCATAGGTCAACGAACCAACTCGAGCTTTTGCTAGAAGTCAGAGCTTACATTTCCTGGGTGGTCTGGTAGGCCCAGAAACTCAGTGCTCTTCCTGCACATTCCATGATGATGTTTGGACTCAGTCCGCTTAATATGGTTGTCTTGTAGTCCTCGGTTAAGTTTAAATGGGTCACCACCGCGTCGTCGGGGTTGATAAGCTGGGACCTGCACGCAGGGCAGGTGCCACGCCGCTCTTGAACTGGTCCCGTAAGGCCATGGTTGTTTGAACATTCGATACAGAATATATGACTGTCGAGCGAGATTTGTCAGTTGTGGTAGCAGATGTCCTGCAGCATTCCCCTGCTCACCTGCACGTAGTGACCAGTGCTTGGTCGCCGAGCTCCTTTCGACACTTGAGAACGTTGCATTTGAGTGTGTGTTCCATGGCTGAGCATGTGTCCAGCTAACACGCACTGTACTACCGAGGAGGTAACGCTGGATTGCTTTATCTTTCGGTGATGGCAACGGATACAGCGACAGCTTCGCTCAAGGATGGAGACCGTGAAACGTCAAATCTTTCTTGAAGGCTTACTGCTCGTGTCGACAGGAAATTCTATGCGGTACGGCCGAGAATCGATGCGGAACAATGTGTTCTGGTGCAGAATGTCAATGCATCCCTGGTTTCGCCGAGATGCTGCGTCGGAGACATTGGTGAAGCTGCGAGGTTGGAATAAAGTCCCCATAACTCACCTTCTTCTCTCCCCTACTCCCTTACAACAATGGGTCGAAAAGTAAGGTACATGTCTAATGTACACGGTAGTCCACGATTGGAAAGTACTGCAAGATACCTGCCTCCTCTCGAGGGAAACTGCCCAAGTCGTCTTGTGAAGCTCTTAGTCCATCTAATGAACGGGTCACACTGGTGGGCCTCAATTGCCTGGTTTCAAGCGCCACCTTATTACCAGACGTGTAATCGTCTGGCGCGAAAACATTATGATATTGCGGTTATGACAACCAGGCATCGTCGACTAGGCTCACTGTGTTGACCAGCAAGGCTCATTAGATTCCAGCAAAAACCACGCGAGGGATTCAGAGGCTATTGAAAAGTCTCGGTGACACTCCTGCCTAATATGAGCGTCATAAAATGGACCTGTCATGGGGCAACGGTAGCCCGGGAACTTGGTATTGCGGTTCTCCATGTATCGGTCCATCGGCCGTTATTGATTGGCCCACCATCATGGCTGTAAGTCCTTCCCAAACTCTAGCTCTGCCAGTGGGACCAGCAATTCAGTTGACAACTCGTATACGGTTGGTTTCATTGGTCGAGACTAGAGGACAAGGTGCGAGATGTCTTGAAACGTAAAATACATCACTTTCCGTCTCTGTTTACGATAGAAGGGTCTTCTAGAAGGGCTGGCATCGAGACATCCGCGAAAACTTGGTCGCTGTCGGATGCCGCCCTTCCCCGGAGCCACAAATATATTGGGAGACAGTTAACCGTATTATAGAACTCTACTTCGGGCAAGTGCCAATCAGAGAAACCGAGCAACGAGTACTCCCCTTCAGGAAATATTAGCCGGTGCTCAATTATGGCCATTTTCTTCATACGACATATCCATCCGTCTAAGTCATGTCTGCTAGCTCGCCGCGCTATATAAGGTAGTCCAAGGGGTCCAGCTTGCTACCAGTCGTGGCATGTGGAGTCCACTACTTCCCTTCGCCCAGATAGATCACGAGAGACAGCTTGGTGGCAGACACACGAGAACGGACGAAGCTTCCTCGTGCAGCCCGCACTTATCATTGTTGAAATATGAACATATGTGGTGGCAACGCTTAGGCAAAAGCATGGATCAAAGGAAGAGGAGGGGAGACGGCATGGAGATGACATGGGCATGTATCACGGGACGAGGTTTGATGTGGGGTACTGGTGATGGGCAAACATTGACCAGGGTCGGTTGTCCTCCGTCACATCTCATTCATCGTCTGTGACTCTGTGTCCCCATCCATCTTCCCTGAAAGGGAGCCAAAAAAAAAGTCGCTACGGCCCGACAATCCAGATGACCATCCTCGAAGCCCACCCCAATAACACATTTATCCGCCCAATCACAACTACCGTCTCCTCGGACACCTGCACGTCTATCCTAGTCCAGCTACTATACCTCGGGTTATAGCACCTCATTAACACCAACCGTCCATACAACGTTATACAGCTCTCATGTTTGGGTGACTCTGGTGGCTCATTCTCGAACCGTCTGCTCCGGTCCAGCCGCTCACGTCCCTCTAGGTTTGTCCTAGCCGATCCCTGTCGGTCCGTCGTTCAATACGCACATACGTCAAATTACTTAGAGGCTGAATTGTTATCCTTGCCTCTTCCTGGACTGGGGATGGTTGTGCAACCTGAGGTAAGGTACGGCCGGCATGCTCACACATATTCGTTCAGGGGTAGCAGTTAATTGATACTACCTCCCGCTTTTCTTCGGCCGGCTCGTCCCTGATGCCGACATCCCTGCCCCCCAAACACACCGAAACAGAATGTGATATGGGATGGTTCATGAAGCCCCGCGTCATTCGGGAGTTGTAGTCATTCTCCCAGGGTAGTTGTTCATCTCGTTCGCAGCAACATCGTCACGCTGTGCCTCATGCGGGGTTCTCAAGGGTCGTAGGCTAGAGTTACTTCTCTCTTTCCCTCCTCATCCTGCTGACACTCAGGGGCTGCCAATTATTTCATACAGAAAAAGGACTGCGAAACTGGTCCAAGTCAAAGTCCAGGCTAAGTTTGAATCCGATCCGTCACCTGCTATTTCTGATTTGATTTTGAATATGGAGGAGGGGGAAGGATCATATACATCGTTATCATCATTTCGGATATTCTCCATATTGTGTGCTGTCGTCATAACCCATTTTTCAGTGATGCCAAGCGTCGTCTGCCCACCCTCCTGTGCAACCCACACTATGTACAGCGGCGTGAGGAAGTGGCGCCTCTTCAAGCTCCGTGATCAAGACAGAATGAAGGTATGTAAGAGAAGAGAAAATATGTACCAGAATAAGAGAAAGGGGTGCCAGACGAGGAATGTACCACCAAAGTGCCCACGCTAGTGGATGAAGAAGTCACCCCCTATTGTTGCAGTCTGACTGCCCATCATACCATAGTCCATGTGCATCATTTGCTCGTTGACGGTGTAGGGGGTAAAGTCCACACTCTGGTCGGGGCTTTGGCCCCAATACATGCCGTCCAGATCCCATAGACCATGCTGATCAAGCATGCCCATCATGCCCATCCCTTCCGGCTCCAGGCCAATGGGTGACATGTGCAGTTCTGATTCCGCCAACAATAAGCCTTGATCGCTGCTCATCCCTTGCAGAGGACTCTCTGACCGCACGGATGGCTGTCGAGAGGCTTCATACATTCGCCACACTACTTCTCGGCTACGTTTCGCTGCCAATGACCAGTCTTCCATAGCCTCTAGCAGATCAATGATTGTCTCGATCTGCTGGTGCCAGTCGGGAACACGTGGACTGTTCCACTCCCAGAACACACTGACCAGAGGGATCATGGCAGCCTGGTAGAGAAACCACACAGCGTTCCATCCCGACATTTGGTTGCGAGTCCATTCCCTTGCAATGTCCTCAATGGTGTGCTTGGCAATTTCGCGACACGTCTCGATGGCCGTAATATCTTGCTCTCCAACCTGTGAGAGGGAGCCGTTGCTAGCCAAGCTGAGGAGAACCGGCCGGTTGAGCAGCATTCGTAGGTTCTGATATCGCCACTTCATGACGCACCTCGCAATGTACAGAGGCTCAGCGCAGGGGTCGGTCGTCCTGAGGAGCCATGGGAGGCTGCTGTACCAGTTGACCAGCTGACCGTCAAGGTTGCAACGATCCTCTGTACGCAGAAGGGGCGAAATCGCCAGCATGTCTTGGATCTGGGTGGCAATCTTGCAGAATTTGATGTTCTCAATCAGTGGCAAGATGCCCGCGTGCTGAGAAGAGTCTCGGGTCTGGTTGACGCCGAACTCGGGCGGCCTGATGTTGATTGCAGGGCCCCATCGACCAAACGAGGGTCGCCCCATTGTTGTTGTTGCCCAAGTGTCGAGGCAGAACAGACTCCACCAAGTACGGCGACGGGTCTCGGCGGCGACCACGTCACTTGAACCTTGAGCTAGGCTCTCTCGGTGAAGTCCAAGGGCGCTAGCCATCCTGATGGCAGCACCGAGAACAGCATTGGCCATGTTCGGCCTGTTGATGTAGTGGAGATAGTAGCCCCCAATCAGTGCCAAAGCCTGAACCATTTCAATGTGACTACTGCCAAAAGCGTCAATTGGCAGATATTCCATGGCCCTGTTGTAGTAGTTGATGTGGTTGTAGTCATCTGACTTCATGGCCACGATACTGCCCATGGCGAATATCATATTCAGAAGAGCGAGCCAAGGGCCGTCAAATCGTTGGCCTTCCAAATAATCGGCACGAAAGGCGGCCTCGTCGAGCATGGGGACGAATACATGGATGCGCTTGAAGTAGGCATCGATCAGCGTCTGGCCTTTCCACGACCAGGGAACGCGCTGCGTATCCTTGGTTACCGCGCTCTTCTGACGCAAACTTGGGAAGTTATGCATGACTTCGGCGCTGTGGAGCGGCGTGGTGAGCGAGTTTCGGAGTGCAGGCTGCACCTTCATCAGGCACATCAGTGCTGCTTTTATCGAAGAGGCGCCAAGATATGACGATTGCCGGTCCACAGATAGCGAAAGCGCATTCACGTCATCGGCCTCGATGGGGATGGGGTCGCGTGCGCGGCGCTCTTCGTCCCACTCAGTATCTCGGCCGGGCATCAACTCGAGGCTGGAGAAGCCTCGCTCGGAGCCGGAGCAAACAGGAGATTCCAGCTCTTGTGAGAGAGGGGAATTGTTCAGAGGCGGTGATGGAAGCGCAGTCGCCGTAACAAGTACAGGGCGTTCAAGCAGACTAAGAAGGTCCTGGCGGCAGAGCGGGAGCAGCGATTGAATGTCTTGGTTAGGAAACAGCCGTTTCAAGATGGACCGGCATTCCTCAAGGGACTGTGACAGGGCTTCGAGGGTCTTTCTTGAAGGGATGACGCGCTGTCGGTGTTTGTCGTAAAAGCAGCGCTTGGGGGCCCGGCTTGAAAGACACTGACCGCACGGCTGTTGGCCATCACAGCGGCTAATGACGATTAGGCGATTTGGAGTCTTAAGACAGGGTTGGATGATACCCACATCTTTCGTCTTTTGCATTCAGCACACGCATGAGGTGTGGTGATTCTCTTGGAAGTGTTGGAGCCGGCGGATTTTCCGCTTTCCTGGCTATCGGACGTTTGTTTTTGCGGCGTTACTCCCTGAACTAGATGCTCATGAGCCAGGCAAACACCAAGATGCCGAAAGCTGGCAGATACTAACAGGTATGGAACATTCCACCTTGAGTGGAAACTGGAATCGACGGGGCCATGTTTGCCGCCGAAAAGCAGGTGGTATGGGACTAGCAGAACCGGACACAAGGCTGTATCTTTGAGAAAGATATGATAAACTCTAAAGGTATTTCGAGGAATGAGGGGATGGTTGTGACTCTGCCTTTGCTGAACATGCGAAATGGGTTTGTCGATGATGTTGGCGCGGACGACGAGGATATATATACAATCAACATGGGAATCTAGTCCGGTAAATCCGAGGTGCTACCTTGCTGGGGGACGAGGCCGGCAGCTATTCACAGGAGAAGCGGCGCGGCAAGTTTGGGTGTGGGGAAGGTTACAGGGGTCCAGATGTGAGATTGTTCAAAGAAAAAGAGACGATGGAACATCAATGCCGTGTCGGCAGGGCAAGGCAGCAGACGAGTCACTTTGACCTGTGGTGACCGGCTGGGACCAGACGACTAGTGTACGAGGTGACGGAAACTGGAATGGAGGGGGGAGGGTCGACCCAGGCCCGACAAGTCCGCGGTAGACAGTAAAATAGTGTCTGCAGGATATCGATCGTGGTCACCGACCTTGTGAAGATATGATGGTGGGCTGGTTGTTGGCAAAGTCGTGTGCCGAGGCAAACTGGGGCAGGACGAAGGGGGAGGGGGGGCTGTACCTTAGGCATGTCGAGGTAGATAGATACAGGCTCACCTGGAAATGGGTGGGGAGCCAAGAAGATGGTCATAATAGAGGCCGGATTGTGGTGCCAGGAACGGGAACTCCTCTATGGGAGGGTGGGAAGGCAGGCAACAACAGGGCGTGTATGAATGATCCAAGCAGACGGCGAGACAGCGGGTGCGGTGTCACAAGGCGTCAGGCACTAAACCGACAGACGGGGAGGCAACTTTTTAAAGGGCGCTAGACCGATACAAGCCCTGACAGCCGGGCTCTTATTGCGGTGCGGTGGATTATAAATGACGAACGGCGAGTGGTGTATCCGAGTAGTCCTGACTGACTGAACGGATCCGGCAAGTTGAGTATGAAAGACCCCTCGCAGCGCATCGCGTATCCACGGAGGTGACTTTCCTATTAGCCACTAAGTGAGTGCTTCATTCAGGGCTATATTAGTTAGGGTTGTGACCAAGCAGCGACTGCAGTCGACGAGACGGGTGTCATGTGATTGCAAAATCGTCTAACTGACTGGCTGGTGAGGACGCTGGTGGAGGGCCGAGACATCACTCAATCTGAAGATGAAGTGTGATTGGACAAGAGCATCTGAAGAATGCACAAGTAGAGGACGAGGGCAAGAAAGGCTTGTGCAATTGTGGCTGGTAAAAGACAGATGGGATGAATTGGATGGAGGATGAAAGGGGGGAAGGGTAGGGGGGGGCGGTATGTATGCTTAGGTACTAGGTACATCTAACGGCACGACACCTGAGTTCAACTGTCAGGGTAATGTAAGCAAGCATGGCGAGAGGACGGAAAGCTCCATGGCGAGGAATAAGAAAGACATGGTGAAGCTAGACTCGAAAGAGCAATCAACACGGTCACGGCATCGCCTTCCTGTGAGGGGATCGCTTGATGCGGAGAAGGGGGTAAGTAGTATGTACAGTACGTAAGGTACCCGTTGGCGTTGTCTTATGCGGTCTGCTAAGTAAATAAATTGCTAAATTAATTGAGAGGCAAAGTAGTGCGTTCGTTCCGGTGAGGGGAAACATAGAGGAGGGGGGTGTGTGTGCGCCAAAAGCCGAGCAGAAAAGAGAAATGATTTTTATTTTATGTTTTCTTAAAAAAAAAAAAACACCTAGGAACCTAGGTGGTTAGAAAATGAGTGACCCGGGGGTGTGGGGAAACCTGTCATGTTTGGAGGCATCGGGTGAAAGTGGGGTCATGAACCGGGGTAAGTGGACCAGTCGGGAAAGAGGTTCGGACTTGATGGAGGGACTCTGCCATCACACACATATACAGAGTACACATCACACCACGCCCCCGAACGGTTACGGAGATCCTCATTCGCTAGTCGTTGGCTGTCACTGTGTCCGCAGTAGCTATCCACTTGTTACACAATCGGGTGAAGTGGTGTTTAAGTTGAAGTGCCCAGAGACAGCCGTCAGCCATTGACTGGTGGGGAAATCTCAATCGGGCGGGGCCAAATCCTGGTAGTTTAAGTGCGAGGTTAAGGTAATTAAGCATCGGAAAGCACGTACACGACATGCCGCTCGCACAGGCCGTCCGTTTGAATGGTTAGATACGTACCTAAATACCCCAACCCGCTTTCTGTCGGTATTCAAGACAGGATGATGAATCGCTTTTTCCCGTCACTTAACGGACGAGTTGGAAACCAACGGCTGGCGGCTTGTACTCCCGTCCCTTACTTTTCCGTGGCGTGCCTCCCTTAATTCAGCCTCCACCTTGTCCACCATACCTACCTGTACACTACCATAGCGGCACCTCAATTACCCGAGACAATTGCAAGAATCCATTCTACCGCTTTTTCGACGCACGCATCTACGGTATGTCCTCGGGACGACGTTTCGTGTCCTTGAGCCAAAATGACGCATGCTCATTGCCCTGGATCGATCCGCACGCAGGCACGCGGGTACACCATATGCAGACCCGCATCGCAACCCCGTCTTCTTGTTTTTCTTCTCTGGTCTGTCCCAAGTCAGCTCCTTGACTATTCCCGCCCTCTGCTCGCTCATTCCACCCCTTGAGACTTGTACGGTTATGTGGGATAGAGCGCCCTTTGGAGCGTGCGCGTCCGGTCATCAAGTGCCAATCATTCGGGGCGTGTGAGGGAGCCTGTGTTCCATCTTCTGGTCCTTCTGTCCTTCTTTCGTTTCCCCCTTTCTCAAATATACCTCCTCCTCCTCCTCTTGCCCAACTGGCTGCCACGCGCGTTCTCTCACCCCCCTTGTTCAAGGATCGGCTTCCCCTCTCCTCTTTCTGGACAGAATAAGCAGGGCCGTACCGCCGATCCAGGGGACACCCCAAAGCTCCTTGCTTCTCCAAGCTATCTCCCCAAACAAATCGAAGAAACGGCCTTCATTTAGTGACCAGACACCACGGCGCTGCCATATGACTCGCTCCCATCGAGAGACTGCCATATATCATCCCCGCGTTGTCAGTGCATCCTTCCCAAATTCCAATACAGTTGATCACTTCGTATCGCGCCGCAACTCACGTATCGGCACCTTCCCGGAAGAAACGGCTTTCTGCAGTCTCCCACAGTTGGTACGCGTGCCCTTCGCCCATTGAGCATTATCATCTCGAGGCAACTGGAAGGCTCATGGTCGAGATCGACAGGTGCCAGACGCTAGAGGACTACGTTCCCGCACCTTGGCTATATTATAAAGAATATATATGTATCTCTGGGTCTGCCGGTAACTTAGAGACAGTTGGCAATGCCAAGACAGGGTGGGATCCGGCACAAGTCAGCGAGATGCTTCTGAAGGGACTCAAAAGGCCTCAACCCTTCCGCGTGCTGGATTTTCAGCCTTTTTCACTTTTCGTACTGCTCAGTATTCAGCCCAGCCTAGGAGCCTCCGGCTGTACCGAAACATGTCCCGCCCGTCAGTGCCGTAACTCGTGGGCCTCATGTTAGGTTCTTAACCGGCATGAGAAATACCACTCTACCAGACCAGTCCGAAGAAGCGGCTTAGGTACACATCCATGTCACGCCAGCACGCTGTTGTTCGTCCCAAATGACTCCAGATTCACTGCCACCCCATCGTCTCCTTTCTCCCCACACGCCCCTCTGTTAAGTACTCGGTTCCTCCAACCATATTTTCACACCCTCATCTTGGTGTCGCCTGTTCTGGCGCCCTATCCCGACCACCCCTCCTCGTCATTGGGCCACATTCAAGGCCCTCAGTGGTGGTATGGTCTATGGACGACACCGAGATATCTGGCGAGTTCATTACCGCGCACAAAACATGCCAGTTACCCGAAGTGCCGCCCATAATGCAACGGCTTGGCTAGTTGCACATGTGTGCCTGACATCCCTCCCCGGCGAACCGCTCCAGTACCCCAGCTTTTCTTCTACCGCCCGCTACCCGCAAACAGACGAGATTTGCCTAAGTGTGGCACATTTCATCCGTCATCTGGCATCCACCCCAATGCAGCTTATCTTTTACGGACTGGACTAACTAGCAGATGAACAGCTTACTCGACGACGTGCTGTGTAGACCTAACATTACGCCCGTCATCTAACCACACCTGTACGAATACCAATCTCTCTGCTCACGCACCCGGCCGGCCATACTGGGTGGTATGCTGATGGGTCATGTGTTCCTCCGCCGCGAAAGTCTATAAAATCGGTGGTCGACCTAATGCGATGCATCTGCACTTTCTGGGCACTAGCAACCCCACAATATCACCCTTCTAAGTCAATCGAAGGGAATGAAGAGTGATGCCCGCGTACCAAAGACTGCGGTAGATTCGATCCGGACAGCCGATACTAACATATGGTTACGTATCCGCCCCTAGCCTTGTTAGGTTCTGATTCTCCGTTATGCCTGCAGAAGAATGAGCATCATCTCGTTGTCACTTCGCCTTGCCGCCTCGGTACTAGGGATAAGGAGCCTCCCGTCGGCCTGGGAAGGAGGGAGCCACGATGCCAGTAGGTATAAGTCACTAACCTACCTGGTTACAGGGTATATCGGCTCTTGGTGTTCACATTTGTCCAGCCAGATATACTGTTCTCAAAGTCACCTGCACGCGAACAGATTCTTTATCTTGTTAGCGCTGTAGACTACGAGATATTTGCTATCGTAATCCACAGTAGGGGTTGCTCCCAGAAATCACTCATGGCTTCGTCTAGCAAGGGAACAGCATCGTTCGGGCCGTTGTAAGGCCAGGCACTCCTATAGTGACCTATTCCTGGGCCCGTAGCGGCTGCTTTCCGTCAGCAATAAATTCGGTTCCGCCAGTCAAGAATCATGTGGCATCAAGGCTTATCGGAGCCAGCGAACCGTCCCAGCTCCCTTCGCCTCCTGACTAGCGGCATCTTATGCTGCGGGGATATGAGGGTCACGGGTTGTTGAGGTATGGGTGCAAACATGTGTTTGCGTGTGGTGGATTGACTATTAATTTTGACCCGCGTCCCCACCCCCCCCCCCCCCCCCCCCCCCCGCGCGCAAAAGGATGAATATATCCCGTCGTGCCGAACATCAGCTGAAGCTGTCAGACGGCTTGCGGTTCACATCTGTAACAACTCGACCTAACGCCTACATCTTTATCACCAACACTTGTTTATCTTGGTTGATGAATCAAGCTCAGTTGCGCAACAGCTACGCCTGGACACGAGGATCTTGGGTCCGTAGGCAGTGAATCCGCCTATGCAAGGGCTTCCAGGTTAAGTCAAGACACGGATGTATGTTCATATGGCTCTTAAGGAAGGGAAAGGAAACCCCATCTCTGGACAGGACCGAGTCCACGCTGATGCGCAAGACTTGCCTTGGTTTCATTTCTTTTGCTTTATCAATCTCCATTTATTCTCAATGGTATCTTGAACAACTACTCTGTAATCGATTTCATCGCAATTTGAATGCTGTTTTAGGTTTCAACCCTAGGGTAAAGCCGTCGTCGTGCACCTGGTATTGCAGATGTTCCATATCTCAGCGACCATCCCACTGTCTACTCAGGACAATCATCCCCTCTCCCGCTTTGTAGCTACGCCATGAGTGAATGGCCTTGTGTGGTTCATGAGTAAGATCACACACAAACACACACCCATACACACGCACACCCATACACACACACACACCCATACAACCTCCCGTTCCTGTCAAGACCTCTCATACGGATTGAATGCGGTCCAATACAAGAAAGACGACCAGGCTTGCAGATTTTAGCCTATTCTTTCCCTCAGGGCAAGTCCTTCGGAAAGCTAGCCGAAGCCCGCTGCTCCTTCTCGCACAGATGTAACAGCCTAGCCAGAGAAGGCGACTACATACCCGCATACATTTCACAGCAGCTGGCCGCAGAAACGATATTCATGCCCAGACTCGAATCTCATCCGTACCGCCGGAGCTCTGTCTAGATCTATATCCTGGACCCCTTCTTCAATTCGGGGTTGCACACACAGCCCACGGCTTGCTCTCTACATCCTAGCCTCCGCTTGCATTATCTGACGTGCTTGTGACTACTGGAGCGGTGATGTTGCGAAATTTCTAGACGGATACAGATCAGTCAACGGACATTGATAGTTGTGTTGGCGCGGCCCGCCACCTGTGCCACCTCCCAGGCAGCTTACATTGCCTCATGATGTTCCACACCTACCACAACCTGGGAACACGCCTTGGAATCGGTTGGTGACTGGGAATACAATGACACCTCCGGTGCAGACCAACATCAATTTGAGGGACCGCTTCTTTCCGAGTCAAACCGTAGTGGCTTTCAAGTATGAAGGCGCCTTGAACAGCCTCAACTCGATGTGCTGGTCAAGGTCCTCGATCGCTGATCAGCACTATGAAATGACACGCATCTATGGGTCTTCACTTGAGATTGTCATTACAGCCAAAGAGGACTGACCAATAACACTTTATGGGATTTCCTGTTGTAAAGGGGAAAGTGGCGTTTGCAAACTTCCCACTGATCAATTCGCCTGGTTTGCTTCGTTGATCTCGTCATTTATTGGTCCCTGGCAGCGGGCCCGCAATTCCTATGTACAGTACTGAACCTCGTGAGGACCCATGACCACCTCCACGAGGGACTGCGGTCCGATATGATCAGTATCCAGACACCGCACATCCCTCACCAGGGTTAAGTAGAGTGGGATCGAAGGGTAACATTCGACGGCTCTGCAAAGTATTCAGCTGCGCGCTAGAGGTGTCACACCAACGCCTCCAAGTGTTGCTCTTTGAGTGCTACCATTTTGACTCTCTTCAAATTCCAGACGCCCAATCCTTCGAAATCCGCCACTGAAGTGGCGGATTCCTTCTGGGGTATGTTGTAGGTCATTTATTTCTGGCAAGGCTTATTTATGTGCTTGACTCAAGGCCAGCCCCCGGCTGACAAGGCATCGACGAACCCCTGCCAGTCCTGAAGTGGGGACCAGTGGTGCGCGATGCGATGATCCATGAGACCCGAGCTGGGAGGCGCCTTTGGTTCTACAAGCGAAGAACCTGGCACCGGCTTGCAATCCCGTCGAATATGCACGTGTTCTCAATAGGCACATACTGGTTTGTGATGATTTTGATCGTCTCCTGAGCCACCATGCCACCTGTTACGGCGGAAATGTTGTGTAGCTCTCCGCCACCAGCCCGGGATACCTCTTGTGCAGCTTGTACGAGCCGCTCGTTATCGCTGAAGTCTGGGAGAAGCACTCGAATGTTTGCCAAAATTTCATCCGGAGATGCTGTGACTGTGTGGGACGTGGAACGGAGGGCGAGGTAGATAGGAAGTAGTGACAATGGCATCACACCCTCTTGAGCCATTTTGTCGTTGGCAAATTCTTGTTCTGTGCTGATAAGCATTGACCCTTCGACCCTAGACGATCTTCATGGGACTTACCTGCCACGATGCGCAGCTGTTCGTTCCCGCCATTTGAAGGGACAATCAACTTGACAAAGGCCGCATTCTTGCAGAACAGTTCGACTTCGGCTGGGTCAACGGCCTCGCCACCAGGTTTCTGGCGGACCGAATCTAGGACCTCGGCTGCATCCTTGCGAGCCTTGGCCTTATAAATATTCTGGAGTCGGATGTACACGCTAGACTGCGCCTTCATATCCGGGAGGCCGCCCGGCACAGGCAAGCATTGATGCTTTTCATAGAACTCTCGGACTGCGTCTGCAATAGTCCAAAAACTCGATTTTCCTCCTCCCTATGACAATTGACGAGTTAGTATATAATTCCGGGTTGCCTGGAACAGGTGGATTGACATACATCATCGGTGTGTTTGTATTCAAAGACCTGCTTGACAGCAGATGGGAGAGAGGGAGGTAGAATGGTCTTCAAGACCGCGGCAATAGCCTCCTCGAAGTTCTCCTCTCCACCTTCTGCGTTATCCGTCCTTGTAGCATTGGCTACCAATTTCCGAAACTCAACCTTTTCCTTGTAGTTGCTAGGCGCAGCGCCGTTATGGGACGTCTTCCAGACCTTAAGATAGTGTAAGAGAATGGTCACGAAGGGCAAGTGTCCATGGTCATGGCTGTTGAGATTGTCGATATCCTTGGTCATTTCTTCGGAAAATGCCTCCAACTCTTCCCATGGGGCCAAAAGCCGTAAATCTGTGGTCGAGGTTGCATCCGGATGGGTGTCAACAATAGGGTAAACACCAGGAAGATGAATACGGAAGTACGAGTAGAAGCCAGCTGAGTGAATGGATATCAAGGGAGTCTTGTGTTCGAGGCTGTAAGACTCGATGGCCTGAAGATTCTCGGGCTTCATGGGCAGCGTGTACAATATCATGGTAAAGGGGGTTGCGCTGTTCAGGACGTGTTGGAGGTTCAACGGTTCCTATCTTCGCGTTAAATCTTACCGGTGAGCACTAAAAACGGATATTATTACCGATTGTTGGGGATACCAGTCACCCTGGACCTCGGGGTTGAGCTCCAGCAGTAATTCGGTACAGCTCTGGGCTCTGGATTTGCCGATATGGGACTCGTCCAAGAAGAAGTTGACACCAAGGTCTGCTTCATCTACTACGGCATCGTCGGCGATAGTAAACTTGCCGATACCTAGGCGTGGTTATTAGTGTGGGAACGCGAGTATAGTGCCGTTTGCAGGAGGCTCACCTGGGAGAACAAGGTTCTTCAGGGTCTCAACACCGACAGTTCCCGAGCCTGAGTTCACGAGCAGGATGTTGGCAGACTCTAGGGCAGCTTGACCACTCGCAGCCCAGAGTCTAAGCTGACGATCGTACTTCTTCTCTTTTTCAGAAGGGACGGAAAGGGCCGGAGGTGCTTGATCGACAATGATGTCCGCCATGGTAGGCAGGCGCCGTGATGAGGGGCTCTGTCCCAGAAGCGAGGGGCCGAATGAATCCGGTAATTGAGCCTTGCTCTTGATTCAAACCCCGATCAAAGTGTAAAACACTATGTGATGCCCTGATCCTTTGGGTGATTGGATGTGGGGCACTGTGGTGGACAGGATGAGGTCGTGAAGTTGGGCTGGTGGTGACAGTGCGTGCTCACCTAGTGCGTCGTTAATATGGAGTAGTACCAGTGCAACAATAATTCACACTGTACTGCTCTAGGACACTAGCTGACATAAGCGTATCTTCTTGTCTGGAGGCCTGAGTGCCTTAGGTCAGAGACCTTCCGCAAGGGCCCCCAAATAGTGTACTTCTGTTGAGGCGGTGGAGTTATCACAGCCCCTTGTAATTATCTTGCGGACATCCCACTTTCTTTCCAGGATACATTAAGTTGTTCGATCTTACGAAATACCCAAGAACCGCCATTGCATATGAAACGAGCAACTGCGGCTGCCGGCAACCGTTGTTTGCAGGCTGTCATCCACTCCTTGTTTTGGCCGGGTGCCGTAAGCGAATTCCACAGGGGAGTTTGAAGTGTCTCACTCGCGACCTTGCCTTTGCAATGTGTATTCCCTGCTTTTTAGTCAGAATCCCCCCATCCAATGACAAGCAGCAGGGTTTGTTTGCCTTGGGAGTCGGAATGGTTCAGCACACTCAACGTCAGCAACTAATGTCAGCCATGCATGGGACGTGTTGCAATGGTTTGAAAATCGGCGGTCGCCCAAGTGCATGCTGCGAAGGGAACAGCGATATGGCCCAAAAGCCTTCGCCGACGGGACTGTGGCTTGTCGGCATCGGCAATGTCGTTGGTGCTGGTCAGCCCACGGTGCTTGAGCTTCCCTAGACCGAAAATGCTTGTAAGGACGGAACTGATGACCTAGGGCATCACCGATGATCTGTTATTAAGCAGGTCGGGGTCGGATCAACGCCACGTTACGCTCATCTCTTTAACGGGGTCGATGCATCGGCGCCGGGCTGGAAATAATTCCTCGGCAAACAAAATCGCGTCGATAACAGGGCCAAACAACAATCCGACCGTGGGGTCTACCATTCTCTCCAAGAGTGAAGAGACGGTTGGTTGTCTTGACCCCTGGATGCTCCCTCCCTTTTTCTGTCTCACCACCTCTCAGTGTCTGACTGTCTGCGGTTGATGTGGCGCGCCGGCTCCACGCCGCATTCGCGTACGGAATCAGCTTACGGCCGGCAGCATCGGGCCAGGGACAAACGAAGTGATGTTCGGAGCTAGCGAAGGCGTATGCGCGGAACGCCGAACGTTCTTTTTGCCTCTAAATCGTTGCCCCGAACGCCGACGTAGCTTTTACGCCTTTGACCTTGGCAGTCCCCTTTCTTAATTGCGGCCACACAGAGCCTCGAATCCTGTATTGTATTTCACACTCCCTTCCCCAGTGCACCATCAACCTTCCTTTGTTGGATGAGCTTCCCGGACTTCTCGTGGCATCCTTCGCTATGAGTTGCCCCGGTCCATTGTCTCTTAATACTATACCTTTGCACCACTACTCGTTATCGTTGTCGTCGTTATCTTCGCCATTCGTTTGATCCCAGATGACATTGCGGTCAAAACATCAGCTTTGCATCGAGAGCACATAGCCTGGAAACACGACAGCTACTTAGAAGGATGGACGCCGGCCTGTTGAAAGTATATTGCTGAACCCCAGAGTTTCATTTCACGGTGAGGACGATAATTTAGGCAGCTCAGCGACAGTCATTCCCATTCCGACTGTTGACATTTCGCACCAGCCTTGTCCGACCAAGCTTTCCGAGTTACCCCCGTGGGCAGTCATGGGTCAAAGCCGAAAGGACGTCGAAGCTACCGAGGCTGGTATGCCTCAAAAATTCCACTACAGAGATACTACCCTGCCGACATGGCGGTTCTGGGTCCTCAGTGTTGGGTAGGCATTCAGCGTCACTCGGTATATACGTGTATATATCGAGTGGTCTCCGGACGTTATCAAATCGATTCGTGCTCACCATTTACTTAGGCTTTGCCTTGGACTGTTTCTTTCAATGTTGGACGCTTCCATTGTCGCTACAAGTCTGTATACAATCGGCACAGAGTTCGACTCAATGGACATCATCAACTGGGTTGTCTTGGCCTACACTCTCACATACTTGAGTTGTGCGGTACTGGTTGCACGAGTTTCCGATGTTGTGGGTCGTCGGAATGCTTTTCTGGCAAGCTTCATTATATTCTTTGCCTTTTCATTGGGCTGTGGCTTTGCTCAGAGCCTGGAGCAGTTAGTTGCATGCCGCGCTCTCCAAGGGCTAGGTGGATCAGGTGAGTTTTGCACATAGATCTTGGCCCCTTCGTTACTTAAACCCATTGCTAGGGCTATACTCCATGACGATGATCATCTTCCCAGAGGTCGCACCGAAGCATTTGCTCCAGTTTGTTTCCAGTCTTGTCGGTATGGTCATCGCCAGTGCTGGTGTGCTTGGGCCAGTTTTGGGAGGAATTCTCACCCACTATGCTTCCTGGAGATGGATATTTTGGATAAAGTACATCCTACTTGAATGGGCATAAAACTGCTCAGCAAACCCATGCAGGATGAATACTGACAAGATCACAGTGGTCCCATCGGCTTTGTCTCGCTCCTTGTCTTTTATTTGGCGTGGCCTGATGCTAAGTACCTCCCGACTTTGCAGCGTAGAACGTGGAAGGAGTTGGATTTTGTAGGATCCATCCTCCTCGTCACCGCATCTGTACTTGTTGTCTCTTCCTTCCAGAACATCGGCACGGACAGTGACAAATGGACACAAGCCGTCTTCATCGCACCGGTCACTGTTGGCAGTATATGCTTCATGCTGCTGCTGGGCTGGGAGACACTAATTCCCAAGCTACGGAATAATCTCATTATGGCGGCCATCCCGATCCGTCTTCTGCGCAATCGCGTGTACCTCGCCACCATCTTCAACACGATGTTGCTAGGCTTTCCGTATCTTCTGACCATCTATGCATTTCCCATCCATTTGCAGATAGTCAACGGCAAGAGCTCGCTAATTGCCGGTGTGCTTTTGCTGCCTATGTTGGGATCTGTCGCTATGGGTACCGCACTCGGCGGGATTGTCAATAAGAGCAAGAATCGCCTTTTCGAGACCATGGCAGTAGCAAGCTGCTTTATGGCTCTTGGATGTGGCTTGATGACGACGTTATCGTCATCTGTCGATCTGGAACCCAAAGCACTTGGCTTCCTTACATTTGTTGGCTTTGGCTTTGGCTTATCTGCCACTTCATCCACCATCCTTGGAGCAACAGAATCAGAGATTTCAGATCATGGTGAGCTTCCCAGATCTGTTGCGTGTCGACTCGGCAAGCTGACAAGGTGAAGCGCCTGCACAGGCAATCATAGCACAAGTACGGATTCTCGGCGGCAGCTTGGGCATAGCGGCGTCAACGGCGATCCTGGGCAGTTTCATACGAAAAGATTTGACCGGCGTGGTTAGCCCGGAGTATTTATCATCAGTTCATGGAGTGGGCATGAGTCTGACGGAGGCGCAAGCCGCGGCCGTGCGCCAAGCCTACACAGACTCTTTCCGGAAAGACATGCAAGTGGGGACAATATTGTCGGGCATAGCAATCCTTCTCAGTTTGGGGATCTACCGCCGAAACCGGGTTACATTCGAGGAGCAACGACAGATGCAAATTAAGACCGAGGTGGAGCGGCGCCGGAGAGCATCGGCGGCGACGACGTTGGTGTCTTCGACTACCACGGACTGAGAAGACTGGCTGTTGGGTAGGAGCATATGTGGGCAAATCACTTGCAGGGCGTTTCCGGGGCTCTATAAAAGCATGACTTTGTATTGTTCCGAGAATGGCTATTGCATGTAATACACATGCTGGTGTTCACTGTCCTCCCCCTACCTCCGGGACAGGGTAACTAACTGTTGCCAACAAGTTGCTCGCTGGTTGTTCGCGATGTCATGAGAGAGATAACGTACGAGTATAGTAACAAACATGACTCCTAATTAGCCACCTGGCTGAAAGTCGACGATGCGCACGAACGCGGGTCTATGCAAGCTCTTCTTTTGTATGTGACCTTGAAGACCAGGCAACTTGGACTGTCTTCCATGCCCGGGGTGTTCGTTGATACGGGGATAGAAAGATGTCCAGTCGAAGTTTGCAATCACCTCATCGGCGCAACAGCCTCTAAAAGCCTCAGGAACTCTAAGAAGCCCCAGTAAATGCCAATGGGCACCTCTTCCGCCCCTGTGTTTCCCCTCCCATCAGAGACTAGGAGGCCGTAATCAAATGGTGCAATCGCGTTCCCCCCGCGCCGGTTATCGGGTGCTTGAAACCCCGCAGTGTGGGGCTCATCAATTCCGTGCGCCGTGCCGTTCACTCTGCTCCCCCCTCGTCTTATCCGTTGCGCTACTATCGGAAACATGTTGATAGCCATTTGTCCAAAGAGAAACCTTACCAATACTCTATTCCCATTGGATAGAAATCGACAACATGGCCTTCCCCTGTATCTTTAGACCAAGCATCTCCTAGGCATATATAACTGACTGCTTCATCCTGAAGGCGACAGGCCGTTCCCCTCCCCCTTATCTCGATCATTACATATGCCCCATTACACACGAGTAGCTCGTTCCTTCTGCTCTTCGCTCGCCTTTCATCGCGGAATTCTCTGGCCATTTCATCCCTTCCGAAACGTCACTAACTACAAAACAATCATGTCTGCTGCCACGAAGCGCCTCGAGGGCAAGACTGTGCTCATCACTGGTGCCTCGAGCGGAATCGGAAAGAGCACAGCCTTTGAATATGCACGAACGGCTCCCAACAACCTCAAGCTCGTCCTGACGGCCCGTCGGATTGATACCCTCAAGCAGGTTGCCGCCGACATCCAGAAGGAGGTCGGCAACGGCGTTAAGGTTCACCCCGTCAAGCTGGATGTCAGCAACCCTGAGGAGGTCCGTCAGCTCGTGCCTAACCTACCCGAGGAGTTCCGTGACATTCACATCCTGGTCAATAATGCGTATGTAACGAAACGCTTTTCTCCGTGAACGACGTGCTTACTGTATGCATCAGGGGCCTTGTCAAGGGAGTCGCCAAGGCACCTGAGATCGCCGAGGAGGATATCAACGTCATGTTCGCTACCAACGTCACTGGGCTTATCAACGTGACGCAAGCCGTTCTCCCCATTTTCAAGGCACGCCCCAATGGCGGTTCAGGAGACATAATCAATATTGGTTCTATTGCGGGTAAGCTAAGCTGTGTCTCTGGGGCGTTGATTGCCGGCGCATTTGATTGACATTCATAACCGTAGGCCGTGAGCCTTACCCTGGAGGTTCCATCTATTGCGCAACCAAGGCCGCAGTGCGCAGTTTTACCGATAGCCTGAGAAAAGAGCTCATCTCGACGCGTATCCGCGTCATTGGCATTGACCCCGGTCAGGTTGAAACGGTAAGCCAAGCCAATTTGACCGACGGTTCCAAAGACTGCTAGTTGCCCGAACTAAAACGATGTAGGAATTCTCTGTGGTACGCTTTTACGGCGACAAGTCCAAGGCCGACGCTGTCTACGCGTAAGCCACCACTTTCCTTTCACTAAACCAAGTGGATAATTGCGTCTTCTCACGAGAATGAGTACGTGGTGATGTACTGACATATGCATAGCGGCTGTGAGCCCCTCACCCCAGAAGACATTGCCGAGGTCATTGTCTTCACGAGCACTCGCAGAGAGAATGTAGTGGTTGCCGACACCCTCATTTTCCCTAGCCACCAGGTAAGCTGGTCTTTTGAGTATTACCTCACATAAAAGTCACTAACTTGGCATACAGGGTGCTGCTGGTCTTATCCACCGTAAATCTTGAACGGACGTAGGCGTTACGTGGGAGTAAAAATGTGGCCGGGCTCTGATGCACGCAGAGCCGTTTAACGCCAAAGATGGAGATTAGGTTGTCGTGGGACACAGTTCTTAGACCAACGGGCCTTTCGTTCTCTCACTCACTGGCCTCGGCTAGTTCGCGGTAAGCCGCGCATTTTGGGTGCTTGGCGAATGTAGATTCTTAGGAAGACGTTACGAGCCTAAACTGAATGACCTGCACGCCCTGTAACTTTTCTGTCCCTTGTGTTCACCCGTGACGTTGCAAACGGGTCTGACAGGAAAGCAGGGGGAAACTTTGGCGACCTGCAACTGACGTTCATTCTACCTCGATCTAAAGGCCGCTCATGCTTCTCACAAATCCCAGGGCAGGATGCGCTAGCTGTATCTTTCGTTTATGTCCATGGCATAACCGACCAACCCATCCCCTCTAGAAGTAGTTAAGAAAAGACATGAACTAGCACCGTTGGTTAGAGGCAGCAGGTGACCTGTGACTTGTTAGCGTGACGTCGGGTGGTGTATACAGTAATCCCAAGAAGATGACTTTAGTGAGTCTAGAGGTTCTGGGGATCGTCTATAAGATTATTGTATCTTCTTGCATACCGCAACTCTATTCTGGATCACGCCTATCAAATTAGGAATGAGTGAGCATAGGAAGTAAAGCCTACGGCCGTTGGGTGGTAATTAGGCGTTTAGGCCAGTCAGGCCCCTAAGGGTTGTCCTTATTTGCTGGCAAAGCCAAAGACCTACCGCTAGAGGTACCTAGCGTGCCTACTTGGGTAGGTAGAGAGACGTACAGATACAGCGGCCTTTGCTGACTCCCTGCGGACTATTGCTGTATACCTACCTACAGATATTCCACATTTATCTAAACCTTCACCATTCCCGGTTTTACCAAGGCGCTTCGGATCCAGGCGACGTCTTCATCGAGACGTATACCACCCACTCTGAAGCGTCTGCCCTTGTGAGATTCCTGACCCAAATTTCCCTGTCGGCCACTTTTCATCGACAAGGGGCACCAAGAACAGACGCCGCCTTCCTTGGCATTCGACACGGCAAATATCATCTCCGATCCAATATCCAGTGAACATAGTCACCGACTTAGTCCGCCGCAGACCGGACAGTTCTGTGACGGGTCCTCCCCAGTCACTGTTCATCCGACTGTGCCGTACACAGCACCGCTCGCACACAAATATACTTCGCCTACATGTCACGGTAGGCCTACTACCGACCGCGCCGCGACTTCAGACCACGTCCGTCGACCATCGACCGCCGACGCCGATACCCGCCATGCCCGGTCGATAACGGCCATGAACTGACAAGATGGGCTTCACAACATTTCTCGGCTCCTCTACCGAAAAGCTCCAATCTAACCGACCCAAACCCTACTCGTCCACCTCACTCGATAAACCCTCCGACGCACCCCTCTCGCAGATACCGCCTGAAGCCAACTCCCATCATGGCTACATCTACGACGAGTCCCAGTTGCCCGACGTGCCGCCCGACTGTCCTGATCTCCGCAAGCTCAATAATAGCCTCGAAGCGCTTGCGACCGTCTTCCCCGATATCCAAATTCAGGTCTTCCGCGAGATGCTGACCAACTTTGACGAGGAATCACGCTTGGCTGTTGTTGCCGACGCTCTGCTGAAAAATCGGGTGTCTTGGGTCAAGGGCCGCTGGAGGGTTGTCGATAACGAACATTTCGGAACTCCGGTTGCTATTGGAGCGCCGCGGGGAGAGAAGCAGGAATCTCTGATTCCACGCGTTGAGGCCTTTCGAAGCCCCGAGTACAAGCACGCTGTTCAAGCGCTGGCATGGCACGAGTTCAAGGGTCTTTCACGGTCCACCATCAACGCCGTCCTCGCCGAGTCCAACTATTCATATCTTGAAGCCCGGAAGACGTTGGTGCCGCTCTCATCAAAGTCTTGGCGCTTCACCATATCATCTCTATTCCTCCGCCGGAGACCTGTTGCTACCGGCGAAGCCGAGAACCACCCGCTGATAGTCTGGAAATCGACTGGCCAAGGTGCCATTACACCAATGCTCAAGACTACAGGGAATACCGAGCTCGACGTTGAGTTATACCGTGACCTAGTTCAGCCACTGAAAGAGCGGGCCAGGCAGACTCGGGAAGATGAGGACCGGGTCCTAGCTGTTCTCTTGAATAATGAGCAGGCTGAGGAGATTGGTGCCATGCATGAGTGTGCATGCTGCTTCACAGAGTCCACCTTCGAAGAGTTCACAACATGCAACACTGACGGCCATATGTTGTGTTTCCGCTGTGTTCAGCATTCAATCACGGAAGCTGTCTTTGGTCAGGGTTGGCATAGTAGTATCGACGCTGACCATGGTGCTCTCAGGTGCTTAGCTGTCGAAGGGAATGGCTGTCCGGGCCATATTCCTTACGATCATATGCACCGTGCTATGTTGCAGGAGAAGAAGGGCGCCGAGATCCTTCGCAAGCTCGACCAACGTTTGGCAGAGAATAGTCTCTTGGCATCCAATCTGCCCCTTATTCGGTGCACCTTCTGCGACTATGCTGAAGTGGACGACATTTATCTTCCTGCCCAGGAAACGCGATTACGCCTTCGACTCGATAGTCTCCTCAGTCTCTTACTGCTCGCTGTGTGCGTCGTCATGGTGCTTCTCCTCCTGCCTGGGGTTCTCCTGGCATCTGTGGTTTGCCTCCTCATCAGTACGAAGCAGACGGTCGGCGACCATTTGATCATTCAATGGAATATAGCTCTTCGCCGTCACCGCCGACGTCGCCGTGGTCTCAAGTTTACCTGCCGAAATCCCTACTGCGGTAGAAGCTCGTGCCTGTCATGTACCAAACCCTGGAAGGACATCCACGTGTGCAACGAGTCGTCTCTGGTTGCGTTGCGGACACAGGTCGAGCAGGCGATGAGCATGGCCATCAAGCGCGTCTGTCCGCGGTGCCATACGTCATTTGTCAAGAACTCGGGCTGCAACAAGCTCACCTGTCCTTGCGGCTACAAGATGTGCTACGTTTGTCGTAAAGACATCGGTGGCGCCAACGGAGACGGCGAGGGTTACAGGCATTTCTGCGACCACTTCAGGCCGGACGGGGACCCGCGGCCGTGCACCGAGTGCACCAGATGCAACCTGTGGGAGAGCGAGGACACCGACCTGGTGCTGAGGCAGGCCAAGGAGGAGGCCGAGGCCAAGTGGCGCGAGACAGAGAAGCGAGAACTCAATGGGGCTGAGAAGGCTTTTCTGGAGACAGGCTTCGCCAGGAACGGAGTCTCGCCGGTCGAGAATCGCCTCAAGAACGGGCAATTCCCAACACTGCCGGAGCTCTGCGATTTCGTTGTCGAAACGATCTTCGTATAAAGCTTGAAACACAATGCGTATGCATGGGTGCTGTTCCAATCGCCGCAACCATGAGATTTGAGGCCCGTCGTTTGATTTTTGCTGGGCCATGGGCATTACTGGGGCGTTGGGGACTGGCATATATTGTGGGTAGCTACATGTGAAGAGAGGAACGAGCCAAGCAAGCCAAGGCGCTTCCCAGCAGGTACACTTTTGTAATTTAGGATATAAATTCAGATTCATCTTAATAGTTGACCGAGACCGAGCCCATGAACCATACGCACCCGTTTTACTCATACAAGGTTGTAATTCCGATTCCGAACCAGTTGCAAACGCAAACCCAGTTAACAACCAGAACTCGAAAGTACTGAACCCGTTCAGAGCTTGCTCTTGTCGCCGAGCAGCTCGGCGGCGGCACCACCGATGGCTAGCTTGCCCGTCTCCTTGACCTTGGTCTGGAAGATGACCTTGTCACCGTCCTTCCACATCTCGGTCACGAGCGTCTGCCCGGGGATGACGGTGCCAGCGAAGCGCACCTTGATGTTCTTCAGGGGGCCGAAACGCTCATACACTGCCTTGCCGGCGATGCCGAAGAAACAGAGGCCATGGAGAATGGGCGCCTTGAAGCCTCCCATCTTGGCAAAAGAAGGGTCGACGTGCAGAGGACTGTAGGTTGGTCAGCGATTTTTATCCGAGGGATAAGGGGCTTGCAGCAGAAGTCTCACTTATAGTCGCCGCTCAGACGGTACAATGCCGCCTGCTCCTCGGTCGTCTTCTCCTCGACCACAACATCAGGGTGCCGTGAGGGAGGCTTATTAGCCGCCGTGCTGGCACCACGATCCGCCGGCTTGTTCTGGCCGCCAAATCCACCACAGCCTCTGAGGAACACCGTCATTTCATTGTAGAAGATGGGTTCCTTGGTTTCAGCGTGAATTGTCGTGATGCCGCTTTTGACGATGGCGGCGTTACCCTTGTCGACGACCTCGAGAAGCTTGCCGGTGGAGACCAACTTTGCGGCTGTAGGGATCGGGTACTTCTTAATCTCGAGGTACTGCTCGCCATGTAGAAGCATCATGGGAGAAAAGTTCGGGACAATTTCGTCAAAGTTGTACGGCATCTCCGTGTTAAACGGGGGTATGACGCCAAAGGTAGGAATGACCTGGAAATCATCGGCGCCCTCGAAAACGTACTTGAGTTGATCGCGCTTGGCGCCAATACCCAGGTTGTATAGCATCACATCACGCTCGTCGTATTGGAACTCGGTTCCCTTGCCCTCAGCTTTCATGGCGGCCTTGATGGCATCGAGGTATTGGCTTTCACCGTCGGAGGATGCCTCGTGCTGCTACAAGACGGGTTGATCAATAACTGTTCTGTCTTTCTTTCTCCGCCCCCTCCTTTCCGAACTATCACTATTTTACAAGTCCCGCCAGCATTACGAGAAGGTGCAAGCTCATACCTTGTTGCTCTTGTTCTCCATATTCGCCATGACCTTTTGGAGACCATCCTGGGTCTTCTCTGGGTGATCGGCGCGACCGTCCTCAAAGTTTCTGATGGCGTCCCAGTACTTAAGAACCTCCTCGGGGGTCAGAGGAGTATCAACGGGGAAACCGTGACCGCCACTTCTCTGCCAGCGGGTCTGGCCGACCCAGCCGCTGCCAACCTCGTAGAGGCCGCCAGTGGGGTTCTTGGGAACCTTGTCACTGGACAGGGCGAGAACGACAGGCGCAATGTAGTCAGGCTTGAAAGCCTGCACCATCTCCTCAGGCATGATGGTCCGCGTCATCGCAGTGCCAGCGTTGGGTGCAATGGTGTTGACATAGATGTTGTACTTGTAGCCCTCGAGCGCGAGCGCACGGGAGAAACCTAGAATACCGCATTTCTAGCAGGTGTCAGTAAATTGAATTCGAAAAGTGTGACCTAAAAACACTCACCGCAGCGGCGTAGTTGGCCTGTCCAAAGTTGCCGTAAATGCCAGAAGTAGATGTGGTGTTGATAATACGGCCATACTTCTGTTTGAGGAAGTAGGGCCAGGCAGCCTTGGTGACCTTGTAGGTGCCGCGCAGATGAACGTTGAGGACAGGATCCCAGAGGCCATCGTCCATGTTGTTGAATGCCTTGTCGCGGAGGATGCCTGCGTTGTTGACAACAATATCAATGCGACCGAAAGCATCAATAGCAGCCTTAACAACGGCATCGCCATCTTCGGCTGAAGCCTTGACACCGACGGCTTTGCCGCCCAATTTCTTGATCTCGTTCACCACATCGTCGGGGTTAGCCAGGTCGTTGACGACGACCGTGGCGCCGTGCTTGGCAAACGCCAAACAATAGGCACGACCGATACTATGGGCTCGTTAGCGGCGATTCATTGTGCATCCTGCCGCAGAACCTACCCAGCACCACCACCGGTGACTAGGGCCACACGGCCGGTGAAGTCAATCTTCTCGCCCTGTTCGTTCGGGCCCATCTTCATGGAATCCTCCAGCAGAGTTAGAAAGTCATTGGGACCGGAAGGGTACTGAGGTTTGGAAAAGTCGATGGCTTGGTCCCACTTCTTGATGACAGCGCTAGGGGTGTAGCTGTTGTCGGCCTTGAGAAGAAGACCGCTAGATCTTTCCCAACGCAGCTTAGCAACGTGCCCACCGCCAACCTCGAAAATGGAGCCGTTCTCATCTGTGTTGTCCTTATGTACCAGGACAGCGACAAGGGGAACAACCCAGTCGGGCTTCAAGATGTCCAGCACGTCAGGCGGCATCACCGTCTGTGTCATTCTGCTGGCGGCTGCCCACCCAGTTAGCTTACACGAACCCCTGTGCTCGCTCCGCTTGTCACACGTTGCGCTTACCGATTGGTGCAATGACATTGGAAAGAATGTTGTACTTGGCACCCTCTTTGGCCAGTGTCTCGGTGAAACCAACCATGGCCAGTTTGGCAGCTACGTGATAGGTTAGCATGCCGAGGCGGTCCTCAGTCAGATCTTCCGGTCGCGATACGTACCCGAGTAGTTGCACTGGCCAAAGCTGCCGAACAGACCGGCGGCCGACGCAGTGTTGATGACACGGCCGTACTTTTGTTTCCTGAAATGGGGCCATGCTGCACGAGCGCATTTGTATGAGCCCTTGACATGGACCTTCATGATCAGGTCCCAATCCTCATCCTTCATATTCTTGAAGCTAATGTCCCTCAGGATACCCGCATTGTTGATCAGCACGTCAATGCGGCCGAAGTTCTGGATCGCCGTCTCAATGATCTTGTCGCCGTCTTCGACCGAATCGTAGTTGGCCACGGCTTTGCCGCCGGCAGCCTTTATCTCGTTGACGACAACATCAGCAGCCTAGATTCATGAGAGGTTAGCTGTCGCTCGGTCTGGGGAAATGCTGTCATTTTGAACCGTACCTTTGTGGAAGTGCCTTCGCCCTTGAAGGAACCCCCAAGGTCGTTGACGACGACGCTGGCGCCGCGGGAGCCAAAGAAAGTTGCATAGGCCTTGCCCAGCCCGCCGCCGGCACCCGTGACAACAACAACTTGGCCGTCGAAACGCAGCTGACCAGCCATCATGTATGTATAGTGGTAAAGCAAGGTAGGAGAGAGCAGTAGCTCAATGAAGCACAGATGGCAATAATAAATCCAAGCCTCGAGTATGAGAAGTGGAAATGGGAGACGGGTTAAGTGTTGGCGAAAGTTGAACAATGAATGGGATGGTGGAGGGAAGAAAGGTGTGTGGTTTTCTAACTCAGTACGTCCGGCAAAGTGTCTTGAGTAGCAGCGTGACGACGGTCCACGGATGCCGCAGAGAGAGCCGAGGCTTCTCTATCCAGAGCCGATAAACGACGCTAGTCCAGAACGGGCCAAGACTAGACTTCACATGTTACTCTGGCCGTGGGTTTAGGACAGGTCTCCATGAGGTCATGTGGGGAAGAAGTCGTCTCCCCGCCCCGAACCCCATGTCACATGCCCCCCGGTCGAGGTGAGCCAGGCCACTCACGGCGCCGCGACTCGCCGGCGCTGCCGCCTCCACCCCATCCATCAATCAAAGGGTACGCATTGCCCCCCATTGGCTGCCCGACCTTGGGGTATGCCGTAAGCTTAGCACAAAGCAGATTTAGCCTTGGTAAGACTTCGGGTATCAATTATCGTCCTGCACGTGCCGAGACCTTTACGCCAGCTGGCACGAGCCGTCAAATGGCCAGTGCTAACGTAGGCATACTCGGCATGAGACCAGAACGCAGCGCACGTGTTGTCTGATCAGAACGCCCCGCATCCGGTCCCGGCCGGAACCTCTCGGCGCAGGCGGTTCCCACGCGGTCCTGATTTCCAGCTTCCGCCTCCCGAAGATCACGCACGCGCCCAAGCTCCTCACCAACCAGCTCCGTAATCTAGGATTGCTCTGCAAGGCGGTTACCGTCGCTACTGTCGCTGTCAACCATTAATCATGGCCCCCACAGCGTCGTGTATTGTCGACGACAAAAGCCCACTCTGCATTCCCTTCATCATAGGACTGTTAGAGAAGCACTCGCCGCAACGTGGGGTTCGCCCATTCATAATCGGTCTTAACGGTGTCCAGGGCGTCGGCAAAACGACTCTCGTCAAAAAACTGGCAGAGACGCTCACCAAGCTCGGCCACACTACGCTCGTCTTCAGCATCGACGATTTGTATCTCAGGCACGAAGATCAGGTCGCCTTCGCGAGGTCTCACCCAGACAATCTTCTGGTTCAACAGAGAGGCGAGCCTGGCACCCACGACATGCAACTCGCTCAGACCTTCTTCGACAGCATCACCAGCGGGAAGCCCACCAAAGTGCCGTCGTATGACAAAGCAGCCTTCTCCGGCCAAGGGGACCGTCTTCCTGAGAGGCAATGGGTTGAGGTGAACAGTCTAGGCAAACCAAAGGTCCAGGTTGTCATTTTCGAGGGTTGGTGCGTGGGTTTCCGCGCTCTGCCGGATGCGGTGGTGGAAGCCGAGTGGAAGGCCCCTAGCAAGACACTCCAGCGGCACAAACTTGAGCACTTGCTACTGGTGAACGAGTCACTCAAGGGCTACGATATAATGACCGACCTCCTGGACGCCTTCATCCATATCGATGCCGAAGACACGCAGTATGTCTACGGCTGGCGGCTGCAACAAGAGGCCGCACTCCGGCGGGAAAGGGGCGCCGGCATGACCGACGAACAGGTCGTCAAGTTCGTTGATGGCTACTACCCCGCCTACGAACTATTCTCGGACAATATCAAGAAAGGGATTCTGCCAAACAGCCCCGGCCGCCAGATGAGACTGGTGGTCGACAAAGATAGAAGAGTGAAAGAGCATCTGGTGATTTGAAGGCCCTCTGTCGAACGGGATCCAGGGCTAATCCCAGTACAAATGTATTCGCATCTACCAAAGGAAAGAATGGCAGATCCCCCTACGCCCATACGCCAGTCATTCGAAGCATTAATCCTTGATCGTAAAGAGTCGTCAGAATTGTTGAAGGATTACCGCCCACACGCTCCAACGCCTTGCTTGTCATGCATCTAGTGAGCCCATCAGACAAGAAACAATACACGCCGGGTAACTAAATACCGCAAAATTTCGTTGAGGTGGAGGATCCCCTCAAACCTCCTTATCAGCAAGCATATCCTCGCCCTTGTGCTTGATTGTCTCAAGCTTCTTGCTGATATTCTCGGCCCGAACTCGAACGGCCTCCTCCCTGCCTGCTATCTCAGTCTCAAAGCGGTCAACCATGTCCCGCTTACTCTTGCGTGCTTCCTTCAACTTCTGAGCGACCTGGCCAAACTGCTCGAGAAACCAGTCTCCAGAGCGCTCCCAGTCGCTGACTGTCATCTGCCTAAAGAACTCCCTCTGGTCAGCTTCACGCTGACCTCTGAAATGTTCGATTTTGACAGGGAGGCTGTCGCCAGTCAGCGGTCCCATCGGACGAAGCGACGTTCTGGCTGGATCATCGTCGAAAGGCTGCTCGCGCAGTTGAGAATACGACATCCCCTTGAGCTCGTCGTCCGCATAGTCGCAACTCTCACGGCCTCGCTTCCGGGATTTGTCCCGATGGCCATGAGCAGTGGCCGGCAATGGGCTCTCCTGAAGAGCCGGCCCCCTTTGTGCCATCTTATAATTGGCTCGAGGAGTGCCGTGGTCATCCTCACTAGCGAGAAAGTCACTGGCAAGGCTGCCTTCAATCTCTTCGTCTTCCTCAAAGAGCGCTGGTCTACGAGAATCCTGAGCATTGTCTTTTCTGACGATACGCCTCAGGTTTGGTTGAGAATGAGGGACCTTGTGGCTTTTAGGGTCGGAGAAGACTTCTTCGTCGTCCACAGGAACGGCTGGCTCGTATGACCTTCTTACGGTTGTGGCATGGAGAGCGACCTTTGGTGCGCGTCGCACGGGTGAATCGTAAATGGGCTCGGTTGGGTAGGCGTCTTGGACTTGTGGGCCCATTCGTGGAGGCATGTCATTGTGTGTCGCAGGTAGGCCTTGACCCTGGCCGTTGCCAAGCAGCCGCATCGAGCCGTCTTTACCAATGATATATGGGACATCACTATCTAGTGACCGTTGCATGTTTCCCAAAGCAGTTCTGGTGGGAGTCGGGGGCGGCGGGGAGCGAGTGTGATTGGTGATGCCAACATCGTATCGTTCAGAGCGATGGGTAGTGGGCGAGCCGAACTGACTATCGATATGGGATTCTGGCCAGAAGCCAGTCGCATCGCTGCTCCGAGAATGTGCACGCTGTCGCTGTTGTCTCGGCGAAGAGCTTTCGGGCAGATTCAGAGAAGCCTGCATCGGTGCGGGAAATGTCTGTTGAGGCAGGCTCGACTGGTTCGGTTGGCGTATGTGTGAGGCTAAAGCTCGGGTAGGGGCGAGTGGTTTGGGAGCGGGCAGCTTGCCGGACTCAGTGATTGACTGGTGGGTGGGCTGGGAAAGGAGTTGAGGCACGTCGGAACGCTGCTGATTTGACTGGATGTTGTTTCTGTTTGGAAGACCCGAATCTAGGGACGCATTCCTGGCGTACTGGGCCATACGGTTTGCACCGCTACTCGGAGGCATGGTGTTGGCGGGTGATTCGGAGCGCTCTACGAGCTGGCAGGGGAGATGTTCGCTCCTCTCTCCTCTCAAGGTCGAGCGAGATCGAGGCAGGCGGCAGAACGTGACGAGGAAGAGGGACGCAAGAAGCAATTGTAGTGTGTTGTTGCCTGCCGTAGTCGGGTACTAAGTCGGGAGAAGATGCCTTATGCTGCCATGGCAACAAGACGCCAGGTAGTGACGGGAGCGAAATCGTGAGCTGATGCTGGGGCCTGCCTCTTTTAGCTCGCTGCGAATAAGTTCAAACCACAGTTGTAGAAAGGTAATGGCGGTCCTGGTTGAGGTAATGTCAGTTGGGCCGTCTTTGCGACAAGACTTGACCTGGACAAAGGGACGGCCCTGCTTGGTTCCTCACTATTTTTTTTCCCGGGTACCAGTCTTGACGTGACGCGTCGAGAACGTCCAGATCATACGGAGTACTGCTGGGATCTTAAGCACCTATCCAATTACAGGACGCCTGTGCGCGACAGTTGCGTAGTCTGTGCGGGATAGTCGCGCAGGGACAGGGTTCCTGTGGGTTCATTGCATTAAGTGAATTTGATTGTACCTTTCTAATGGGATAAGTCTCCCGCCAGCCATAGTGCGGGGCTTGCATACGTTTCTGCTTGATCTTTATCGTTGCCGTTGTCTATTCGTCGACTTTTTTGGTTCTTTGCAGTCCCTTTTTGCCGTGCAAACACTAGAGGGATGAAAAGGATAAGGACAAAGATGGCGGCAAGGCAGGCAGGCAGATCAGAGTATGCGCGCGACTCCCTATGAATGTTGGGTCAGATGTCTACAAAGACCGATTACAACCATCTCGTCCATCACCTAAACAGCCACAGGCTTAACGACAATTCTATCCACACTTTTTGTCATCATGGTTATATCGCGACTAGGCGTCCTTTGTTATGAACGCTAACCGTAAAATGTGAAACGTTGACAATTTGAAATACCTGATCAACCATATTTGACGTGGCACTCACCTCTGGAACGCCTCAGCCACGTTGGTGTAAGCGGTCTTGATGAATTCTCAGTTGGAACTCCTTTGAGGGTGTATCCAGTGCAAGAACTCTTGCCTGGAACGACTCCCCAGCAGTGAGGGCTGCGAGCCGTCAAATGGCAAACCGGCCTAGCCCACCTGCTTGAAGGGCCCAGGGATTGTAGAGAGACGTGACCCATATCACTTCGTTCGCCGGCAGCTCCAACTCCGTATTGATATTTAGCTTCTCTTCCAGGGAGAGGTGGCCAACTGGCTGTGCTGTTGGCAGTCGATGCGTCATTAACTCTGTATTGGCCTCATCTCTTAACGGCGTTATCTTGTCTGGGTATCTGACAAAAAGACTGTTCCAAAGCCCTTCTGAGTATTCATCACTCAAGAGAGTCTAAGAATAAAGTCGCCAGTAAGCCAGCATGTTCATTAACGCAAAAGTGACATCAGACTCACAACCCACGGTGATGCATGTGGCTTGCAGTAGCGTTGATAGGCAGATGATCTGTAACGAGAATGATGTAGAGCAAGGCATGTGTAAACCGTCCAACTGAGTGAACGCCTACTTGAAATATGACTCGAGCTAAAGGGAGTATGCCGTTTTTTGATGCACTGACGAACAGGCGCTTGGTTTTAAACCGACGAGCAATCGAAGGTAAAGGTTGCTTACTTCCCTTGGATGTAATGTTCTTCGGATATATACACCACCACCACCACCACCAACAACAACAACAACAACAACAGGGCGTGAGATCTAGTACTTTTAGATTCCTGAGACGACCGCTAGTAGCCTGGGTTTCGGCAGACCCTTGGTAGCCTTCATGCAAATTTCTGCACATGCTGAGTGGCGGCAAGGCTACCTTTATCCTCTGCCTAAAACATACTCATCGGCCCGCTCCCTCCCTCTTCATCTATCGTCTTTTGTGTCCGCGGTGTAGGTGAGCTGAATCCGATGTATATCCCGATGACTACAATCGAACCCTCTCACTCCCCAAATGACGCTCTCTTCTCATCGTTCATATAGCTTCTGGTGCTTTGCGTTGTCCTGTTGACATGCACGACTGGGACGATCCTAATGCAGGAACACCTAGTCACCCTAGACCCTGGCATTCTGTTCGCACCTGACGAGGAGCATCATCACCTTCCGCCTTCGGCATGTCATTTCCATAATACCGCAGTTCCAATCCTCTCACAATGGAGCAGCCCAATCGAATTAATGGAGTATCCTTCAAGCTTCCCTGCCTCAACCTTCACTGCTTCCAACTCGATGCACCACCTTCAAAACAACGGCCTCTAACCTGTGAAGTGGAAACGGGCTGCTTCCAGCTGGCCGAGACCCTCTCGTGGGGCCACGTACCGCCGACGATAAGTATTGGTAAAATCTTGAAGAAGCGCCCTCACCTGCCTGATGGCGGTAGAATCGTTAGCGCCAAGACGCTCCTTGATCTTGGCCATTAACCGGTCCGCTTCAATAGGCGTGATGGTCCCTTGGGGCAGAAGGTGGATGGTATGCTCGACCCAGGAGGTCGTCTGTGCCGGGAAGAGCTCGAACATTGCCAGCAAGACCCCACTACCGTCGGCGAAGCAGTCCCGAGGGAATGTGATCATCATGCCGGCCATGACCTGTTTGACCAGCTTCTCGCCATGAGTCGCAAGTAACTTGCTCACCACCTCACGGATTTGAGCAGCCACATCCGGGGGCAGCACATCTGACGTCGCAGGGTTGTCGCCTCCGTACGTCAAAAGATCACGGAGAAAGTGCAGCGTAGCTGAGAGCGGATCGCGCTGCTCTAAAGTCAAAGCATACACAGCAGCCTCGAATATGGGGCCTAGAAGCTCTGACGGAATCAGCTTGGCTGGGTAGTAGAGGAGTGCGTCAATGAGGAGTCGGAAGAAATCTTCAATGACGTCGGGCAGCTCGCTAGGCTGGAGGTCGCTCATCACCCGCAAGAACGTAGTGGTCTGAGCCTCGAAGAAGGCGTAGATGCTCTGGGTGATCTCCTGGTTGACGTGCTCCCGATCCTCGGAAAACTCTCTCAGTATGGCAGCCGTAACCCAGAGGAAGGCGCCTTGGCGAGAGGCAGCGAACCCGCCCGCCAGCTTGTTGGCCATCTCCGGCAGCAAGGGGGTCATTGCCGTACGGTATGAGATGATCATGTTGCGCCAGCAGCGGCAGATCCTCTCGCAGATAGGAACAAAGCCCATGAAGTTGTCCAGGATCGTAGCCAAGACCGGGAAGACCTCCTGCCAGTATTTCACGGCAGGATTCTCCTCCCCGGGTCCGACGTACGGCACAACAATCTGTATGAAGATAGTGATAAGTTGGAGATGGTCTGGTATCAGGTCAGCCTCCATTAGCGTTTCCATACTTGAATTTACTCACCTGCGAGCGCCAGTTTGCCCTTGTCGTCTGTTGCAAGGTTGGCCTTGTTCATCAGACGCTGAACTAACGGATCACAGTAAAGCTTGAGAAGCTTGTAGATCTCGGAAGGCTCCTGCACCGCCACCACGCTTGCAACCCCCTCCGTGATCTCCTCCTGGCTCATATCGGGCAACTTATCAAGAATCTGGTCGTAGAATGTCTGCATCTGGAGCACCTGACCACTCAAGAGCTGTTTGCAATCGGTGCAAAAATACTTGATCGCCATAGCGGCAGCCCTCACCACCTCCTTCGAGTCCGTTTGAAAAGATGTAACAATATAGTTGAACTGGGGCTCGAGGTATTCGGGATGAGCGGAAGTCCACTCCGTGTACCGACCGAGAACCATGATAGTGGCGAAACGGAGCTTCTCATGGCTGGGGATCTGAACGAGGAGGGGCATCAACTGCGGCAGCACAACGTTCTCGTCCTTGTCCACCATCTGCCCCATCGCACGCATAGCGAAAAGGGGGGCCTCCAATTCTTGCCAGTGAGGGACCGAGGTCGCCGAAGCCTGGCCGGCATATTTGTGCATCCAAATCTTGATGGCTTCGAGCACCTTCGTGAGGCAGTCGGTCACGCCCATCACCTCGCAAGAATCCTTGAGTGTGTCTCCCATCTGGTGACGGAATTCGCGAAACTTCTCCTCTGCCTCACGGTCGCCATCAAACAGATCCGTCTCATTCGACGACTCCGATTGTGGGTATTCCAGGTGCTTCAGCAAGATGTCGACGAGCTTCGAATAAATATCCACAAGCTGAAGCCTGGCCTCGATGTATCGTTCCAGGACGATATACTGCTTCAACTCGTACCAGAACTGGAACGTATGCTCAATAACATCCCGGTCCTTATCTCTGGCTGCGCACTCAAGAACCGCATCGACAAGTGATCCGAAGTGACCAGGCTCGCGAGCAATAGCTACGACCCAGGCCTCAGCGGCTAAGGCGAAGATCTTGGTAAGGGACTTGTAAACCTCAATGTCCTCTTCCTCAACAGCCGCCGCAATCCTTGGGCGCAGGGCATTGACACGGGGCAGGAGGATCTGGATAGCCTCCAGGTTATCGTCCACATCCCGCGTTTCTCTGAAGATCGTGCACAAGCACTCCGCTGCTTCCTGTGATGCTTGATCGTTGCCGACGGCGTTGAAAATAACATCAAGAAGGGGTGAATTGACAACGGTGCTGACAGGTACCTCTCGCAGCCATGAGGTGATACACTCCATCAGTTGAGGGTTCTGGGCTGCATTCACTGAAACGGCAGGTTAGCATCCTTCGGTGTGGAAGGAAAGAGACTATATCGGCGGCGGCGTACCAGAAGATTGAGCATAGTTTATGAGCAACTGTACGACCTGATCCGTGTTGTCACCCAGCAATTCCCTGGTCCGTTGGGAAAGCTCTTCTTCCTGTCATTGCCAATTAGACTCTGATCCTTGTTGATATCGGCCCAGGGACACCACGCCGCGAAGAGTAAGAGCCTGGTCGGTTTTTCCGTGATCCACGTACAGTTAGGGTGATTTTGCGGCCTTCGGTCACCTCCTCAGGCAGCACGCGTAGAAAGTCGAGAACAGCGGAATGGCTCTCAATGCTATCGCCAATAGACGAAACCACCGTAGGAAGGACGTCTTTCCATTCCTTCATTTGAACCGCCAGTGTCGCCAGACAGACGCAGAGCTGGACTCGTATCGGTTTGGGACCCGCAGCATAGTGTTTGAGGAGGAGGAGGATTTGGTCCCGCAGTGCAGGCAGCTCGGTTTCTGATACTTGCGTTGCCAGGTCGTAGGTGATCTGGGAAAGCCTTTGTCAGCTCATTGCCATGCAAAATATCCTCTTGATTGTCTACCTTTCCGCGCAAAGTGATGGCTGCAAAGAGCTTAGCCTCGGGCTCGCCGTCCGACTGAAGAATGCCGATGATAGTGCCCCAAGCATCTTTCTGTAGCACCCGTTAGTGAGTGATCATTTCTCACAGGTCGTCGTGGGTCGAGGTATCTAACAGATTTCTGGAACCGCTCCAAGTATGCGTGCGCTTTCTTCTTAGTCTCCTGCTCTCCTCCTCGCATAGTCACCATGGCCGACAGCACATCATTAGGAGCGAAAGCCTCTGAGGCTCCGTTTGTGGCCATGCTGATGAACCAGAGTCAGATATCGCAGCGTGAATCGTTCGGATTATAAAAAAAGGCAGCGGGGGCGAGATCAGGATGAGGTGGCAATTGCAGTGCAATATGGCGTCGCGCTAAAGAAGCCGCAGATGCGGTAGATACAAGGAAGGTTGCTGAGGGGCAGGGAGAAGCCGTCGAATTGTTTTATTTTTGAGAAGTAAGGAGCGTTTGGCTGCTGTGGTGGCAGTTGAGGCTATCAAAGAGGTGCGCCGACAACGTCCAAAATTGGCAGATAGAGGAGGGGTGGTGGAGGGAGGTCGCGAAAGGAAAATAAAACGTCAGTCAGGCTGGCGGGACAGCGGGCGGATTTGAAAGGAACCCACCCATCCGGTCTAACTAGAGCCGGCCAAGACACTTTTAAGGTAGGCGACAAGGCTTGGGGGCCTGGCATACCTGGTTCCAGTAACATCTGCTGCCTTAGTCGGGTGGAGGTACTTGACCTGACCAGCCACGACTGCTAGGTGGGGTAGGTACCTTGGGCAGACAGAGTGGGAGACACGCCTGTCATTCAGAAGATAGGACCCATATTTGACTCGAAAGCACTGCATCACACCGGGCCTGCGCCGGCGATGGAAAATCATTTTGCCATCCCCGCCAGAAATTCTCCCAGAGGCTGAGCGAACCTTGAGCAGCATCGTGCCTGCCTGGTAGGTGCTGAGCATAATCGCCAGCCTCAACTGCGGTTCAGTTGCTCTTTCGACCAATTACCCCACGACTTTCCACCAATCCGAGCTCAACGTGACCGACGAGCACGATAAGAGCACAATACGAGCACGACACGAGCCTAGGAAGACCATTAATCATTTTCAATACCCCAAATTCAGCTCAGTCCCGTGAAAATGACCGGACGCGGAGGCGGCGGTGGTCGCAGGGTATTGCTCCCGCCTATCAACTTTATCTTCAAGCTTCTCCAGTATGCGTGTTTCCAACCAGCCCTGGTGCATTGATAACAAACTGACTAGTTGGCAGGCAACACAGCACTGTTCAGATTTGGCTCTACGAGCAGCTGTCGATCCGAATCGAAGGAAAGATCAGGGTACGCAGCATCCTAAACGTCACGTAAGGACATAACAGCTGATCTAGAGTTGGACAGGGTTTCGACGAATTTATGAACCTCGTCATCGACGACGCGGTTGAAGTTAAGCAGGTTACTAAGACGAACCCAGAGGAGAAGCGAAGAGCGTTGGGTATGCTGCTTTCAAGGCATTGCCATCACGGACGGAGAAGCTAACGTGCATGCAGGGCAAATATTGTTAAAGGGCGACAATGTGTCGCTAATCCAAAGTCTATCGAACTAAAAATGATCCGAGTTGAGAAGAGGACGACGCTATAGCGGTGAAGCACGCTTTAGGGCAATACATAAAAAGTTGATACCACGGATTTGTCACCAATAAGACAAGGGTAGGCGGCGTATGGCTATTTGCTGTGGGAACTGTCTGCCGGTCTCTTGATCTCTCCGTCTCCAAGAATCAGGCCATGGAGTTGTTGGTCATGCTGCGCCACAGGAATCGGGCTATCTGAGGGTAGGGAAAGGAACTGCTCCGATAGAGCCAGGCCATATAGCAACACAGGATGCTTAGAAGCCGACAACTCGCCATCGTACTTTGACGCGTACCTTCTGATGAAGAGATCATAAAACCCTTTTCCATGACCCAGCCGCCGCAGGGAGCCTGTGTTGTCGTCAATGTCAAATGCGACTCCCGGAAGTAGCATCAGGTCCAGGAAAGACGTGTTGGGGGATTCTGCCCCAGGTTCGCCGAGGACCCTGTCTCTTAGGGTGACCGTCTTCGGATCAATGCTGGGGATGCCCCATTTGTCTGGTTGCAGTGACTCGTAGTCGTGTAGATCGCGTAGGCGTACCATGTCCATGACCCTGGGAGGCGTCTCTCCCGGTGCAAAGGGCGACTCATGCAGGTACGGGATGTATACATCTTTTCCAGCTGACAAGGCGTGGCGTACGATATTGTCCGTCTGAATTTCACCTGAAGGCATCGAAAGAAAGATGCTGACCCTTTTTGCCTCTACATAGGGTCCAAAAGTCTTGAGTGTCTCGAATACGGTTTGACCTAGAGGATGGAAGGGAGGGGTTAAGATCGGGTCGGGGGAGGGCTATAGCAGCATGGAGAAACACTTACTTTGGGCCTTGACGGAATCATGAGCGATGCCAGCGAGTCTGTTCCTCATAACAGAACGCAACTGGTTCTTTGCAGCCACCAATGAAGCCATGGTCATCGCCAGTTTTCGATTCAAAGCGGGTTTCTCTAGCTGAGGGAAGTTCGCCGCAACGAATTAGAGCTGCAGCGTGTCATGCACTCGTTGGTTCATGTCCAGAGTCCTCAGGAAAGCGTCGAGTCGCTTTCGCTGTGACGTGATTCGACGGCGAATCGCTGTTGATCCTCCGGAAACAGGTGGATCTGTATCTTTTACTGCGATATATCTATATATGCGTCAAGAGATGTATGCATTAAAGCATTTTGACGGAGATTTAGACAACAGTACGGATAAGGTCTAGAGAAACAGAGGCGGCAAGTACATCAGATATAAGCTGATTCTCTTCCACTTCCACTTCGAGCATATCGTTTGGATCGCCGGGTAATACTCAATCATAAAACCGAGGTCTGGCCACATGTAGTTGGAGCGACGGCAATTAGTGTACGGTGTACTGGTAAGAATCTTGTTGGGTACTTCTTCAACAGCCAAATACATTTACGTCCCTGAAATCAGACCCCAGGATATAGCTTATGACTTCGTATTCTGTACGTACGCCAGTAGATAAGTTAGCGAAACCGACCGATTGGTTGATTCCTAAGGTGGACTAGGTGACACAGCTTGCAGCTCGACCTCCTTGTAGTTTCTTTGAGGGAGCCGTCAGCACGTCGAACAAAGCTCTACCTACAGTGTATGCGCCCTGAAGGCTACAGAAAGACCAGACTGAGGAGCCTTTGCTCGTCGTGGCTATGCCAAGTAGCCAAAATGGTAGCTATGTCGGTCACCTGCAAGCCATTAAGTTGGCGATGTTGGATTAGGGATTGCTCAAGGCCAAGTCTCCCTTTGGCTGCAGTATAGCCGTGGGTCTGGCAGTCAGCCCTGATAGCTACTTTTAGAGTTCTCACCTCCACAGGTCATGGTGCGTCCGATGTTGTAGTAGCAGCTTATCCTCTTCGGGAACTAGAATCGAACAGACAGCAGGCATAGAGGGAGGTACGAACACAGGTCCATTTCAATAGGAGAAAGAACCAGTAGTCAACTACTCTGTATAAACCTCAGGTGCGCTCACCAGGTCTCAGATGCTGGGGGTGAAGGATAGAGACAAGCTTGGAATTCGAGGGGAAGGCCAAGAGAAGAAATGGACTACAGCGAGCTACTTTGGCTGACTTGCAAGGGGACGGGGTCATGGATGGGGTGGCAACGAGGATGCGAGACGTCGGTTGGCTTCGGGGCCAAAGGACGGCCGGTGACAAGAAACGGAGGCACAGCACCAACCAATTTGCCAAGGCGCGGCATTCCGCTACCTTGATTTGTGACTCTCCTGGCAGCTTCATCGGGTTTGGGCCCGTTCTTGGTATTTGTCGAGGGTTGTCTACTAGGTAGCTTTGTTCGATCAAGTTTGCCAGGAGTGAGATGCTCCTGGGCGACTATGCACCCAGCTATCGTGTCCGAGTAAGGGTTGAGGATGAGATGAGGCTTGGATGGAAAGGTGTGACTGCTGAAAGAACCCCTCGAGACCAATGTACCTTTTTGAGATGAAATGCACACCCAAATGTTCCGTTGCCTGCCTGAGAAATTTCCTCTACCAGACACGTCGCCTTGCATTGGAAGCGGGCTTGACAGGAGACACGATCACAAGACATGAGGGGAATGTTGAAGAATTGAAACACTTGATGCGAATCAGGATCATGACGAGAGATGGGTAAAATGCCAAAAAAAAAAAAAAACTATGATTGAAGGGAAGCTCAGATGGGGACACCGACAACAGCGTTGGCGTGTGGAGTCCGTCCGTGTCCTGCAGCGCCCTGCATCTCCACCTCATTCTATGGTCACCTACAGGCTACCTACCTAGGTAGCCCATTATCTTCCCATGCCGCCCACTGTTTTCTGCACGCTGGACCATTTACAGACAAGAACGTCCCATCCGTCAGCTACTGACCCGTTGGGCCAGCCACATACATACTCATCTCCCAAAGCTGTCATCATGAGGGTGCATATCTCTGCCTGTGAAGATTTTGGGGCACCATGCACAGGAAGATAAGTACGCAGGTACGCTACACGTTACATACACGTATTGCTTACGTAGGTAGATAGGTGGGTATGTACATACCTAGTAGAGAAACGCCCGCGAAAATACGCTACTGCGTAGCCCAGGCGCCAAGCCCGAGGGACCTAGGCATCTGTCTACCTGGCTGGGTAGGTACTTACCTAGGTACTTTAGGTAGGTAAACTAGTACTTTGGCTTGCCAACGACCGTGGACCTTGAAGCTCGAGCAACACACAATTGTGGCCACTCACGATTGAAATGCAATAGAGCTGAGAGGACAGTCCTGTACCCGTAAAGCCAAGCTCTCCCCCAAGCTCCCTTCCTCCACCGTCTGGGTCTGGGTCTGCTTCTGCGCCTCTGCGTCTTGTATCCATTGCCGTACCGTTTGCCTTTCTCGTAGCACACTTCTGGTCCTACTCCCTACCCCCTTCGCCTCAGATTCAAATACCTTGTGTTGCCCTGCCCCTACCTCTCTCCACTTCACCCATCTCCTTTATATTTTTGCTACAGATTCTTTCACCCACCCCTACTCAACGGGACCTCAAGCAAGGTAACGTCGTCATCGCGACCCGCCGTTTCCGTGCTTCGCAGCCGCCTTTTCGAAAGTTTTCCATTTCAACCAGCCTCGATACCCTCCCTGATACCCAAGCAAGATTAGTTGCGTCGATATTCCCAACAGCCGCCCACCATGGCTCAGGTTCCGCCTCCCAAGTCAAAGCTTGACATCCTGCCCAAGATGCAGGTAAAGGGCCCCTTCTCTGTCCCCTCTCCTGGAGTTGAGGCCAAAGACGGCGAGACCGTGCCGCGTCGACTACCCCAGGCCATTCCGGACTTGATCACCATACCCGGAGGCAGCATCACCACCACCTACGAGCTCGTTAAGCAAAGTGCCGAGAAGTACGGCAACGCCAAGTGCTTGGGCTCGCGTAAGCTGGTCAATACTCACCGCGAGACGAAGAAGATCAAGAAGATGGTCGATGGCGAGGAGCGCGAGGTCGACAAGCAGTGGACCTACTTCGAGCTGAGCCCTTACGAATATATTACTTTCCACGAGTACGAGCGCCTCACCCTCCAGCTCGGTGCAGGCCTGCGCAAGCTGGGCATGGCCAAGGCTGATCGTGTGCACATCTACGCCGCCACGAGCTCTCACTGGTTGGCCATGTCCCACGCTGCGGCCTCGCAGTCCATGCCCGTCGTGACAGCTTACGACACGCTCGGCGAGCAGGGCTTGAAGTACTCTATGGTTGCGACCTCCGCCAAGGCCATCTTCCTCGACCCCCATCTGTTGCCGACTCTTGCCAATGTCCTTCAGGAGGCCAAGGACATCCGCTTCGTCATCTGGAATAACCAGAACCAGATCCAGCAGGCACACGTAGATCAGCTCAAGTCTGCCCACCCCGAGATTCAGATCTTGAGCTTCGAGGAGCTGCGCAAGCTAGGAGAGGAGAACCCTGTCGACGCTGTGCCCCCCACCATCGATGATCTGTGCTGTATTATGTACATCTCTGGTTCGACCGGCACCCCCAAAGGTGTTCCACTGAAGCACAAGGCCGTCGTTGCCGCTGGTAAGTTAGCATCAACCTCTCAATTTTGCACGCGGACGGGAACTAACATTTCCCAAGTTGCCGGTGTCAGTGCTGTCGTACAGCCCTTCATTGGCCCTGGCGACGGCCTCCTAACATACCTCCCGCTCGCCCACATTCTCGAGTTCGTCTTTGAGAACGCTTGCATCTACTGGGGTAGCACTATGGGATACGGCAATCCCAAGACCCTGTCCGACAACTCGGTTCGTAACTGCGCTGGTGATATCAGGGAATTCAAGCCTTCCGTCATGGTCGGTGTTCCTGCGGTCTGGGAGACGGTAAAGAAGGGCATCGTCGCCAAGGTCAACGCCGGCAGCCCTCTAGTCAAGACTCTGTTCTGGAATGCCCTGTCTGCGAAAATGCACATGATGAACGCCGGCATCCCCGGTTCTGGAGTGCTCGACTCTGTTGTCTTCAAGAAACTCAAGGAGGCAACTGGTGGACGTCTTAAGCTTTGCATGAATGGAGGTGGCCCCATTGCTAAGGAAACCCAGCAGTTCATTTCGATGGCCATTGCCCCCATGATCATTGGCTATGGTCTTACCGAGACCACCGCCATGGGCTGCATCATGAATCCTCTTGAGTTCAATGTCAACAACATGGGTGCTATGCCGGCGTCGGTAGAAATCAAGCTGGTGGACTTCGCCGAGGCCGGCTACTATGCTACCAACAAGCCTAATCCTCAGGGTGAGGTTTGGATTCGTGGACCCTCCGTCCTAGAGGAATACTACGAGAATCCCAAGGAGACGAAGGAGGCTCTTACTGAGGATGGCTGGTTCAAAACTGGTGATATCGGCGAGTTTGACAGCAATGGTCACCTCAAGCTCATTGACAGGAAGAAGAACTTGGTCAAGACGCTCAACGGCGAGTACATTGCCCTCGAGAAGCTCGAATCCATTTATCGTGCCGCTGCTGTGGTAGCCAACATCTGCGTCTACGCCGATGCCAAACAGGCCAAGCCTATTGCCATCATCGTTCCTGCCGAGCCGGCGCTGATCAAACTGGCCGAGAGCATTGGTGTCAAGGGCAATAACCTAGAGGAGCTTGTGCATGACAAGAAGCTACGGAGCGCTGTTCTCAAAGAACTGCAGAACGCCGGCCGATCAGGCGGTCTCTCAGGCATTGAGATTATTGAGGGCGTTGTCATGTCCGATGAGGAATGGACCCCGCAAAACGTGAGTTTACATCGTCCCTTACTATGGATAAGACTTGATGACTAAACCGACATAGGATCTGGTTACGGCGGCGCAGAAGCTTCAGCGCAAGAAGATTTTGGAGAAGTACAAGGACGAGGTCGCCAAGGCTTACGGCTCTTCCTGATTGCGGACGTTATGCTTGTTTCGATCTCCGAGGGATCTTTTCATCTTCTTTTGTTTTCCCCAATTTCTTTTTATAATTGGATCATGGGCTCGGATCTTTTAATTCTCCCGAAATTGCAGCATCGGACGGGTTGGCTACGGGATGCTTGATATCCAGGAGTACAGTGTGCGCGATTCGTATTTGTAACAATAACAAACATACCTGGGTCCTCATTTCCGTGGGTGGCTGAGTCCAGTAAGCTGAGACTAACTGAGCATTCACCTTCGTACGCTGTTCCCAGCCCGTTCGAATCGACGGACAAAGAGGGTGCTGTTTTGCAATCATACATCCCATCTGACCGGGGCCGGTCAAGTCGGCGTCCCACTGTTTTGACCCGAGGATGCTGTGCTGACAAGAGCCTCTATGGGTGCCAATGTCACGGTCCGGATTGCCCGGCGTGTGCTGGTGTAAAGTGTTCCATAACAACGGGACGCTAGCCTGTACTTGCCGTGTTGGCCATTTTGAAAGATGCCGTTTTCAAGTCCAAAGAGGAGGTACTACCCAGTTTCTTTTTCACATAATCTCCAGGCTCTCATGACAGTAAATCATTGCCATCTCATTCCTGCTAGCCCTGGTAATAATAATAATAATAAAATCGCACATTGGTCACTGCACAGCTCGCCATCCCAATAACAGAACCATGAAAACAAACCCTAGGAGGAAGGGTTGAACGATTGAGGAGCATTCTGCCCCCCTTTGCTTCTCTTCTTCCATTTACACTAGGCCATCGTAGAGGGAAAGCGCCGAGACAATGGTCTCGTCGCGTTTGCTTCCCTCCTTAAACTCCTCCATATCCAGGCTGCCGTTCTCGTCCTTGTCCATCATGCGGAAAATTTTGCGTACGCGCTTCTCGGGGGTGTCTTCGTCTTCAGGGAGCTTAACCATGGAACCAACCTGGTCAAGGGCAACATTGTTAGCGTCGCCGTATCGGATTTGGGGGACGCGCAGGCAAATGACTTGGATCGCAACGGTGCGCCCTTAGGGTGACAGTCACAACAAAATTGCAACCGCAAATAAGCGTTGGAGTACTTACCATTTTGTAGATTGCCTCGACGATCTTGAGCATTTCGTCGTAACTGATCTTTCCATCGCCATCAATGTCATATAACTGGAAGGCCCAGTCGAGTTTATCCTCCATCTTGCCTCGGCTCGTAACACTCAGGGCGCAAATGAACTCCTTGAAGTCGATACTACCAGACTTGTCGCTATCGAAGACGTTGAAGACGTAATCTGCAAACGAACTTGGGTCTCCAAAGGGGAAGAATTGCCTATATATCTTCTGAAACTCTTCTTTCGTGAGCATGCCCGAGGGACAGTCCTTGAGGAAGCCTGTGGACAGTCAGCTTTCATTCCCTATGATGCGCAATGAGGGTCTAGCCTGGGAGACGATGGCTAACATACCCTTGTACCATTGTTGGAGCTCCTTCTTATCGAAATGGGTCGACTTCTGCAATTCAGCTAGCTGCTCCTGGGAGAGCTTGGACTGACTAGACGATGGTAACGCTATCAGCAAGTTTTCAAGCATCTACAATCCATATAGCAAGCAGTTTCGAGCTCTCTGAGATTCTTCTTCTACCGTACTGTAGAGCCGCATACCCGCAGGAAATGTGGCTGGAGGGCGACTCACGATTTGCCCATAGCTGCTGACGAGCTTCGAAGAGGGGACTGAATGCGATATCCGAGGCCGGGTAGCGAGGGATACGTATGATGTCGGGGTAATCGCAGTGTGCGCGTGGCTGCGGTTGACGGCGGCCTGAACTCGTCGAGATGTGCGTCGAAGGAGCGAAAACGAAAGCGATCTCGTCGCCTGGGTACAGATGAATGGGCCGATCAGATGCTGGCGAGAGGGAGCAAGCTGCAGGTAAGCCGATGGTGAGTGAATTTAATCTAGTCGGACTCTATTGTATGTATGTGTATATGGGGACGAGTGGCGAACGAAGGCGATGTCGCTTGGGCGGCGGCGACGACGACGACAACAACAACGAACAGAGCTGGCGACAGTCAAGAGCGTAGTTGACAAGCGGGGGAGGGGAAAGAAATAAAGGGCCTAGGATGCTTTGCTGGTGATGGTGGTGGCCAAGAGCGCTGGGTTCTAGTACTGGCTCTGGCTCTGGCGTGGGTGAGTGCTGCTAGCGGGGCCCGACGAGGAATGATGTACTTGGGCCAGGAAAGTATGGCGGCGGGAAGGGATACTACCTGTACGAAAGAGGTACCGCAGAGGTAGTTAGAGACAGGTACCGCGTCCACACGGTACGAGGTGAGAAGGTGGGAAACAGGTGGGTAGGGAAAGGGGAAGCAGTGTTAAGATTCAAATAAACGGAGAAGGAGAACTATTAAGAGGTTGACGCTTCAAACAAGGTTAGAGGGCAATGCGCCTGATGTTTATTCCTTTCTGGAACAGGTGGAATCGGGGGCTCAATACGCAGCAAGTCGTCTGTCGCAAGTTGCAGGCGTAAACAGGAGTTCTTGAGTTTGCGATTAGCCCAGTACGTGAACGAGAAAGAAGAAGAGAGGGGTCGGAGGCTCAAGAGCTAATTAGTGTCCCTGTGTGAATGTCTGTCTAGCAGTTGGTCATAAAATGTAAGCTTCTGGCCTGTTCCCCTTCTGCGCTGTCGCAGAAGCGTGACACGCTGGACTCAGACCAACAGAACAGGGCAAGGCACAGCACGATCCTGGGGCGGGGCCTCCTTCCTGCTGCATCACATCCAGCCATGTATACAACATTGTCTCAACGGCATCGAGTGGGTAACGGGATGCAGCGCCAATTTCAGACAGGGAGTTGAGCAGCTCACAACTCGACCAGTCACATCACAGCCAATATCTTGCCAAGCATGGTACATGTTGAGGCGCCTCACGCAAGTACGCATCTGGAAATATGGCAATGGTGATGTCTTTCTAGCACCCGCTACCTTCCGCATCGGTTCAATAGGCCATTGAGTTTGTCTACCTACTTATATTTTCTTTTTCTTTTGAGAATTAAAAAAATTGATAATAATAAACCCGTAGAACACTAACCCCTGCTGGCCATCTACAACCCCTCGAATGCGCCATTGGTCGTCTATTTCATCCTCGAACCCTGGGAAAGCTTGGGGAATCCAGCCGCTCGGCGAACGCAGCATTACTGAAAAAAATAATTGGAATAGATGCTGATTTGGGAATTTTTGTCGGGGTTTTTCGTCGAGAACACGTGTGGCACGGTCCGTCGTGAGGAAACGGAGCGACAACATTCGGGAGTGCGCGACGGCAAACGGCGAATATTAGATCAGCCGAGGCCTCGCTCAGCCCCGTCGTCAACCATCATATGGATGTGGTGGTGGATGACCTTTCCAATTGGCACAGGGTCATCAGTAACCGTCGATTAGGATACGTACCCGTATGACGTGCCTTGCCATTTTCCGACAGCGCCTAGGTGCCTACCTGCCTAGGTAGGTAGGCGCCGCCCCTGGCCAGTAATCCTCACAGCCACCCTCGCTTGCCCACACCAGCAGATAGCGCCACTGAAGATCCTTGGAGCAAGGGCATCAAATGTCATCATTGCTAGGTTTTGGCCGGACCCGGTAGAACCAGCTTCGTTAACTTCAACTACACTACCCACGATGATGGAATGCCACGCACGTTACAGGTGAGACAGACTTGACGCCCATTTGAAGATCCAGGCAGTTGTTTATGCAAAGGGTAGCTCCTTGGGGACGCCCCGGTGGTCGCACGAAGAAAACCGCCACCAGTTATTGTGCTTGGGGATGAGGAACCACCGCATCATCAACGTCACGAACCACGGCAACCCAGGCCACCAGGCATAAATACCGTCCTCGAACGTTTTGTCTCGGTTCGTGAGGAGAAGTGGAAAAGTCGTCGTCTGTCGTAATCACGTATGTCAGCTGCGGCTGTAGTCGATATCGTTTCTACGCTCCGTGGAAGATTGAACGAAGCTCAATGTCGACGTAAAACAGATGGCTTACCTTGAGGTTAGGATCATCTGATTTTGCAAGCAGCTCCTTTATGAGCCTCTCGAACCACCCATCCCAGTCTCGGTCATAGTCACCCAGTTTCAACAGCGTGCCAATTTCGTCGCTTAGATGCTGCCGCAGAACAGGCATGAACGAGTCGATGATACCCTTAAGTTTCTCTCCGCTGTACGCCTCCTCCCTTTTCTGCACCATGTCCAAGTAGCCCGTGTACGCATGTAAGCCCTCATGAAAAGCCTCGTGCTGTACCACATTTGCCTGCATCAGCCCGGGCACGCCAGTCAGCTGCTCGATCTGGGGGAAGACCGTCTCCTCTTCGATGTGGTGGTGCTCCTCCACCATTTTGGCCCACTCAATCGCATACGACACAAAGTCCCGGACGTCGTCAGGAGACTTCTCTACGTTGACGCACTGCAAGTAAACCGTGTTGAGAATTCGGATGATGAGATTGTGGATGATGGTCATGTCCTCGGCCATGCGGTTCGCCCCTGCTGTCTTGACGCCTTCCTGTTGAGCGGCACACGCTTAGTTCTTGCAAAAGACTATCACAGGCATTGAGGGTATATGTACCTTGGAACCAGCGCGAGTGCTGCTGATGAGCTCACAGGGCCCATCAGCCCATGGCTTCTTCTGCGACATGATTATTGATACTGATTGCGTCAAACGGGCTTGAAGGCCCCAGGTCAAAGAGACACTCGCACACGGACGGCGACGGCGAGAGCTTCGTCTTATACTAGACACGCTCAGTGATCCCAACACGCATGCTGGACGCCTTCGGCCAATCGACCCCGGATACGCAGAGCCTAGAGACGTGCCCGATAATGCTGAGAAGGATTTGGATTGCTGACGAGAGCACCGGAAATAGGCATGTACATAGCCAGGAATGTTCCTAGTGCTGACGCCTGGATATTGCCAACCTATCGCTGCGTCTGTATGTCCACGTACCTGCTCCGATTTGGGATGAGTCCCATCCTTGGTTTGACTACTTGCAGATGTTCGGTTTGCGACGTGGAACGGTAATCTCGGGGACTCGTGTTGCAATGTCGATGTGATAATAGTCATGGTGATTGGCTTTGGGTGCGCGGAACAGTAAGCTACACGACTCGCTCTCGACTACATCCAGAATCGTAATAAGTAAATAAACAAATAAGAATACTCGCAAGAACAATTGTGACTTGTATTATACCTACCATTTCAACGCCTAGGCTATAACAGACTGTCGCCCCCAGAAAGGATGGTAATTACGAAAAGCACTTATGTCCGTGTCTCGTTAAGCTTTGTTTCCTCTCAGGCCAACCCATCTGATCCCTACCTTCCCCTCGGTCATCGTGAATGTAAACCCCAAACGCAAATACGCTTCCGCACGTAATGTAAGGACAGCACCCCGACAATGTCCCCTTTATCGCGTCCCTTGACTGCCCTCTATGCTTAGGGTTTCATTAACCAACAACGGCCTTCATGCTCAGGCTTTCCAAGAAGCCACCCAGATCCTCCTTCTTGACTTCCACCACGCAGTGCTCGAAGCTGTCTATGCGGACGCGAGCATTGGTTTCGGCCACGACTTCCTGGAACGCCGATCCGAACCGGTTGAGACCGTAGCCCTTTTCCTTGGCCTCTTCTTCCTCGTCTTCTGAATCCGAGCCGTCTGACGCCTCAGATTCCGTATCGAGCTCATCCTCATCTCCCTGCCCCGCAGCCCGACGGGATGCCCGCTTCTCCTCGCGGACCTTCTGTCTGTTACGTCGTGACTCCTCACGCCGCTTAAGCTTTTCTTCCTTGGCCGCTTGCCTTTTCCTGGCGGCCTCGCGGTCGAGGAATGTAGTGTCAGGGCCGCCGCCGCCGCCTGTACCGACCACGAGGTAGACCCCGCGCTTGTCATTAAGGCTGGCGACCACAAGCGGCGTGCCGCGACCTCCATGGGAGAGGCGGCCTGTGGTGTCCTTTTCTTGCTCTACAAGAGCCTCGCCAACCCAGAGAGCAAGCTTAGTGAGAGCGGCCGGGTGACCGAAAACGGGAACGTCGGGTCCCTCCTTCACGACGCACATGCGGAATGCCCGCAAGTGCTTAATTTGCTTCTTGTTAATAAGTGACGTACCGGTGCGGTATATCGCACGATGAAGAAACTGAGCTGTGGGAAGTCCGCCTTTGAGGGCATCGATACTGTTTAGAATGTTAGCAGGGTATGGCACAGATTCTTTTCGTGAGGGCACTTACTCCTCGAGTGCATCGTAAGCTTCCCAAAACCGACGGACCCATTCCTCTCCTTGCGCTGCGATGATCTCGTCATCGTCCACTTCTTCAAACTGAGAGTCCTTGGGTGCTTGCGTGAGTTCGGTCACATCACTGTGCTTGCCCACCTCTAACAGGGCGCCGATAACCACGCCGACATCTTGTGCGCTTAGAGTCGCTCGCCAGCCCCAACTGCGGACGAATCCCCAGCCGTCCTTGGCACCGGACCGATCCTTGCCATCTGTATCGACCGAAGGGACCATGTCGTCCAGATTGTAAAGGGAAGCGTACTTGAGCAGCTTGGTCCGCAGCTCTCGTTTCAGCATCATGTCCATGTGCGTGTAGCTTTGCTTACACTGGACCAGACTGACGCCCATCTTGGCCAGGAGTTTGTGGAGTCGCTTCAGACCTGTCTCACTCCACGTCTTTAGCCGGGCAAACAGATAGGGCGAATGCAGCATGCTATCGTAAAGACTCCAGTGTCTGATCAAGAGAAACTTGGGCTCTGGCGACAGCCTGATGCTCGTGTCTTCGGGGTTGCGAGCAGTGGTAGGGATGATACCTGAGCTCTCGGCCGTCGACGTGCGACCGTTGGTGACTTCAGGGGGGTTAAGACGCCGGACTTCATCTCGTAGGAGTTGGCGGATACGGGCGCCACGTACTCCCATCCAACCGTTTCCTTGGCCCCTGTCAGAGTTGCGGGCTGGGACCGCAATGCCTGCAGACGATCTGCCGTAGAGCTCCATCGACGTGACGCCGACGATTGTAAGCCATAACAAGTCGTTGTCTTCTCGGCCAAGCTCCGAGGCCAACGAGTACATCATAGAGGAGATTGGCTCGGAGAAGGACACGCCGATCTTGTAATACTTGCGAAGCACATTCTCGTTTTCTCTGCGCAGCCGCAACAGGCGGCGCCGCAAAACTCTGGCAGATGGCACGGGCGGCGGTTGAGCAGCAGATGGAGGCTCTAGGGGGTCACTTGACAGAACCATGCCAGCGTCCCGCAAAGAGACCAGCCCTCTATGAGCAGGCCGCTGTGGCGATGAGGGTATAGAAGACGACTGCCACACATTAGCGTCTGCAAAGACGAGGTCTTGAATGACAACTTACAGAGTTGCCTCTTCTTCGTTGGTGCGGCCGGTTATCGGTGTCGCTGGAGTCGTCCTCTTCATCTCCATCAGACCAGCTTTTCCTCTTTTGGCCAGCATGCGTAGGTTCTTCGAACAAATCCTCGTCCTCGGCATCGTCGTCGTCGTCTTCTTCTCCCAAGTCTTCACCGTCGTCATCGACCTCAGGCATGTCGAGCAAGGCCAGGTACGCTTCTCTTTCCACAGCAAGTTCGTCTTCGATATCCCCGTCGTCGAATACGACGATGCCGCCCTTTCCAGGCTTATAAGCGCGGTCGATTCGACCAGCTACCACTCCTACAGGGCACCTTGACTGTAGACTGGCTCCTTCCTCAACGGCGGGCTCGAGAGGAAACCCACCAAAAACGTTGCCCAAGTTCCACGGGCGATGAGAGTCCATGACCCAGACTTCAACGCCGCCGAAGCTCAACTCATCCCCTTCGGGTTCGAGCCCCAGCAGGCTTCCGAGGTCGACCATACCGCCGACGCCGAGGCAAACAACAACTCCTCCACTGCCTCCTTGAGTCTCCATCATGGGCTGGACCAGGTCCCGGCCAGCGCGATCGAGGTCAGCATAGCCGGAGACGGGCTGGATCTTGTGGGGAATATAATCGTGCTTCAGTAGGCGAGTTAGGATTCGACATGCGCAGAGGGCATCGGGTTCGAGCGCGACAAGGACGAGGACGGGAGGAGAGAGAGGGTGTCGCGTATTCTGTAGGTGAAGGTAGAGTTTGGATATGAGGGGCCGAGGAAGATACATGACTAGGAGGATTCGGACGTGATTCGAGGATATATGTCGAACGGCTTCATGAGATGCAAAGATCGGCTCTCTGTTGACGACGCGGTTTAGGCGGCAGAGGGGCTAAACGGTGGGTGCAATGGCACACGCCGGCAACGGCTGGATAGCAAATGCGGCGAGCAATCGATAACACGGGGGATGCGAGTTACAAGTTGGTGGTCCTGTGTTGATGAAGGGCATGTGACTGAATAGAAATCGCAGAGTATCAAATGTGAAAGAATCGAAGGTGGGTAACAGTGAGTATTGCACCCTCATGGGAGCGTGAATTCAATGTGTGCGCGGGCGAGTGTAGTGGATCGGATAAAGTGATTGAGCTGGAATGGGCTCGACGCGAACGCGCGATTTGACGCGACTGTCTCTGCACCGCGCCCCTGGTCCGCAAACTTGTAAAATGGGGGGGGGGGGGGGGGGGGGGTCGAGATGTATCCTCGGCCGAGTGCACGAGCCACATGTTTTTAATCCGCCTCTTCCCAAGGATCTAGACCATCAGCGGCTACCGTAGCCACTCGTCAAACCCGAACAGGGCTAATTTTCGGGCTAACTGTAAATAGCTAGATTTCTAACTTTGAGCTAGTCCTAAGGGAGAAGGCGGTCAACCCACTCGCCACCCAGCCAACCAGGCTTGCACACAAATTTCCTCCTGACGTATACGGCACGTGACTGACCCATGCTTTTGCTAGTATCTGTTTCTGGGCTTGACGAGTGGCTACGGTACCTACTACGTATGCACCTAAGCAGGTCAGACACGGACTCGGCTGAACTTGTCAATCCGATCACCTGGAACTACTTCCGAATACCCCGGCTAAGTATTGTTTGGAAACGGCTTCGCTGTCCGTCAAACCTACCGCCTCCGCTGAGTCTAATTGCGGTCCTCAGTATCAATCCCTTAGGTTTCTCAACCTCAACGCCACCCATCGGCATACAAGTAGTGTTTTTCATGGATATTGACCGTTCTATCGGCCGTGTCTCCTTGGATTGTCGAGCACGCATCGTATTTGTCGACGTAGTCTATGAGCAGCTGCATCCACTCCTTTCCGCTACTCCACCTTGGTCGAAAAGAAAGCCATTCCCCTTCGTCTACATACTGCGTACTCCCCACCACATGCATGAGAGCCTTGGCTGGCCGGATAACTAATACACAATACCGCAGACATAACGGTGCTGCCTTTGGTGTTGGCTGCTACTGTTACTGCTGCTTGCTTGTATCATGTTAGACTCTCGTGGCTGGACAATGCAATGTGTAGTTCTGTCGAGGTAACGGTATCGAAAGCACAATGCAACATACACCGTCACCTCTATTCACTTCTCGAATCATCACACCCCGCATTTTCTCACACCGGCCAGTACCGGTGCGGCGTGAGCTAGCTTGTTGTTTCGCAAAACAAGACGCCGGGCTCGATCCTTTCCTCGCCAATCTATACGCCTGGATACGTGCCGTCGAATCGACTCATCATCTAGTGATGCTCGGCCGAATTGCCATTGACTTCCGGTAGATCGGCGCCGACACCGGCACTGGCGTGCCTTGGGGTTGCCTCTATCGCCGTCAACGTTGGTTCGGACATATCCCGCACCAGCCCGTTGGTACCAGCATGTTTGTACCACCCTTGTAGGCATTGCTGGGACGCTTGTACCAACTCGGCCAAGGCCAAAAACTGCATGAAAGTAGCGGAGTCGTTGGTGATTGGGTTACCGCCCTGCTGGTTCGAGAACTGGCCCTTAGTAGTACCATGTACCCCAAACGTCCCACCGTTTCTCTCCTGTGGTTTGTCTTTCTCCCCGTCGTTCACACCGTCTTCTGCCTCGTCCCGTACTGGCGACCTACAAGTGTTGCATGCGACTGGCTGACCTGCGTACCATTCGTCGTCTGCGGCCTGGCGGTGTTGGAAACATTTCCCTTTATGTTGTCTACAAGTTGACGAATACTTACGCTCGATTTGTCCCACAAAGCTTAGCAGTCTCGCTCAGCTGTCGCGCAGCCCGTATCGGAAGGTCGTATGGGCAAAATATACCTTGTTACAAGGCATCTGCCGCGACTGGTTTCTCTACACAAGGTCTTCAATTGACTGAGAGGGGAACCGGCGTCCTTCGGTTGCTTGGCCTTGTGCCAGTTTACTGAGAGCATCTGGGAGTGGTACTCCCAGTCTCTCGTGTCGCCACAGCGTACTCCAAGATTCCTCTCATCGGAGCCCGCTCCGAAGCGGCTGTCTGACTCCAGGACCTTCGTACATTAGCAGTGCTGCCATGAACCTGGCATTGGAACCGTTGGCTTCTCAAAGACTGAATCCAGCCTTGTAAACGGTTCGCGGCCATGAACATGTCGAACAGCGGGCCTATAGAGCCAGCTCCAGCAGACATGTTAGACGAGGACGAATTTGAGGGATCGGATTACGCTGGGTCGCTTGCGTCTTCAGGCTTCACCTCGCTTGCTTCTCGTGTCTTGGAGCATTCCCACGAAGGCGGAAGGTGCGTAATTCGTGGCATTCTCCCGTCTGGTTCAAGAACTTGTAGGCTAAGGTCGCGTATGCTCAGACGTTATCAATCATTCCAGCAAGGCAAATACCCGCTACCAAACGATGAGACGGAACAATTCCGCGAGGAAATGAAGCACCAGCTAGTCAAACGTCTTCTCGATGAAAAAGATTACCTATCGCCCATCGGCAACAACCCGCAGAAGATCATGGACATCGGTACTGGCATTGGCCTTTGGGCTGTTGATAGTGAGTTTGGCTATGCATGCTGCTTCAATATCCAGTCATCTGACACTATTGAGTTGCGGACAAGTTTCCTAGTGCACACGTTATTGGGGTGGACATCTCACCAATACAGAACTGTTACGCACCCCAAAACGTCGACTGGAGGATTGACGATATTCAAGAAACCTGGCCACCACTGTATTCCGACCTCGATTTTGTCCACCTCAGATCGGTCAGTGTGACCCTTCGGGAGCCAATCAAGGTCATCCGCTCGGCGTACGAGTAAGGCAGACGTCCCCAACGCCCCTCAACCATCTGCTAAACCGGTGACAGGAATCTCAAACCAGGCGGCTGGATCGAATTTCAAGACGCCGGCGTTAGGATCGGCTGCGACGATAACACTCTACCTGAAGATTACGCACCTGCCAAATTCATGGACACTTACATCCGCACATTCAAAACACATTTTGGTTGGGACCTGGAATTCCCTAATGTTCTACCAGAGGTCCTGAAAGACACAGGATTTATTAACATCCACCACCGGTACCATAAACTACCAATTGGCCCCTGGGCTAAGGACCGGAGCCAGCGCGAGATTGGTCTCTTCCTCAGCAAGGACGTGCTGTGGCAACTCGTCCGCGCTGTGCTCGTGAAGTGGCCACGGATGGGCCTGACAAAGCAGGAAGCCGATGCTATGGAACAGGACATCCGAGAGGCGTTTGAAAACACCTCGTACCACGCATACCTTCCATGGATATCCATCTGGGCCCAGAAGCCACCCAGCTGACGCGTGGATTACAGCCTGTCATGTCCAGGGTCTTACGAGCGGCTGATGTACGCTCAACGTCAGGGTTCCAGTCTAAAATCGACCATGAATATACCATCACGGGCGATCCGGGCGCGATAAACTGGGGCAAATCTCGAACGCTCTCTTGCATGACCGCATATGTATTCTGGCCGAATGCCGCAAGCCCCTCTGCATAAGCATGCAGCGTGGAAAGTCGGTGGATGAGAAGAGGGACGGATACGTGCACGTCAGACAGGCAGCATTTGTGCCAGCACTCTCCTCGGGAGATTCAGGCCACCGTATCCTCGTCAGTTAAAGATCTTTGACTCCGGCCGTGGCTGCCTTCTTGGATGATTAGAAGTATGTTGGTCACAAGGCTGGCTTGGCGCCGTACTTGACCTGCCGGACGGTCAAGAGCCGCGTTTGCTCGAGCAAGACACTAGGGCTGGGTTTATTATGGCTTTCTCCCATAAGTAACATACACGTCAAAATACCCATGCCTTCTGATATCTCGCCACTCCGCAATCACCCTCGCGCTAAAATCCCATACTTCTTCTTTTTTCCAGCCCATGAAACGGGTGAAAAGAGCCAGCGTCATGGACTCGAGTCCGACGCTAAAATTGGCCTCGGTCCAGAGCCCGAGTGTTTTGTGCTTGACATCCCGCGGCCACTGGTTGATTGGCCACTTGAACTGGATGCGCACGATGTCGACGAAGCCGACGCTGGTCATCATTTCCGCTGCCCTGCCGCAGGTGTCCAGCAGGAAGCCGGATCTTCTACCAGCTTCCATCATCAGCTCATTCCACCTGCCTAGGTCACAGTCTGCCGATATTGTCCCATCGTCGCACTTCATAGGGAAGTCAATATCCTGGATCTCAAGCCATCCCCCAGAGTTAAGGTTGCTGTCGGTCATGTTAGTCATACATGAGTGCTCGGGCGACAGGCTGAAATGACAGACTCAAAAGCTTGCCGATGGAAGTTGTGCCAATCCTTGAAAGCGCCCGTCATCATCATGCTGTGTACATAGTCAAACTTTCTTGAGAAGCTCCATTCCTCTTCAAGGTCGTCAATCTCGTAGTGGACGTTGGGTGGTGTGCTAGCAGCAAGGTTAGGGCTCCGGTATCAACCTTTTCGACACGGCGACTCACAAGCCTGGCTGGACGGGTGACAGATCTACGCCCACTACTTCGGATTCAGGGTGTTCCTCTCCTGGTCTGGGGTTAGAATGAGCACAGGGCTTTGTCATTGGAACACACCAAAATCGATTGCCCATAATCCAATGCCGCACCCAACATCCAAGACCCTGTGCGGCTGATGGACTGGAGCAAAGTTAAGCCTATTCTCAAAGGTGAGCTGACAAAGCTGATACTGAAATGCTGTTGCGGTCAGCAGACAACTCGTAGAATGCCATATCGAAGCTAACTGTACCCTGTCGGTCAAGCTCTTCCTGTTCACGGGACGGGGTCAAATTACCATCAAAAGCTTTCTACACTTTATCCGACGAGCAACACATACCTGGTCCGTGGGCAGGACGTATTTTCCATCCTTGTATCCGTGATATATGCGGCCGTTTTCCTCTCGCGCTCGTACTATGCTCGACCGAAGGGATGCAGTAGACGATGGCCATGCCTCGGACTGCCAGCTGTTTTAGTATCTTTCCTTTACAAGCTGTCTCGGTGACTACCTCTCCCAGGGCAGAGTCGACGTCACTTCCCGGAAGGCTCTGCATCTCGGCGTCGTCAATGTCCTGTGGCTGCTCTTAGTTATAGATGCTCGTAAAGATGCGGAGTTCTATAGTTGTGTGCTAACATTGTCCGGCTCCAGGTCAACATTGGTCCCGTGGGGGAACACGTTGTCTACTTGATGTATTGCATCGGACACTGTTTCTTCCATTTCCATGCTGAAATCGTATCGCGATCGTAAGTGTCGACTGTTATGTATGCTCTCTCTCGGCTTGGGCAGTCAGAAAGACAGTGTCAGTGCATTAAGTTTTACCTCGTGAAGATATGATTCTAGTGGGAAGTATTGGAATTGTATTTGTTGCTCGCTGGCTGTCAACTACCTCGAATGTTGGGGCAGAGAAAGCAACGGGTAGCGCTCGCTCCATGGAGGGGAACGGCACGGCTGCGGTGCTACTAATGAGGCGACACAAACCAGTGGCCTCCTTGTCAGCCGGGCCTTTGGCTCAGTGTTACCAGAGTTCGTGTCCCGTAACTGCTTCTTCTCCTAATTGACATGCTGGGGCACACCGTGTATTGTGGGCAGTATGAGGGCGACATGTAAACTGTTTCCGGATGAGTCCTGTCGGGTGGCTTGTTGCAGAAGAAACTAGCTGCGCTGTACTTCACTGATACGGAAAAGGTGCTGGTTCAGCAATTATACTGGGACCTGGCATCATCTAAGGAGATATGCTCATGATCGTTCCAAGCCTGAATGAGAGATGGGAGCAACACTGTGTATTGGCGCCCCCGGTGTGTGTTACACCACTTGGGAAACATATGCAACGGCTTAGCACGATGATGGTCGGGCGCAAACCGAGTTATCAACGCATAACTTTTAGTCTAAGAGAATCAGAGAGGAGGGGGCGCTAGGCAATTTGACGCCAAGTATTAGTATCTTGGTGTTTTGAAAGCCGAAAAAGCGTGGCGTCTTGTCATCGGCCGTCCCGCTGAGCTTCGGATTCTTGCATGTCATCATGCAGTCCGTTGGGTGGACAAAAGAATACGGGCGTGTGTGTTGCAGCTATGGCCTACCCGGTATAGACTCTCTGTTTTGTTGCCCGAGAAGATCTTGGGGAATGACAAGCAGTGAACACCCGTCGTAGGAGTGAGGAAGGCTAGAACATCTCCTGCCTCTTCCGCCTATGGGCGCTTGCAGCCGATTGTTTGCTTGCAGCACCGGTCAGACAAAGCCAAAGTGGCCGTAAGCCGACAGGTGAGGGTCGGGTGAGCAGCTCGTAGCAACCAGACATATCACCCATAGGGTACCTTACATTGGCTGTGACCACCCGCAAACCAGACTTGTCGGAAAACCACTGTGTGATTGCCTAGTTGGCAGATGGAAAGAACTCAAGCCTGGCCACATCGTTCCTTTCTAAGTTGATAGACTGGTAGGTACTGAAGGGAGAAACTTGATCTAGGAGCAGCAAGTAGGTAAAGAGAGGGGGTTTTGGCCCGCCATTAATGATGGTACCTCACCAGTGCAACTCTCATATTTGCCTTTGGCCGGCACCCGATATCATGCGGGCCCTTGTGGAATGCTGCATATGATAAGTCACATTTCTTCAGGTATCTCACAAGAGGTGAATGGGAGAGGAAGACGTAGAGGAAGAAAAAGGGTCTGAGGGGGGGCATGAGGTGGTCGACAAGACACGATTGCTTCACACCGGGGCTCTCTCCATGAGGGATTCGCTTCCATGTCACCCAATGCTTCTCCTTCCAAGAAAGCCAATAAGGTACCCCTGATAGCATTTTTTTTTGTTAGAAAGTCGAAGGGGGCAGCTTGGGCTTTATTTCCTCCTCAAGTTTTCCCATCGCTGCGACCGAGTGCTGCTGCTTCCTTTGGGGGTTTCTTTGCCGTGACCACCCACGCCTAAGACAAGGAAGGCGCCATCCTCCACCTACCTAGGTACTGCATTTACTTTTACGTGGCTTCCCGCCTTGAGCCCATCCATACCGTCGTTGCCCAAGCCCTCGCTACCCCATCCAAGCGGTTTTCTCTCTCTTCTCCTTCTCAACTCCCCTGACTCTTCTCAGCCCACAGTGGGATATTCCCGCTGTTTCATAGCCACCTCAGAGTTGGTCGTCCTTACACCAAAAAGCATACACCGAGACATCAAAATGGTCATCACCGAGCTCTCGGGCCACATCTGGAATCCACTCCTGCTGCTCGCTACAGTCCTCCTCGTATATCTCGGGACATTGAGCTACCGCTCATGGCACCGTCTCAGACACGTCCCTGGGCCACCAGGTGCTGCCTTCAGCAAGTGGTGGATGCTACGTAACACACTGGGTGGGCAGATGCATCTCGCTCTCAAGCGAGCCTGCGATGAATATGGTAAGTCCGTTCTCGCCGTCGACCCAATACATGGGGGGAAGCACGGGAGCCCGGCTCCCGTTTCTTAGCTGCCCAGCCGTGCGGTTTGTGCCGTGGGGAAAAGGGGATCAGGTCTCAGACACACATGCCGACGAAAATAACCATTGGGGAGAATCAGGAGGAACAACGTCGTCGTTTCGACAGGCTGCTGACAGAGAGCTTTGTGCTTTAGGCCCGGTCGTCCGCATCGGTCCCAATGACTTGGTAACCAATGACTCGGAGCTCCTTCGTCGTATGTGGGCTGTCCGCTCGCCATATTGCAAGGGCCCTTTCTACGACGCCGTCAGGTTCGACCCGACCAGAGATAACCTCATCTCCATGAGGGATGATCACGAGCACAATGAGAGGCGAGCCAAGATGGCTATCGGCGTGAGTTACGCCCTCCCGTCTCGATCCATTGTATTCTCTGACTCGATGGCATAGTACTCGGGCAAGGAGAACGAAGGGCTGGAAGCCACTATCGACAGACAGATACAGGCCTTCATTAGACTTATAGAGGAGCGATATGTCTCGACGCCTGGCTCCTTTCGTCCCATGGATTTGTGCAGAAAGGTCCAGTACCTCACGCTGGATATCATCACATCGCTGGCGTTTGGTTACCACTTCGGCTACGTCGAGCAAGACGCCGACGTCCACCAATACATCCGGATGACGGAGCGGAACATGCCCGTCATGATGACTCTGTCTGTATTTCCGCGACTGGCAAAGCTGCTGCAGTCTCCTCTATTCCGCCGCGCCATGCCGTCGGAACATGACCGGGTGGGATTCGGCAGGTTCATTGCGTGAGCCACCTCTTTCCCTATTTCGCCTTGGTATAGAAGAAGCGCTAACGACTTTTGGTTGATCGATGGTAGTGTTGCAAAGAAGGTGGTGGCCGAGAAATTGATGTCAGACATGACGACGAAGCGGCGAGACATGCTCGGGTCGTTCCTCGCACACGGCCTAACCCGAGAGGAGGCCGAGGGCGAGACACTGGTCCAGATCATAGCCGGATCCGACACAACAGCAACGGCGATCCGGATGACGATGCTGTATCTGATGACGTCTCCTTCATGTTACTCGAAGCTCGCCGAGGAGGTGCAAGAGGCGGCCCAGGCGGGTATCATCTCGTCACCCATCACCAGCCGAGAGGCTGGCGATCTCCGCTACCTCCAAGCCGTCATTAAAGAGGGCCTGCGGGTTTTCCCTCCCGTCACGGGTCTCATGTCGGCAACGGTGCCTAAGGGCGGGGACTTTATGCACGGCATGAGCATTCCCGAGGGCACTGATATTGGCTGGACGGCATTTGGCGTGCTCCGCTCCACGAAAGTGTACGGCTCAGACGCGGATGTCTTCCGGCCAGAGCGGTGGCTGGAGGCGGGTGAGGACCAGCTCAAGGCCATGATGGCGCAGTGGGAGTTGGTATTCAAGTACGGCAAGTGGCAGTGCCTGGGAAAGACGGTTGCTCTCATGGAGTTGAACAAAGTTTTTGTCGAAGTGAGTTATGCCAGGACCAAGGCCTCTACGATGAATGAAGTCGACTAACTTGCGTAGCTCCTTCGTCGGTTCGACTTTTCCCTCGTGGACCCTGCTATGCCCTGGAATTCGTTTTCGGCGGGAATCTTCATCCAGTCCGACCTCCTGGTGAGAGTGAGCAAGGCCCGTTCACCATAAGAGAGACGGTTGCACACATGGAATAAGTTACAAAGACTAGAGCCGAGAGGCACATGACGACCTATGAAGGGATGGCACTTACGGCTGAGGCAGATTGAAAATACAGAGCTCCTTCGTTGAAGTTGACATATCAGCCCGAGCAGGTTAAGATGCCCGTCACCTGCCGAAATCCCCATGTCGGTGATGCTAGCTCGCATGTAATAAAGACCCAAGGCTGAATGGCCGTGGATCCTGTCCATCTATCTCGTTGTATCCTAAGGTAGATGGAAGGTTTTCTGGGTTGGTTTGGACTCGGCGGCGACTCGTTGTTGCTGAAGATGCTGCGGCACCCCTACGGAAGAACGGGAAAGGCTGGAGCAGCACCGGTACGGCAAGATGGTGAAGCTGGGGAAAGTGACACCCCGCCAGGAGCCCTCAACTCAGCTACCTAGACAGGCGTTCTAGGTAGGTCATCCATCGCAGTTGGTTCGCGTGCATGCTTACTGCACGCCAGAGTTGGCCCTGCAACGGTGCATGCCGCGTTGTGCTGCTGCGCCAATGGCCGTCAAAGAAGGAAGGAGCTTGGGGCTTGGTGACTTTGCCGTCGTACCTATCCGTACTTGCTTGGGGAACCCTGCCCATGCAGTAACTTTTCTTCGGGAATGCCACTGTGCAGGAAAGGAAATGACGGCCCCACGACGAACCCCTTTCCCAGCTTAGTTCACATGCTGCCCCAAGGTCTCATCCCTGTCTTAGCACAAGTCTGAATGAACGACAGCGCGATGATGCCAGGAATAACATTTGCCTTAAACTATGACTGCATTGTGCCAAGGCGACCCCGGGGCTTCGCGATACAAACATGTCTCTGGGATAAGACTCCATCGGCGTCCGTGGAGAAAATCTTAATTGGGTATACCTCTCTTCTGTACAAAGCACCTCGATGCCTTGATCAGATTCCACTACAACAGCGACAGAGATGGCACTGAGATCAAGTCTTCTATGGTTCGCCGGCCTCGTTGCCAACGTCGCCGCAGCAGACGTCGATGCATTCATTTCCCAGCAAAGGGACATCGCTCTCAAAGGGGCTCTGAACAACATCGGTCCGAATGGCTCTCAGGTCCAAGGCGCCAGCGCTGGCATCGTCGTGGCCAGTCCATCCAAGAATGACCCTGACTGTGAGTTAGATTTCCCTTATGCCTCATTCTGTGTCTAATTCGATCAGATTTCTACACCTGGACGCGTGATGCCGCGTTGACAATGAAGGTGATCGTCGATGAGTTCATATTTGGTCGCAAGGAGCTCCAGGTCTACCTCGAAGACTACTACCGCTCTCAGGCTGTTTTGCAGACCATCACGAACCCCTCGGGATCCTTTTTACCGTCTGGACGTGGCCTCGGCGAAGCCAAGTATACTGTCGACGGCTCGCGCTTCAACGGCGCATGGGGTCGCCCGCAGAGAGACGGCCCGGCGTTGCGTGCCATTACTCTCATCACCTACTCCCGCTGGCTCGCAGAGAACGGCGAGCAAGCCAAAGCCAAAAATGTCATCTGGCCCATCATTGCCAATGACTTGTCCTACACCGGCCAGTACTGGTACGCCTCAGTACCTGCTTCGCGAGACCTTACTAGTGACTAACACGACGAAGGAACTCGACAGGCTTCGACCTCTGGGAAGAGGTCTCTGGCTCTAGCTTCTTCACAACTCAGAACCAGTACCGTGCCCTTGCTGAGGGTGCAGCCCTTGCGCAGTCTCTCGGTGTGAAGTGCACGGGGTGTGAGTTGGCACCCGACGTCTTGTGCTTCCTTCAGACGTTCTGGAACAGCAACGACGGTTACTACACCGCCAATATCAATACCCAAACTGAGCGCTCGGGCAAGGACGCAAACGTTATGCTTGGCTCTATTGCTGTCTTTGACGTGACTGCCAGCTGCGAAGACCCGTCCATTCAGCCATGCCACAGCCAATCTTTGAGCAACTTCAAGGTCTGGGTCGACTCTTTCCGCAACGCCAGTCTCTACCCCATCAACAAAGGTATTGCCCCAAACAAGGGCATTGCTCTTGGTCGCTACTCCGAGGACGTTTACTTTGATGGAAACCCTTGGTGAGTTGCTACTGGTTTAAACCTCAGAAAAGAGAATACTAACTTGTTGCTAGGTACCTCATTACCATCGGTGCCGCCGAGTTTCTTTACGATGTGGTGGCCCAGTGGAATGCGCAGGGACAGATTAAGGTTGATGCGACGTCGCGACCCTTCTTCGCCGACTTGTACCCACCTGTCAAGGAGGGAACCTACCAAAGGAGCAGCAACATCTCCGGCGCCTACGCTAGTATCACCGGCGCCGTCAAGGCATACGCCGATTCCTTCATCGAAATCGCACAAAAGTACACGCCCGCCAACGGCTCTCTCGCCGAGCAGTTCAACAAAATCACGGGCACCCCACTCTCGGCACGAGATCTCACATGGTCCTATGCATCTTTCGTCACTATGGCCGAGCGCCGCGCCGGCCTTTACCCTTCTAGCTGGGTGCCCGCCTCTTCTGAAGTACCAGCTGCCTGCGCCGCCACCTCGGTAACAGGCCTTTACGTCCCCGCCATTGCTGCCGGCGCCCCCAATGTGACAGGCTCTTGCACCATCGCTGTGTCCTTCCTCGTTAATGCCACGACCTACTATGGCGAGGAACTCTACGTTCTTGGTAACATCGCCGATCTCGGCTCCTGGAATGTGGAGAACGCGCAGCCCATGACGGCGTCCGGCTATACAGCCGAACGGCCGTTGTGGAACGTCGACGTCGAGCTGCCTGGTGGCCAGAACATTACATACCTCTACGTCAGGCGTCAGAACTGCAACCAGGGCTACATCTACGAGGAGAGGAACCGCACACTGGCGGTTCCTCCTTGCAATTCGACACAGAACCTGGTGGTAGACGACACTTGGACGGGGCGCCAGGGAACGAGTGGTAGTTGCTAGAATTGGCATGGTGTCGCTGGTATATAGAGGCATGAATTGTAATAGAGAGAAATTTTTCGTAACCACGCAAACGTTTTCTCCTCAAGACCTCAAGGCTCGCTTAGTTCCCAAACATGTTTCCGTCCGAGTTCCCCATCATGCCCGGCCCTCCTATGTTGTTGCCGTTCAAGGGAAAGCCTCCGAAGCCTCCCCCAAATGCCACATATGTGTCCATATCATACCCCTGCATCAAGTAACTCCAGTCCATGTCAACGACATCGCTCTCTGGCGCTGGTGGGCCGCTCATTGCCGGCGTCCCCGCACCCACGGACGGCGGCGTCATCATTATGTTCTGCGTCATTTGCATGGCCCCGAGCTGCGACGTGCTGTTGACCGGCACAGCTCGCGCTGTCTGTTGCGGGATGCCGGCGCCCATCTCCGCACCGGTCTGGCCGCTTCGCTGCTTCTTGCCCATTCTCTCCGCCCTCTGCCGGAGCCGCGTGATCCACATTGGCTCCTGCATCGGCTTGCCGATCTGCTGTTGCCCGGCCTCGTGTGCGTCCCAGGCCTTGATGAAAAGGTTGCCAAATGCGATGTGCATGGGGCTGTGTAGCGTGCTCATAAGGCCACGCCGCTCATGGTTCTCGGCGATAGCGTCCCACGCGCGCTCGACCATCGGTCCGGTAAGCCGGTGGCGCAGCTCCGTCACCAGGAACATGTACGCCGGGAATGGAAAATGCAGGTACGTGTACCACTTGTACCCCTGTAGGCTGTCGGCAGCTTGAACGATGTTGTCGTATTCGATCATCTGTATGGCTTCGAGGAAGAGAGTATCGCGCTCGTGGTCTGCCAATGTGCTCGCCTCGCCGTTGCCCATCCGCACGAGGAACGAAATCACGCGCATCTTGCACAGCGCCTGACGCGTCATGGTGAGAGTAAAGAAGTGTAGCGGGATCTTGGGATCGCACCACTTTAGGTATGTCCCCTCGATATGCGCGAAGAATCCATCGAGCGTGTAAGATTGGTCCTGGCCGGCCATGCGAACAGTCGGACCGGGGCGTGGCGCGGCAGACCCCAGGGCGCCGTCCTTGTCGCTGTGTCTTTGGGGATCCCGCATGCTGTCGATGTTGATAGCCATCGCGAGCTCCGTCCGGATGAGGACGAAAAGCATTTCCGTCACACCCTGGTGGGGCGTCGGGGCGTCTTTGCCATTGACGTGGAGGTCCGTGTCGTTAATATTCAAGGGTAGTTTGCAGTCCCCAGCTGTAGACAGGGCCGTCACAGTCGAGCCCGTCATCTCTCCTATCCGACGGTCGTAGCCTACAATCGTCCACCACAGCCGCCGCCTCTGCTCGACTTCATATGGTGACAGGCCAAACGCCGCAGCGTCTCGATGGAGACCCATTCGTTGAGCTATTCTCACGGCGATCCCGACAAGACAGAATATCTGGCGCGGGTCAACGAACATGCGGACCCCGATCTGATCTGTTAGATGATTCTTCCGGGTGCTGAGAATATGGCAACTTACCAAGTAGAGCATGTAAGCCTGGAGAACCATCGTATCGCTGGTGCGCATGAAGCCGGCATTGACCAAGGCTTGTTGGAGCCCTGTATGGAACCTGGAGAGGACGGTGGGCTTTGGTTCATTGAACATCTTTGCAACCTCAACGTCCTCGAGTGAGGTGACTGCCATGAGGTATATCGCAAACATAAGCGATTCGACGTTCTTGGGGATCTTCTCGAGGTTGGCGCTGGCCTCGATGATGAGGCCCTGAACCGTTGGTACATGTGTGATTTTTAGGAGGGGGTTGACATTGTTAATGTAGATCTGCCATAGTTGGAAGATCTGGATGGGCGACGGGTGGAGGTGCATCACCGACGCGTTGCGACTGCCTACGACAAACGGAAAGCCATCTTGGTTGTCATACATCTTGTCGAAAGCATGGTGGATCGTTGAACCATCAACCTCGTCTTCTGAAGAGTCTCTGAGTAGCTCCTCGCTAGCTCTGAACTGCAATGCAAGTCAGATGAGGTCCGTGAATGGGAGCAGAGGAGTGGCAAACCTCTTTGTGGAAAGGAAACCACTTGTTAAAGGGTCTAGATCAAAGGCCTGTTAGCACATGGCCAGTAGTAGAAAGAGGGGTAGGATTACGCACTTGTCGGATTGCGACCTTCGGCTCCCTGCAACGGAAGGGGATGTGCTCCCCTCGGGAGAGGTCTTGAGCCCTTCAAAGTCGTTCGCCAGGTCGGCATCGTCGTCGATCTGGTGGTCGTCGTCCATATGCACCGAGTTCCTATCCGAGGCCTTGAGATCCGCGGCGATGGGGTCGAACTTGACGCCATTCTCGGCTAACAGGTTCTCATATTTCTTGAGTCTGTCGACAAGATCCCGTTCTTGGAGCCGCTTCTTCCGCCGTCTGGGTGGTTGTGGTGGTATCACTCGACACTCTACCCGGGCCTTGACACAGTTGGCACACGGCTTGTTCTTGTCGCAGCGCACCTTTCGTTGCTGGCATAGCACACATGAGGTGCCCCTGGTAAGCTTCATGGCTGCCATGGGGTCGGGTTCGGGTGGAGGAACCCTCGTCGGGGATGGGAGCTGAGCTTCTCCCGGCATGGTGTTGTTATGTGGATGCTGTTGGTCTTTGACATGCGAAACGATGACACGCCAGCCGCCTTGCAGATGTCTTTGTCGGCTGGCTTGCTACCGATTCGGATCCGAGGGGGGACGTTGTAGGCGAAACGTTGACGGGATGAGGCATGTGTTTAACGAGACCCAATGAACAAGCAAGGGGAGCAAATGCCGCCAAGAGCTCGCCAAGGTTTCTCTGGGGGGGATGCAACCAAATGTGATTAAACAACAATGGACCTTTTGGTGGGGGTTTGTGTTACTGTCCGAGACACTGTCGAGGTGAGTAGGTATGCCGATGTGAGCGGAGGACTAGGAGAATGCCATCATAAGCTGCTGCGTAGTGTAACTGCGCCCAAAACAACCAGGCAAGAACGTGAAGAGGTGGGTAACAACGATAGACTTGAATCACATTTCGTACAGAGAGCGACGGTAATGTCAGAGTAAACGGATAGATGGGCATGCAGAGGCCTATGAGACGAACAATATGGTCGTGGTGTATCCAGTCCGGTGCTAGTGAGGCTCTTCGCCAGCTCGGGCCTGGTCTTTGATCACTTTCAGTGAGACCGCAAGGGCGAAACTCGACGGTGTGAGATGCTGTCTGAGAGAAAGAAGCACAAAACGACATGGGATACCCGCCCGGGACCGAACCATGTAGCATTAGTGCAGCTCAGCGCCTAGGGTCCAAGCCCACTTTTACTGGCTGGGCCCCCAGGCCTTATATAAGCCGGACATCTGGTCGGAGGTGCCCGAGTACCCGACGCTAGGCTCTAGGCGGTTAAACGACGCGCTCTCCCGGACACAACATCAACCTCCGGTGCCCGAGCAACGCCATGTCCGTAAACCGACAACAATGAATCGAACCAACTACGAGTCTCCTCTGGACATCCCCATCGGCCTCGATAAAAGCGGCCTTTTCATCTCGTCATGATTTCTATGCTGAGACATCTCTTTGAACTAGGACGGGCTGCTTATGAGCTTCGCTTCGCGTCGCGCGCTCGGCACCATGTGGACGCCATCGTCCACCGCGTCTCTGCCTGCAGAAGGCGCTACACTGGCCATATATAACGATAACCGTCCTGGTCGATACATCATTTAGCGCATTTCCTTCGTCAGCAGCCCAGCATCTAGTCCGAACGTGATCTGTAACCTGAGACCCGACCGTGCGCTCGAGAGTCCGGACGAACCTCTAGTTCCTCGTCTGTCCATTAATCAACAATTTCCCGCTTGCCAAGCCAAAACTTATCTGCATCTTGATTTTGTTTTGTTTACCCTTGTAGCTTCCTCGGAGTCTCGATTCTCATCTTTCTACTGTTGGCGCGCCGGGCTATACGACAATTGCAATGGTTGGTACAGCCGCGAAGCCCCTTGCGGGGGATGGCGCTGTCGAGAATCGCGAGATCGAGACGTCAAACAGCTCCACGCGGACTTTAACCCCCCGAGAGAGCGAAGAGCGCCAAGAGAAGAAGTCGGAAGAGAAGCCTTCCGAGGTCGAAATCGCGAGCGAGGCGCCAAAGGAAAAGCGGCCGCTCCAGTCATCGGCAATCTCGTCAAACGAGAGCCAACTAGATGTTTCGAAGCAGCCAGATATGGATGAGAAGGCTGACCTCGAGGGACCGCCGGCGATAGGTCCACCGGTTGAGGTGGATGAAGCCGAGGAAAACTTTAAGCCCAAGACCGTTACTTTCTGGCTTGTCATTCTATCCAACTTTGTGGCCATGTTTCTGGTCGCCCTAGATCGCACGATTATTGCAACGGCAATCCCTCGTATCACCGACGAATTCCAGAGCCTAGGCGATATTGGTTGGTACGGCTCGGCTTACATGCTGACAACCGCGGCTTCACAACTGGTTTTTGGTAGAATCTACAAATTCTACGATCTGAGAGTGTAAGTACATTGATTTGGGCGGGTGAGGGGAGGAAGGCATCCGCTGACAACAGGAAACTAGGTCATTCTTGAGCAGCATCCTAATTTTTGAAATCGGTTCCCTCATTTGTGGTGTTGCGCCGAGTTCCCCGGTGCTCATTGCGGGTAGAGCCGTTGCCGGCGTCGGCTCGGCTGGTATATTCACAGGCGCTATGATGGTCATGATCCCCATGATCCCGTTGCACAAGCGACCGATGTTTCAAGGTAGGATTGATCTCATTACCATATAGACATGCGCTGACAAACAAAGGAATTTTCGGTATGGTGTTTGGCCTGGCCTCTGTGATAGGCCCCTTGGTTGGTGGTGGTTTCACAGGCACTGTTACCTGGAGGTACGTCGTCCTTTGAACCCTTGTGACTGGAGAAAGACTTACCATACATATGCAGATGGTGCTTCTACATCAACCTTCCCGTGGGAGGCGTAGCCTTTTTATTTCTTTTCTTCATGCTCAGGGCACCCAAGCGACAGGCCCAGGAGCCGGTGACGCTGTACCAGCACTTCAAGCGACTCGACCCCCTGGGGACGTTGTTTTTCCTCCCGTCCATTGTGTCCCTCCTCTTGGCGTTGGAGTGGGGTGGTTCTGAATACGAGTGGAACGACGGCCGCATCATTGCCCTCTTCGTTGTGTTCGGTGTTGGTTTTGCTGCATTCGCTGCAGTACAGGTCCTCATGCCCAAAACAGCCACGGTTCCCCTCAGAATCATCAAGCAGAGGACGATGCTGGCCGGTGCCTTCTTTATGCTCTTTCTGGCTGGCTCTATGATGCTGGCAGTATACTACCTGCCCATTTGGTGTAAGTGACGATGATTGTCTAATGCAGATAACAAGTTGACACAGCCCATAGTCCAGGCCGTTCAGGGGGCCGATCCTGTCAATTCAGGAATCTATACCATACCACTGGTTCTCAGCATCGTCGTGTCTTCCATCATATCGGGCGGGACGACGCAGAAAATTGGGTACTACGTGCCGTCTATGATCCTCTGCCCATGCATCATGTCCGTGGGTCTTGGTCTAATGAGCACATTCCAGCCAGGCATCAGCTCGGGGCATTGGATCGGATACCAGTTCCTGACCGGATTCGGCCTTGGATTTGGTATGCAGACTGTCGGACTCGCGGTGCAGGCAGTGCTGCCCAAAGAAGATGTGTCAACGGGCGTCTCGATCAGTTTCTTTGCTCAGCAGCTGGGGGCGGCTGTGTTCGTCTCGGTTGGACAATCCATTCTTAGCAACTTGCTGGTGTCTGAGCTGTCGGGAATACCTGGCTTGCCAGCTCAAGCCATCGTCAAAACCGGTGCCACCAACTTGCACAAGGCTGTTCCGGCCGAGTTTCTCGGCGACGTCGTCCGGGCTTACAACTACGCCTGCACGCGGATCTTCCTTGCCGGTATGGCGCTGTCCCTGGCGACGCTCATCTGTGCGCTTTGTATGGAGTGGAAGAATATCAAGAAGAACAAGCAGCAGCAGCGGGCTAGGCAACGTGCGAGTCAGTTGAGACCAGGGGACATGGGGGCGTGAGGGGAGAAGTAATGATGGTGAATGGACAACAGGGGAAAGATAACACATAAACGATATTGCATTGAACGGTATTTGATAAACACATCTCCCCTCCTTGTCCAACAGCCACACGGTTGAGACCCAAAAGGCGTCTACATCCCGAATCGGCGGATGGGATGAGTAAGGGACAGAGACGAAGGATCAGTGATCGGCATCACAGTTGGTCACGGAGAAGTGCGAGAGAGATGGGAGCACAATTGCGGGGCAACACAAACGCCGGCCGAGACACATTCCGCCAATGCTGAGGAGGAACAGGTCCCAGACAGACTACCGCATTAACGTTGTTTCCATCTCTACAATCCCCAGCGCCTCCCAGAGAAAAGGACATTCCTCCCAGGCAACAGGCATTGAGGACCCAGTCTTTGTCGGGGAAATCGGAGTGACTCCGATAGGAGAAGCCCCACTCCATGTACCTACCTACCTACCTACCTACCAAGAGATGATGAGTCCGGGGCTTGCTTCGTTCTCGGCCCAGTTCGTCTTCCTCATAGCAGCTGCGAGACTTCCCAATTAATACTTCTCGTCCCAACCAAGCTTACATGCAAGGCTGGCTGTCCCTCTATCCTCTGGCCACAGCCCCCAACCAGCTTAGCCTAGGTTGTCCTTGGCTTTAATTCAACCTCGTTCTGTGAAGACCACCAACGCCGGCTTTAGTTTGCACGTTCTTGGCGACATAGCAGTCGACTACCAGCTCCAACCCCGCCCGCCTACGCAGCATTCCCGGGTATTTATAGGCAAGAGGAGCACTGCTTCAGCCCCTCCAAAGCTGACATGTCTAATTAATAGGTGCATGTCCTCATCAGTTTGTGCTAACGCACGTCCATCATCGAGTCTCTTGAAGATTGAGCGGCTGCGAGAGATGGGTCTGACGCTGATCGTTAACCGTCGCTTAGTCTAGACTCCATTTCTTATCCGCCAGCCCTAAGCCGAGTATCACTGCGCCAATCACCGGATTTTGTTCTGTCTAGTAACTCTCATTGGCTCAATGGCGCCCATGCTGTATGCCGATAGAGATATCATGGTGACGCCGGAGCAGCAGACCGCTCCCGCGAAACGAAAGAGGGCAAGTAAGCCCAAAGTTCGTACGGGCTGCCTGACCTGGTAAGTTGATACAAGCTCATCCAACCCTCACCGACAGAAGTTGACTTCGCCGTAGCAAGTAAGACATGCTGTTTCCGTGACAAAGCTCTGTCGAAAGCTTTTTGCCTTGTTGTCTTCTGCTTTTTCTCTTGTCTAATATTTTCTTTGCAGAATCAGACGTGTCAAATGCGGAGAGGAACGCCCTGCTTGTGTGCGGTGCACTTCTACTGGACGCGGCTGCGATGGTTACGACAAGGCCATGCCGCCTCGTTTCAGAGATGCTGCTGACATCTCTGGGCCTGTCCAGGAACGCTGGCTGCAGGCTTCGCCTGAAAGCCAGGCTCTGCATATCTCGCGCCCTATACTTGCTGACATCGACGGAACACGAGTAGAGCGTCTCTACTTCCACCGGTTCCGACGCGTGGCAGAGGCAGGTCTCTGCAACCACGTCACGAACCTCACCAGCTTCTGGAGCAGGCTCGCCCCGCAGCTTAGCCATTCCAATGAGGCTGTGAAGCATGCCATCGTTGCCCTTGGCTCTGCATTCCACATATATCAGACGGCACCCCCGCCAGGCGGGGGGGAGGCAATACCACGCGAGCTTGAAATTTTTACGATCCAGCAATATAACACCGCCATGTCAAAGCTCTCGAGCTATGCCAATGTGCCAATGGAAGACAGGATTAACGTCATACTGCTGTGTTGCGTGTCGTTTCTATGTATCGAGGCGCTGCGCAATAACTGGCGGGCGGCCCTGACACACCTCTCAAATGGCCTGCGCATCATTGAGAGCCTGCCCATGAGCACGCTCAACAAGCTGCGGGATTCGTTGCCGTCTCATCGCAGTTCAAGTGCCACGAAGAGCATGTTGGGGATGGACTATATACTCAGACTGTTCGCCACCTGGGAGATTTCCTGTGCGATGTTCGCCGAGAACTTTAAACCTGTCATCTCTATCAAGTTATACGAGGGACGTGAATTTGACGATACGCCCCTGGAAGAGTTCGAGACCATCATACAAGCCCACCAGGCCATTGTACAGTACACTCGCGATGTGTTTGCCTTGGTTTGGAAAACTCGGAAGCATCAAGGCGACGACGAGTTTTGGTCTTGGCCGCTTCCACGTCGCCAACATGAGATATTAATGGGAAGAGGTGAATCCCTGACCGGCCTCTTCGAGCGGTTCATGGAACGACCCGAAGCTCCTGCAAGCGGCACGAAAGAGTACTACTCCGTCTGTCTAGACATGCTCCATTACAAATGTGCACGACTGCTGTGTCATACACTTCACCAGAAGCCCTATCAAAGACAGCAATCACCGGGCATCGTAGCTCAGCACGCCGATTTGGTATCGATAGCTGCCCTCCTGTACCGGGGGCTAGCTGGTAAGCAACGGCAACTGGACACGCTACCTCGGTCTTTCACACTTGACATTGGAATTATCCCGCCTCTATACTTTGTCTTAGTCTCTTGCCAAGACCCGATGGTGCAGGAAAGTGCTCTTGCTATTCTGCAAGACTACCCTCAAAGGGAGAACCTGTGGGACGGCAACTTGGTGCATAGCCTGCTGGTTGCCGTCGAGAATGCCAATTACAGACCGGCACATCTCTTGGAGGAGCCCCCTCATTCATTGGCATTTGGGAAAGGAATACCAGCTTTATATGAGAAGCTGCATGAGCCGCACATTCAGGCTGATGGAAATTGAGATGGAATCTGGCAGCGATTTGCAGATCCCAACAATGGATTGGGCGTGGTTGGAGTCGTGTTGGGCAATGAGGCGAGCGAGCAGCTGCTCGAAAATGAAGCTATAGAGCCAGGAATCAAATCCATCGATCTCGATCGTCCGTCCTGCTTTGTCCGCTGTGGGTCGACTCATTGTCTTCGACAGCTCACGCCAGAAGAAAGGCAAAATCACTGAAAAGATCGACATGAAACTAAAGTAAGTATAGGAAAGGCCCGGTAGACGTGCTGCACCCTGCGTCACGTTCCATTTTGAGCAGGCGGACCTAAAAGACATGGGGGTAAAAGTGTCTATACCTTTACCTTCTCTATGTTCACCAAAAGTGGCCGAATAAACTGCGTAGGTAACGCGTCGTTATGTATGGTTGTAAATAAGATGATGGGTACGTATCTTTTTCTCAGTTTGCGGGGCAAACACCGAGGAACAGCTTGCTTCCCTTGAGCTACAGTCCAACCAGTTACAACACCAAGCTGCGCGACCTTGCTGCACGAGCTATTGCAACCCTGCGCCTCATATTAATCGACCACTTCAAGCCTTTTCAATGGTGCAAGATGGCGGCGTTTCCTCATGATATACCTGCGATTGCCGATGAAAAAACGGGGTTTGACCTCAATGTTCAGCATGGGCACCATGACCTTGTTCAAGCGGTAGCATTCAACGCCTATGGCGACCGCTGCGCAACAGGCTCTGTCGACGGAAAGATCAAGGTCTTCAACCGGCACAAGGATGGCATCTGGCATCATTGCGATACTTGGGGTGCACACGGAGGAGAGATCTTGGAGGTACGGAGGGCTTCCTGCCCCGTATGTACGCTTAACTGACCGTACTTCCTCGCACAGCTCCAATGGCTACCCCCGACCGTCTACCCAAACCTCATCGCGTCCCTCGGCATAGAAGGCCGCTTCAAGCTGTGGGCGGAAGATCCGTCAGCAGCACCGGGCCGCCGCTTCAGCGCTAGCAACCGTGCGACGACGAGTAAGGCCGCCTACGAGATGCGATCCGCTAAATTCCCCTATCGCTCCTTTTCCATGAAGCACAACGAGGAGACGCGGCACACCTATCTCGCCCTGCTCGCTTCCGACGGCCGTCTGGTGGTGTATGAAAATGAACAGCCCGAAAATATGTCCGAATATACGGCTATCGACGAGTTCAGCGTCTGCCCGAAGCCGAGCCGCGGCGAAGAGATCAGCTTCAAGGTGCGCTTCGACCCGAACCCGGACCCGTGCTACAATGCCCTACGAGCAGGAGTGTCTAGCGACTCGCTGGGACTGGTTGTCGCCGGTATGTCGTCGGTCAAGATATACCGTTCCAGAGACATCATTGCGACATCGTACGGCGTACCCCAGACACAGCGCGAGTTCTACCTTGCGGTGGAAGTGGGTGTCCACCGCGGCCTCGTCCGGGATGTAGCGTGGGCGCCGGGGAACATCAGGGGATACGACACCGTCGCGACGGCCTGCCAGGACGGGTTCGTCCGTGTTTTCCGGATCGACACGCCGCACTTGCCTGATGACGGTAAGACGTGGTTCACGACGGAGCTCATGAAGCACGAGAACCACCACGCAGAGGCGTCGTCGAAGGCGGGACAGCCACATGATAAGCACCTCCAGTCGGGTCTCACTGTCAGCCTGGCCAAGTCCGGCTCGCATGCAGAGCGGCACTTTTCGGGGCAGCCGGGGCAGGTGAAGCACATCTTCAAGGAGGTCGCGAAGCTTGACAGCCACCGCACACCCGTCTGGCGGGTTGGCTTTGACGACGACGGTCAGATTTTGGCCAGCACCGGAGATGACGGAAAGCTCGTTTGTTACCGCCAGACCCCGAGTGGGACGTGGGCAAAGAGTTCGGAACTGGCCATGGTGAAGACAAGGATGGCGACGCCTTGAAAAAAAAAAAAAAAGTACGAAGCAGCACTGTACTATCAAGTATAGACGATAAACAGATGACCAGCACCAGTGTCTGGCCGACAGAACGGCAATGTCGTTTGGCACGGTTGAAGGGACAAGGAAGGATGCACACATCGTTCCATTCACTGAGGACCCCGAACTTGCTGTCAAGGTGTCAAAAAGGTTGTTTGGCTTGTCAAATGTACCGGGCACCAGCAAGACCAATCTTTGACCTGTTTGTCCTAGGTTCGACTTTTTACCATCATCGACGCCATCAATGACGAGAAGCCGCAGGACGGGCTTCGCATATCAACCCAGGGGAGCACGATAAACCGTCAGGGAACAGTTAGCATGTACAAGGAAATGATTTTAATGTTAGATACCCAATTGAGAGACTTCACAGCCTGCGCCGTCTCAAGTAGATGATTACCGAGTGCCCTTGATTACACACACCCTACAATCTGTAGGTTGTTTCGTAGCCTTCCAACTCATCTTCCCTCTCGTACGATCATCTACTTTCTGCGCTTCTGGCCACCACCACCAGCCCCTTCGTCGGGTGCCTGGCGCTTACGCCCATTTTTGCGCCAAAATTCTTTGCTTTCCTTCTTCTCCCTCGCCTCCTTCTTTTCCTCGGACTCAGCCAGCTTCTTGCGGTACTCCGCGCGCTTCTCCTCCTTCTTGGCTGCGCGCTTGGCCACCTTGTCATTACGGATCGTCGACAGCTGCTGCAGCAGGTTGCGGGCTGTCTTCTCCTCCTTGGTCAAGACGACGGCGCGCTTCTGCATATATGTGTCCTTCTTCTGCTTGCGCGCCTGGACGATCTGCGACTTGAAGGGCAGCTCGGCGGCAAGCGCCCGAGGCACACGCAACGGGTTGAAGTGACGTGTCTCGCGCTCAATCTTGCGGTATTGGCTGTTCTTCTGCAACGGTGTCTCGATGCCCTCAGCTCTGCGCACCTCGCCTGTCAGCCGCATTGCCTGCCAGCCGATCAGGTTTGTCACGGGGTTATAGAAGCGGTGTGGCTTGATCGGGTACCACGCGCGCAGAAACACAATGTCGCTGTATAGGATTTTGTCCTCGAAGGTGGCGCGGAAGTGTCCCTCGGGCTTGGAGAGTGCGCGCTTGATCTGACCGCGCACACCAGATACCGTCTTGATGGACGCACCCTCGAACTTGGCAATTTCGAGCGACGTGTTAAACATGCCCTTGATGAAAGCAGTGTTCTTGTGGATCTTGTCCGCCGTACCCGTGAGCTTGAGCTTCTTGACGATTTCGGTCGACTCATCAACGCTGAGCACCGTGCCCGTCGCCGCTATCCGGAAGCCCGGGTTCGCTGACGAGAAGGACTGAAAACACACGAAGCCCGTGTTAGGCGCGATAAGCGGGCCGTAAATGGTGCCGAAGCAGTGCATATGTTCCGGCGTGTATTTGAGCATGCGGTTTCTTGTTCTCGAATCCGAAATGCTGTAGATGGGCAGTGTCTGGAACCGCCGCCAGCCGAGGGAGAAGATCAATGGGTCGTTGGTCTTGAGGATCTTCTTGTGCCAGCGGTGCTTCTTGATGCGCACCTGGACGAACCCGAAACGGTCCTCGGTGGGCGACAGACCACCAAGGATGATGGGGTTGCGGGGGTTGAACTTGGTGACAAACTCTGACGGAACGCCCTCAAGAACAATCTTGGCGTACTTGCCAGCTCGGTAGCCCTCGACAGCAGTCCTTTGCCTCTCGTCGAGCGTCTCAAACTCGGCCTTGTTGATGTCGAGTTGTTTCTGGATCACCGCCTTTTGTGCCTCGTACCAATCGTCCTCTCCAAACTCCTGGTCGCCACCTTCTCGCCGGGCGTTGGCCTTGTCGTTCATGAACCCCTCCCTGTCTTCCTCCTCGAAGCGTAACTTGAGCTCTTCTTTACGCTTCGCATTCTTTTCACGCTCGTCATCAAAAGCTTCTTCGGCAGGCTCTTGCTCGGCAGAGTTTTCGGCTCCGTGCTGTTCACCCGTCTCAAGATCCTCGAAGACACCGTCGCCTTCGTCGTCCTCCCCTTCGTCGTCGATGCCGTCAAACTCATCTTCCTCATCACCGTCGTCTTCTTCGTCATCACGCAGTCCTGCGGTGGTGAAACGCTTCCTCAGGGCCTCGACGTTTGCAGCTTGTGACCACTTCGCCGCCAGATCCTCGTAATCATACTGCGGTATCGATCTGTCCTCCACCTTATCTTCTTTGTCCTGCTTGGACTTTTGGAAGAAGTCGTCTTCTTCATCCGCTTCAATGTCCTCCTCATCTTGGTCGTTACCTCGCCATTTTTGTAGTGCCTCCTCTGGTGTCAAGGAGTCTTCGTACATGTACCTGGCCAGGTCCGGTGTATGGTATGAACGCCGTTTTCCGTGGAGCTTCTTTGCACGCTCCGCCATATTTTCCTTCCACTTCATGGCGGCAGCCTCCTCGTCTGAGTTGAAGTCTGAATCGTCCATACCCTCGTCATCTTCATCTCCGTCCTCCAGCCCCGATAACGAACCAAGATCGGAGTCACTATCGGCAAAGGCAATGTCGTCTTCATCGGCCTCCTTCTCAGTGTTCTTTCTGAACATCTTGCCCAGCTTGCCTTCGCTGAACTCCTCCTCAACATCGGACTCGCCGTCCTCTTCGCCGCTAACAAAGCCCTCGTCATCAACCTCGACTTCGGAATCATCGTCACGGTCGGCGAAGCGTGCGTGTCTGTGAGTCTTTCTGCCAGTGTCCTCCTCCTCGGGGACCTGTTTGATTTGCTCACCTCCCTTGAAGAGCTGTACACCCTCCTCAGTCTGGCCCAAAAGTCTCCGCTCGCCTTGCAGTCCAACGATAAGCTCCTCACCCTCACCCATCTCGCCTTCCTCGGCGTCCCTGTCGAATGTGAATCCTTTTTCTCTGGTGATCCAAATGGCGTCACCGTCAATTTTAAGACCACTGCGGTCAGACATGGGTGCATGCAGCTTCTTCTCCTTTTCGTCCAGGCGCCGCCGCGTCGTCTTGCCGGTAACCTTGGCAATGGCTTGCTCCATGGCCGGGGTAGGGCAAGGATCCGGGAGGACTTCCAGGTTCGCGACAGTGAAGTCGCCAAGACCTGGGACATGGATCCTCTGTCCTTGGGAGGCGAAATTGGTGCCACGCAGGTAGCCCGACAACACAACTGAACGGTCGCACTTGGGGTCCTCCTCAATCTTTGTGGGGTGGGTGATGTCTCGGTAGCTGTCGATAATGGTATACGGATGCGAGTTGCGCCAAATTAAGGGTCGAGGGTTCTTCATGACGGACAGGAAGCGCGAGAGGTTGTGGACTTCACGGTCGGGGTATCGGCCGTTCATGACTCCGGAAAGATAGAAGAGGTGCGCGCCCTGATATAACTCGCTCCACAATCTCCTCTTGAGCCGCTTCTTCGCATCTTTCAAGGCTTGGGGCTTCCGGAAGAGATCGAGATGCGTAAGGATACCGAAGACATTACCAGGCATGCCGGTGGCGGCAAGGATGTTGAGAAACTCCATTGTCTCCATCTCAAAGCCGTAGTTTCCGTCGATCATTAGCAGAACAATGTCTGCTATCTTGGCCATGTCGACCATCGCCTCAAGCTCATTGGGACACTCGACAAAGGTCAATCGCTGCTTCTTGGAGGTGACAACCGTGATGGGGCCTTGGGGGTCGGATAGTGTCTCCTTCGCGTATCTTCTAATCAGAGACTTGAGCAGTGTCGTCTTGCCGACACCAGGGGGTCCGACAATGGTGACCAGCCTCGGGGGCGGCTCATCGGGAAGGCGATCGACTTGGGGAACATGGAAACGTCTTTCCTTGATCTGTTTGAATGTATACGTTAGTCATTGTGTAGGGGCTTTGAGGAGGATGCGTACATCTGAAGATCTTGCGGCAGATCTGGCAAGCTTTCCGGGGTTGGAGAAGGCAAAGGCCTTTGGGTTTTTCTCTGGATGGCTATTAGTAGTGCGAACTGACAAACTCAGCAGCACAGAAGCAACCTACCCCCAGTGTGCTGCTTGTTCTTCTTGTCCTTGGACTTGCGATGAGGCTTGTGTACTTGGTCCTCCATGGTGGCGTTAAGGGAACCCAACTGTGTTGGGAGATCCTGCAACTGCACGACAAAAGACGGGCTCCGGTGGTTTTTTTCTTCTTGCTTTTTTGCCTCTGGTTCGCGACTCGGCGCAGCGATTCAAAAATTTGTTGCGGGTCGGGTTTATCTAATCTGTTTATCGATAATGTATAGGCCCCACAGGTCTCTATGCATCGTTGGTGTTATTATTAGGTACCTACCGTACCTATCTAGGTACCTATGTAACTATTTTACCCCTCGTCCCCGTGCCCCTCCTCTTGGTCAACTGTCTGCGACATGACCGACCGCCTACCTAGTAGGTTATTTGATAAGAAAGAGGATAGACGAAAGCAGGCCACAGGATAATGTCTGCCTTCTTAACCATCTTAGAGAGCTACATCAGTGAGCCATCATTATCATTATCATTAGTTTTAGAGAAAAACTTCCCCTCGGCTGACCACGAGTAAAGCATTAGCAGCCTGAAACACTGAAAACAGCCTTCATGAAGACAACAGTTTTTCTGGTACGATAACCGTTATGATTGCAGCCGCAGTCAGCAATGAGGGCTTCGCCGATGACGACGAACATTTATCGGCAAGATGATTACAGTTGACTAGGGGGGGGCATTGATTGGTGTTTGTAGCAAGTCACAAGACAGTCGTCGACTCCGCAATCTATGTGGGATGCGTGAAGAACAAGATGCATGAAACACCAGATCTGGTTGGTAAGGCTCTTATCGGGGTCGGAGACATTTGAGAGAGGGTACGATGAAAGGGATGCGCCCATGCGGCCAGCGAACGATACAGCTTCTCGCTCTTTACCTAGGTACTTGGGTTGCTGGGTGGATACAATACCTAGGGAGGTGGAAGTGCCGTCAGCCATCTTACGCACCTCGACGATAGACGCGCACAATCCTGGAGATGACGTATTTCGAGGAGTGGGACGGGACTTCTCAGGGCCACATACCTACCTAGAACACAGACGAATCGCCGTACGTACCATACTTACGTTGCATGGACCTTCCCCTCGCTGTGCCACCTCCGAACCTTTTCGGGCCTCTTTTAGTGCCCACCCTTCCTGCCAGCCTGTCACTGGTCGCCGGTGCTCTGCCTTGTCTCTGCCTCTGTGAGCCGGGCACACATGAGACCCGTTGGGTTGGTTATAAAGAGAGTCTGCTGGCCATCTTCTCCCCTTGCTTGCCAACACCACCACCACAATCTCACACTTCTACAACCACGGCACACTGCAAGTACTTCCAACAATTTTTCCAGACCAGCAAACATACCGTCACCATGCCTACTTACATCGTACGTCATGTCTCATTCGATAAAGTGTGTTGCCTTGGGTCATCGACTAACACCGCCTCTCTAGGTCACCTGCAAGGAGGATGCTTCCGCTGAGCAAGTTCAGGCGTAAGTCAGCCGTTTCTGCTATCAAAGCGAGATGAAGCGGAGCCAATATACGGCTACTAACACCAACGCAGGGCCAAGAAGCATGCCACCGACCAGGGCGGAAAGATTGGCCACGAGTACAGCCTCATCAAGGGTTTCTCGTATGCATACACCTGGGTCCAAACTGTCTCATCATCGCACCAGCTAACGCATGCCCAGCGTCGAGTTTCCCGAGGATCAGATCTCAACTCTTGAGAGCCATGAGCACGTCAAGCACGTCGAAAAGGATCAGGAGGTCAAGACGCAATAGAAGGCTGGAACCCGAGCTAATGAAGAAGGGGGTGGCAAGCTGTACTTGACACGCTACATAGGTACCTTGGGCACTCGAGATTCTTAATGATATGATGCCCCGTTTGAACAGCTGTGTTCTTTGTGTCTGTGATTGCGGTCTTGACCTGGCGTGAGTCACAAACGCCCTCACCATGCTCATCATTGTCTTGGTCCATCCATCAGCGACGCAAGCCGCGCTTCCCGCTTGGAATCGGCCCCCGCCGTCTTTGTCTCACGACCTCGGCGCGGGGCTACAGGGGTTCCAGACCGCCCCCTCCTCAACTTCGTCCCCCCAAAAGCACGGAGCACACCACCCGCACTAACATCCGAGTCAAGCGAACCCCAATCCGTATGATCTCATCCTTGCCTCGATACACCCGGCCAACATCCCAACGCATTTCTAACCCCCGACCGCAACAACATCATTTCACAACACCTACAATGACGCCATGATACCAATCGCGAGACCATTGAGGCCCTTGCGGTCCCAGAGGATACTCGTACAAGCCCATACGCCCTCACCTTCACGTCTGCTATCTTCCTCTCGACATGCCCGTAGCCATGGCCATCGCGGCACGTTCCACCATCAGCTGTCGCGTGTCGACGACCACGAAATCGTTCAGTTGGCCAGTAAGACGCAGCACCCCTTGAGCCTTGCAGACCTGGTCAAGTAAGAGAGCCCGATCCCCATCGATCGCCACGTCTAACATTTCCAGACATGGCCGGCCTCCTCTGAGCGAAAAGTCCCTCCTCTCCTCCGCGAACTTCACCCTCTCCCTGCTCCCAATCCGCCTCGCCCACCGCATCCAGGCACTTCGCAATCTCCCCTATATTGTCGTCTCCAACCCAAACATCAGCCGCATCTATAACAACTACGTTCACTCCCTCTCAACCCTCCTGCCCTGGTGGTCCAAGGGAGGCGACAGCGCCGTCCGAACCCTAGATGACGAGATCCGCTTCACCGAGGTCCTCGCTGAGCTCGTGGCTACCCACACCGACACCATCCCTATTCTTGCCCGCGGGTTCCTCGAATGTCGCCGATACATTTCCCCACATGAGGTGACCCGGTTTCTCGACGAGCACCTGCGCGCTCGCATCGGCACCCGCCTCGTCGCCGAGCAGCACATCGCCTTGCACTACAGCTCGCAGCCGCACTTCGACCCAGGCGCGAGCCCCACGCCTTGTCCGGAACACCCCAGCTACATTGGCGTAATTGATACGGCCCTACGTCCTGCACACATCATCGAATCCTGCGCCGGGTTCGTTGCGGATATCTGCGAGCTGCGGTACGGCGTGCGGCCACGGCTATACATCGATGGCGAGCCTGATACCACATTCGCATTTATACCAATGCACCTCGAATATATTGTCACTGAGCTGCTCAAGAATGCCTTCAGGGCGACCGTAGAACATAGGGACAATAAGGAGCCCATCGTAGTTACGATCGCGCCTGAGCCGCCTAGGCTAAACCAGCCCTTGAATATCGAGGTACCCAAGGAAACGAGGGGTGAGTTTCGGAGCGATGCCATTAAGCCGCTCGAAGACAACGTGCCAGGTGTGACAATTCGAATCCGGGATCGCGGAGGTGGCATCGCTCCCGAGGTGCTGCCCAACATTTGGTCGTACTCCTTCACCACCTTTTCCGACGAAGATGAGTTCCCGGGGTCTGACAACGGCTTGAATATGATATCCGGAGCGAGCGGTGGCGGCAGCACCATTGCAGGTCTTGGGTATGGCTTACCGCTCAGCCGAGCATACGCCGAGTATTTTGGTGGTGGCATTGCCGTCCAAAGTTTGTACGGCTGGGGCACTGATGTCTACCTTCGACTCAACGGCGTTGGCAAAATCCAGGAACGCAACCCAACGTAGACATAGCCCCATTCGAAATAACAAAATCACGGAGCTTAATCACAAAGCACAGCTGTTGCCCCGTCTCATATATATTAGTTGAACTACTAAGAGATGTATTATCGGGTGGAAAGTGTCGTTCCACATTCTGTGCTGTGCCAATACTGAGCATGCCCCCAACCAATACACGTTGTAAAATAGAAAAACATAACAGATAAAACATGCCCGAGTAACAAACTCGTCTCATAGACCAATCGCAACGCCCCTCTGATTCGGTTTTTTTTTTACTAGCCTCCTTTGCGAATGTCCTCATTATACGATAGAGAGGAAACGTGACCTGTTATGTACGATTCTCAAATACATCTTCTTCTCCTTACATGTTGGCCAATTCGTTGTCGATCTGGCGGTCCATGAATGTCCTCCTCTCGCCAACAAGCCCGGTCTGCAGTCTTTGCTCGACTAGAGCGCGCACCTGCTTCTTTGTAACCGTATCTAGGTCCACTTCGCGCAGGACACCCTGGATGGCTTCGATAATCATGCTATCGTCAGGACCCTGCATATTGCCACGCTGGAAGTCAAACGACGAGGTTGACTGGGCAGCAGCGTGGGGCCGGTTTAGACCGAGAGCTGACTGCGAGCGGTTGGCACCGAGTCCGGGAGAGGGGTTAGCCTGGCCGCGGAGGTTGCTTACACTCGGCCGACTGCTGGGAAAGTCCTGGAAGGGAGTCTGGCCGCGATTTATATCGTGAGTGCCCAGAGACGCCATCGACTGCCTGTTGGCCATGGCCTGGTCGTGGTGATACGGGCTAGCGGCACCGGATGCTCGTACCATGTGGCCAAATGGCGCGGGTGACTGGGGCGGCATGTATGTGTTATTACGGTTCATGCCAGTGAGGACGGAACCTTGGCGAACAGACGAATAAACGGAGCGGATCTCGTCCATCTCGTACTGGTCGTCGTAGCCCATGTCCGCTTTTTCCATGTAACCGCCGCGTCGGCCAGGGAGGTTGTTTGCCATGGCATAGTCGTCCCAGCGCTGCAGAGGAATGCTCCTGGGATCGAAACCCTCGTCATCGACGGCGACGAGCTGCTTATTGCCCTTCTCTCCGATGACGATACGGGTGTTGCCCCATGAGAAGTTGTCTTGGTTCCAGAAGGAGTATATGGGGAGTGCGAAAGAATAAATGGGAAACGCCATGATGTAGATGATCATCCACCCAATGTGCTGCCACTGTCTCTTGAGAATAAAGATGAGGGCCTGAAGACCGTACACAGCCGCAAGCATTATGATGGAAATTATGGGGAACTGGCCAGTACTGCTGGCGGCCAGGTAAATCATGTACCCCAGGTAGATAGTGGTGGCGGGGAGGATGATTGTTCCAAATAGATCGATGAAGACGACGAAACGCATGCTGAAGCAGCAGAAACCGCACATCTCTTTGAGTTTCATCAGCTCAAAAAGGTTGTGGATAGTCGAGTTGATCCAACGACGACGCTGGGAAAGCAGGACGCTCCAGGACTCGGGTGCCGCGGTTTGACAGTAGGCATCGGGAATGAATTTGTACTTCATAGACGGGAAGTACTTGGTCATGAGGGTGGTCAGGTACCGATCCTCACCGAGTGACAGCAGGTTCTTCTTGTGGAGAGTGTCAACGTCGCACACAGCGTAGTCACGGATAACGCCATCGGCGATAATCAGCGGCTTGCCTTTGTCGACGGTACGCAAGCGATACATGGTGAAACTGGAAATATTAGCTGACTGACGCTGTACAGGGAGATCGTCAAGATACGCTTACCATCCAGGCAAGCAGGTGACACTGCCAAAGAGAGATTCGAAGGCCTTGGCCAAGTTGTGTGAAATGAAATACTCGTAGACCTGGATCATGGTCCACCAGGATTTGTCGTCGTTCTGCAGACCCGTCTCGCCACAAATACCAGCAATTTTAGCATCATTGGCACATGCTGAAACCAGTCTGTTGAGCGAGTCTTCCCGGACACACGTATCGGCGTCGACCATCATCAAATATTCGTACAGCTCGGGATCCACGCCGATAATATTGTTGATCTGGTGGAACATTTCCAACTCAAGTGGGCTCATAGGAGCTCTGTGGTGGACTCGGTTGAGGAAGCTCATCAACAGAATTTGGGAGTCACGCTTGCCTCTGTTACCCGGCTTGGACTTGGTTTGTTCGGACTCCTTTCCGCACTTGACCACAACGAGGTAGGGGACGACGTTGCCCTCAAACTCGTACAGCCCGGAGTAGACCTTGCCGTAGTTCAGCTGCTCGCTGCCCGTGCCAACAGACTTGAAGGGCAGCGCAGGAGGGTCAACTTTGGGGTCGACACCGAGGATATCCAGGACAATCTTTGGCGTGGGACGGTCGTTTCCAGCACCGACGATGATACCGTCGCAAATAACACAGATAAGCTTCCGTTTGTTGTCGTATTGCAGGGCGGTGAGAGAGTCAAGTGCTTTTCGCAACGAGTCTTCGCCTTCAGTGTAGGCCGGCACCTGGCAGATAACGAATTTGTCTTGAGGTGCAGGGCGACGCTTCGAGCCGAACTGCAAAGCAGCCAGGAACTTGACAAGAATGACGGAGCAGAGAATGATGGTCATTGCCAGCATGATGTAGTTGTTCGTCTGACACCTGGCAGAGTAGCGGAAGTCCGGAATGCCAACGTAGAAGAGGTTTTTGATGCAGTTCAGGCTGTTCTGGACAGATGCGTTCTCGGTTGCGTTGTTAGCTGCGGTCTTGACGATTTCATCCCAGCTGTCGGTAACATCCTCGCCAGGATTGCTCTCGATGGCGCTGACAATATCTGCGTTGAGGAAGTTGACCGAGTCGACGCGCTGGAATACCTTCAGAGTCTTGAAGTAGTTGGTCAGGTCATACACGCCGCCGTTGTAAATGACCCACATATGGTCGTTGTTTTGGCCGTCAGAGTTGATAAATGCCTTGTCCCAGACCAGGTCTCCCTTGTAGAACTCCCTCATTTTGGGCAGCAGCTTCGTGCTGTACCAATCGGTGGCGCCCAAGGCACTGGTACGGTCATCGGCCAGTATGCCGGACTTGTGAATACCTATGACGTACTCAGGGGTGTTGTTGTACTGGAGCGTAGTGGTTGGCGCGATACCAAGACCCGGGCACACCAGAGGCAGGGGAGGGGGAAAGTAGTCGTCCATGTTTAATCCAGCAAACGGCATCATGTTCTCCTTGGTGGTTTCGATGGCGGTGTCGGAATGTTGAATCTTCCAGAACTTGGAGATGTCGTACACACCGCCGCGGAAGCTGACATAGAAATCGTTTTCGCCAGTGTGATAGGCAACTTCCTTTGCGTTCCAGGCTTTGTCGAAATTGGGACACAAGATCTTGCCAAAAGCGACAATCCAGAATACAATAGCGGCGTTGATGAGAACGATGAACCAGACGAGAGTTAGCTTCTCACGCCACGCCATGCGAACATCGGGACGCTTCATGCGGCCGACGAAGCTAAGTAAAGGAGATGGAATCCAAAACGTCCAGAACCAGACTATGGCAACCCAGATGCGGCGATCCTTGTCCATGGTCTTCTCTTCAACGTGTTTGCCATCAGCGATTTCTGGGTCCATCTGACCAACGAACTCGCCCTCATTATTGTAGAAGACCTGGCCCTTGAAAGTATCACCCTTGGTACCGAGACCATAGTCTCCGGCCTGGACATTGCGCATGCCAGAAGGAGCGACGGATGGGGCACGCATGGCAGCATTATGGGCGAGAGTGTGTTGGGAGAGGTTGCCTTGGCTGAAGTTGCGCTGGTGGGCGATGAGATGGTCCCGGCTACCGTTGGGGGTTGTGTCCAGCATGGGCGTCGGGAAGTAGCCGCTGCCATTCGCTGAGTAGCCGGACTCCAGATTATTGACGGCCATGACGTTGCCCATGCCGGGGAGGTTGCTGTCCAAGGGCTTCATGTCGAGCATACTCTCGGCTTCCCACCAGGCGCTCTCACGAACCCAGACGCGCTCTTTGCCGACCACGACTTCGCCGTTAGTCCAACCGCGTTCAAGAATCCACGTCTCGATACCTTCGCGGCCATCCTTACAGCCCAGAAGAGCATAGCGTTGCACGAACTCATCGATATCGAAGTCGGCAGTGAAATCGAGGTTCTTGTTACGTCTGTTGGCCCACTCGGGCAATCGCCACGAACGAAGCTGGCGAGAAACTGTACCCGCAGACCATGCAGAGTTGATCGAGGGAAGAGCCGCCAGACTTGCCGGCGAGTCGTCGGTAGGGTGAATGGAGAGGTGGTACCACACCCGGCTAGAGCTTAGCAGAGACGAGAGGTCAAGGCGGCCAGCACGTCCTAAGTCAATGCCCTGGCCGGTGATTGGGAAGAGCAGCTTCTTGAGGAAAGCATCTTCATCAGCAGAGTGACCAATCTTCTCAAGGACCTCTTCCCGCTTCTCGAGGGCGTGCTGGCGATCCCTACCCGTAGCACTAGTCATGATGCCAAGCTCATGCCCAACCTCGCCAATGGCAGCCTGCATCTCCCGCACGACGGTGCTGCCGGCGGCGGAAACTTCAACACCGTCAGCAATCATCTCCGAGTTGATTCCCAGAGTATCGTCAAACACGCCACGCATAGCCAGCGCCTTGCCCAAAGTCGGGTCAGGGATGTCTAGAATGGTGATGCAGACAGTATCGTCTTCGCCGTTAGAAGTAGGTGTGCGAGCACCTCCGCCACCAATCGACTCAGTACCGTCTCTGATGCGGACCATCTGAGCAGAGATAGCCTCGTTGGCCTTCGAAATGACCCAGTCCACCAGAGCCTCGTACAGGCCGCCGACCAAAGTTGCCCGGTCTTCGGTTGTGCATTGCGTGGCAAGAGTCTCTGGGTCCATACCAAGTAGGCCGCTCACATCCTCGCAAATCTCGTCGAAGACGTCCTCATCGAGGTTGTAGTCGAGGGTGTCGCCAAGCTTCAACAGACCGGCGAGGGTGGAAATGAGGTTACGATGAGCAGAACCCTTGATGCCGATATCT